ATGATCACATATAATTAAACAATCATACAACTATTGAAACAAATCCAAAATGTACGACACTGACATCTCCAAATATTTTTTGTCTGCTCTGTCCAAAAGTATCCTTACAAAGCTTAATGGCCACAAGGACAGATTTAAAAAGCAACTTGATACAGACAGAATTGTTCCTATCAGCAAACTTTATCCCTGAAGCCTTTCACAAAAACTCTGCCACAGCAAAACATTTTCCTTAAGAACACTTACTGCATATTGGATGAAACTCTACTGAGATTACCATATCAAATTATAGTGGATTATCATACTCACTCCCCATGATCTTCAGCCCACTTTTGAACATGTTGGCAGCTGTATGATTCCAGCGTGCCGTGACACCACAAGCCTTTGCACTGCTATTACTGTATCCCAAGTCAACCAGCAGGACCATCTGAAATCCTGAGCGCTATGATGCAGTCATCCTACTCACGGGGGAGTGAACCCTTTCCGGCACATCCTCAGTATTTGGTTTGCTGTGAACTTTGCTCTTTGTTTTGGAACATGCGGTTCTTTTTTCCTTTGCCTGCTTGATTTTTTTTTTTTTTTTTTTTCCTGACAGATGTTGCTCAAGGACTGGACAAGCATGATGCCTTATCTAAAAAAAATAACAAGATTCTAGCTGTGTATGGTAAAGAAATAACTTAGAAAAGAGAAGTGGTAAATACATCACCTCGTATTACAATGGGCTATTGTAATGTCACATGAGTGTGGAGGATCCTTTGATCATTTCTTGGCTAGGCTTGTGTCCTGTTAAATGGGACAGATTCACACTAGTGTAAGTCAAAACTGTTGAGCTCCATCAGTGCAGGCTTAGACCTCAAGTCAAACGTCATTTCAAAAGTCAATATTGAGGCACATGTTGCTACATGTGCATTAAGCTCTCAATGCCAATTTGTACCAACTTCACCCAAAACAAATAAATCATTCAATCTTATCTAGGCTCTTGTCTGGAAAAGATCATTTCATTAAGTGCTTGATAGATGAAAATCAATAGTGTATTCTCAGCAACACAATCCTGCTCCTTAAAAGGAATCCCACACCCACACTGTGTGATTAAAATCCCTGATAGTACCTTAGCCACTGTCTAGATGATATAATTAAGTACCTAATGTAATAATAGCTATTTCTACAGTAATACACTCAAACTCAATTGAACCTAGACACTAAACATACTGTGATTAGGCTGCCTCCACTCAAGAATCTATACACTAAAACCGAAAACTACTTTGCATAACTTTGGCATCAACATATGTGTCTGCAGGTCAGGACAAACTTTTTGATCGTCACCACTGATAGCAGCAGCCAAGCCAGCCAGATGTCTAACTGCCTGCTTAGCACGTCTTACTAGCTTTACTACAGATTGCAATGACATGAGGTACAATCGTGGCCATGCTAGGCCGAGGACGCATACCGGCTGTATGCGTGTTATCTTTGCACGTGATAATTTCACCTTACTGGGAAGTAAACAGTGAATTCAGCACATTTGTCCACAGTCTGATGAAAATAGAAGCAGCCATGTTTCATAGAAGAAGGACACTGTATGGCTAATCTAATTTATTTTCCAAAGATTCAAACTGACCAGAAGAAAATATACCGTCATGTTTACCATCAAACATGAACAGCATAATCACATGGATTTACAAGAAAGACGTGCAAGTATTACCCAAACAGACAAGACTGAAACTGCATCACTTGATAAATAAAGCATGTCTTGTTTAGCCGGTTTACCTGTTGGAATAGTGATGTGCAGTAGGGTGTACAGGGAAACCGACAAAAATAGGGAAGGAGAGCAAGCAGCTCCTACCTCCTGCTACATGAATGCACCAGATGGGGGGGGGGTAAATGAGCCACCAGTGGTCCTACAAGCTTCCAACGAGATAAAAAAAAACGCCTCCTCAAGGCTGAAGCCCTGTGCTGATGCGCTCCCTGAATGAACTGGCCAAGGAGAAAGAGGAGGAGGAGGAGGACATACAGGGGGCGGAGGAGGAGGGCAGCCAGGCTGGTATTCCAGAGATGTTACATACAGTTGCAAGCAGTCTTACAGAAAACAGCGTCCTGCTGTACAGGCGAAGAGCGTGGCTATAGAGGATCAGAGCTGGAGGAAGAAGAAGAGAGAGTCCTGCTGCTGGAGGATGCAGCCAGCATTTAGTCCTTTGTGCGTTGTGTCAGCAAGGATTACCACCGTGGAGGAGGAGAGGAGAGGAGAGGAGAGGGAGGAGGATGGCCAGGGAGAGCAGCTGTGCGACAAGCGCTGCATTCAGGTTGACGTTCCCTCGCTCTCGCATAAAAACAGGCCAATGGGCTTTGCGCCGCATAGGACTCCTCTGATGCTATATTCCATCACCGGGGACATGAGCGCCAGCAACACGCATGTGAAGCCGACACACTGTGTTTACTGATCAATATGTACGAACACATGCGCATCAAGCTCTACATAAGGATGTACGGCCCTCTCTTTCATAGCCCACGGGGACACTATTCGCTCTGCTGCCAATGAGCAGACAAGCACAGGACAGAGGGGGAGGGGGGAGGGGAAATACGTATCAAGGGGGAGGGTCTGGGTGTTGTTATTTTTTTTTTTGGTGGGGTGTGTGTGGAAGGGGAGGGGGTGCTCCGGGGGGAAAAAAGGGGTGGGGCAGGGTTGGAGGAGATTTTGATGAATGGGCACCTGCCATGATCCTCATTTTCAGTTGCAAACTGGTTTGTGTAACCGCTGCTGGTGAGCTGGCAATACCAGCCCGGAGTCTCCTCCGAGCTCACACGGATAACAGGGAAGAGGGAGATTGTGTATGTATGGTGTTTCCGAATGCTTAGTCTTGAATGATGCTGTCTAATGTGACCACAGCTGTGGGAGACATAAACAATATGGTTCCAAAAACCGGCCAGAAAATCATTCTGCCGATGCTGGCACACACGTGAATGTACAGCTGGTATTGCCAGGGCATGACTAGCCAATGAATTAATGGGGGGCTTCGGAAGTGGTTGAGACACAGGCTTATAATAAAGTTCATTACTCCACTCTCCAATCTTGTAAACAAAGCTGCTGCTGTTCGTGTAATAGACCAGTTGAGCTTGATCCTATAAAAAGGAAGCATTCATTCGCATGGCTCCTCTTCCAATACACACACACACACACACACACACACACACACACACACACACACACACACACAAACAAACAAACAAACAAACAAACAAACAAACAAACATCGCAGTCATCAGACTGAGAGGACTGCTGAAATATGAAATATGGGTTTGCAGCAGTCTGGGATAAACACAAAGCCTAGATGCTGGGATACAACTGTGTGTCTGATTAACCATTCTGGCAGGTAACCAAGCATTGTTGGAACTTCCAGTATATTACAAAAATACTAGTGGGAACAGCAAACATGACATTCCTCAAATACTCAGTTCTATTCCTGTCCTGTGTACACTGGCCTTGACTACTTGAGCAAGCCAATCTTATTGCTCAGGCCAAAGCACATAACATACATGCACTGTGAATTCAAACCTGACTATCAGCATGATGGCATACCAACTTCAATCTCACTTGTCCAACAGTGTACTCAACTTAAGGAAACAGAATAATAAAAATTTGAGGAAGAAAAACATGCTTCCTAATCTGGACCTGCTGCTTGGACCGTAGGTACTCCTACTGGATCCTATCCTCTTACAAACTGCTGCCATGAGCACCAAATATTCTCACAGAGATCAATGGCATTTATTCAGTCTATATCAAACTGGATGACTCTGAGGTGCTGACTCTCTCAGGACAGCATGATATATTTGCAACTCAAACTGTCATCTTTGTAACTATTACAGGACTGGCTTGTGGCCAGAAGGCTTTTAGTCTGAATCCTCAGTCCAGCTGGAAAGATCCTGGTCAGCTGGTGGACGATAAAATCTTCTGTCACAGCATACATTTTATTTTATATTGTGATGTTGATATATATCTTGATATGCTGCTTTTTTCTGGAAATTCAACTGGGTAACTCATTATAGGATGGGAACGTCTGTTTTTGGCATATTGTACAAATGTACTGTAAATCTATTACTACCATGCAGCAGTCCTGCTCATTCATTTCCAACATTGTCTGCTATGAACTAATATTGTAATAGGACATATACCTCAAAACTGTCAACACATTTTTATAGTCTCACCTTAGGCAAAGCAGAGAGCAGCTCACCAGTCAATAGTGTAAGTCTGGTTGCAATGGTAAAAGGTGAAGTTTGGATTGCCAAAAATGGCCAAAAATGAAATGATTCTGAAGCAAAAATTGATTTTCTATCATACGAGTACACATTCATGTTTCCAAGAGGAATAACATTTGACTGGAAAACAGAACAGCAGAAAATGATCACATTTAAAGCCGGCGGTTATTTGTCACAAATTCTGCATTCTGCAACCTCAGTCAAAAAATACTGGTTTTAGCCTGTGGCTAACCATACTGGTTACTGTGAAAACTGTTACTGTACTGTGGTGACAGCTAGTGTCAAGCTCCATATTTGAATCTCATTCCAGTCTGTCAGCCAGGAATACAATTATTTTGTTAATAAACACACAGCATGTTTGAAAAGTGATGTGGAGACACTGTTAACATTCCCCATTCAAACAAACAGTTGCTATAATCTCACACCCACAGTTATGGTGGGCATCAAATGTATTAAAATAAGAATATCTCTAATATCTCTCTCTGCCATATTCACATTGTCTGGGGACATGATGTAGAAGTTGTTTGCCTTTCAGTCTTAAACTGCTAAAGAGAAACCTTCCGGAAACAAATGCATGCCAAGAATTTATAGGGAAAAGGTCTATTCACAGACCAAGCACTAAAATACAAAGTCAAAAACAGGCGCCATACTACTAAAGGCTAGTTTTGTACAGGCTGCCTTTAAATTACCAACAGAGCAATGCCCACAGAGCTAAACCTTTTCCTAAAGTTATCCCAAGCATCAAAAAGTCTTACCTTGAGAATTTCCACACAATATCTTCCCCATTTCTTCTCACTTGCAATCAACACCTCATTTCTCTGATGTAAGCCAGCACCCATTTCAAGCTTGACTGTTGTGATTTAGATTTGTGGAGCCAAGAAGGGGCAACAAGACAAAGAAACAGCAGATGACTGAAACGTTGCTCCCAAGTAGGTGTGGCTGAGAGCAGTCCTCACTGTGGCCAGTGTGCAGCTCCAGTGTGTGACAGCTGCAGCTGGGCTCTGCTTCATCAAATGACCAGGACGATGACAGGTGCAAAGGGATAGGACTCGTTTAACAGCAACAGCTCTTCATACAGCAAACTGTCATAGTACTAACATATGTCAGTTCAGCACCTCACCACCAGACTCAGGAAGCCAATTGTTATTATTATTATTATTATTATTATTATATTATTATAACACTGCTCCTATTATTGATGAAAAGAGTTTAGGTGTGCTCCTTACACTCTTTTCTTTTAACTGTTCATACCATTCAACACAATGTAAAGTACAGACTGACAACTTGGCCAAAGGTGACAGGTATAGTAAAACAACCATGACATCCCCAATAGCCAGCTAGCCGCGCTTAGCTTACCTGCTAGTCAAGTAAAAGCGCAGCCACTACCTGTTCTCTTATCTGGAAACATCACCGCCACCAAACGTCGTTCAAAATGTGCCAACTGAATTACTTTGGTTTCTGTGAAGGGCGCGTATACTGTATGAAAAGGACAGACTTGCAGCAAATTGTTAGACGAAACTCGTTGTTTTACTCGGCAATCATATAACCACCAGCATTTCTTGTTATAGCTAAAGTGTCAGTTTCTAAAATGAACAGCAAACATTGAGAACCGGCTCGAGCTGCTTTCTATCGCCCACCATAATATAATAATAATAATAATAATAATAATAATAATAATAATAATAATATAACGCTGTTTTGATTTAGTCTATCTTTGACTACCAAATTAACCGGACACGTTTCATCTCTGTAGAAGCCGCTGGGTGGATCACATGCAAATTCGGCATTATCAAGCATATAACGTTAACAACCAGCATAACAATAATTTGGCCGGAGTGTGGACAGGATTCTCCGTGGCTCTGTAATAAGAGAGGATGGTGGGGTCGTGCGTACTACTAACGTTAGCTTGTACATTAACATTGACGCTAGCTAATAGCTAACTCATGTTTGACCATCGTTTATTGGTATTAAAAACAACTTCTTTCATGGTGTAGCTACTTACCGGGCCTTTGTCAGGGATGTTCACTTTGTGATAAAATATAATTCCATGTCGCCGTCCAGCACCAACGCTGACATGGCTAGTTTCAGGACAAATAAGTATTTAACGTTACAATATTGAAAGGTTTTACAGCACATAGCCATGACAACACGCCCATGCGTTACGTCACTACTAATGCTGCCTTCACGTGCTCCTCGTAATAAACACAACACGTCCTGAATTATACTCCGTTTGGTTTCACGTAACCAGCCGCTGGAGAAAAGAAACATCTTCTCAGGTGGACGTGCTTATGCTTTCCACTGTTTCTTAATGAATTAAATAAACAGTGTAATATATTTCGATAGAAGTAGATTTTTATTGCATATTCAGTTTCAGTGCAATACAAACACAAGACAAAAACATGTCACAATTCCCCCAAAACACTTGTAATTAGGTATTTGATGGACCCCTGCTGACCAAGGGGCCTTTAACAGTCAGTTGGCTCCTCAGATCTGATATGTGTCATATTTTTCATTCACTACCTGCCTTTACTTCAGCATAACCTTAGCTGTAATTGTAATGATCATATTAATATTATATCTATATTCTGAGACACAAAGGCTGGTATGAACTTGTTTATTAGAATTTTAATTAACTATTTACTATATTTACAACATGGGAGGGGCAATTTCCATTTTCCAATTCATCCGCCCCACATATCTTAGGGCTGTGGGTGGAAACCGGAGCAGCTACAGACAACCCTGTTAAAGTGTGTGAGTCTAAATGCACTCAAACACTAGAACTAATGTAAAAAAGGCAAATGCTTGTGCATATGAAGACAGGACAATGAATAGGATATACTAAATACAAAGTGATAAGAATATTAAATCATAATCAAATCATACATTAAAATACATAATGACAATGCACATTGAATTGATTTATTAATAATACAAATTGAAATTTTAAAGACAGATAATGAGACCAACCAGTTGAACTGATATTTATGATCCCGCAAATAGGGCATTTAACAGGAATTACAGAGCCTGTAAAGGGTTCTGTGCAAGCTAAATGGTTGTTCAATACCGCCCCCTGCTGACAAATACCCTGCTACACAAATCCAGATTTGTTTTGTAAATGCAGTTACCGCGATTTCATTGAAAAATAATTATATTTTCATATATACTGACTCTAATTCATTTACTAAGTACTGTTCATATCAAATGAAACAAGTGTTGTTTTGACTGAAAAAGAACAGGCAAAAAAGGGGGTGGCATGTTATGTCACATCACAGGGGACATAAAATAAAATTGACATTAAATCATATATTCCTGTGGTGTCCATTATCTGTCTCTTTGTAGACTGTAAATTGTTTCTTTCCAAGTTGTCACTTGTAGCATTGATACAAAGCAAATAATGTAGACTGAAAACTGGAGTTTTTCATGTAGAAACAGTGTGTGAGGTTTGTAGCTTGCTGCTCTCTACCAACACAATGGGAATGTCTGTATAAAGGAATGAATGCTGGTTTGTAAGCACGGTTGTAGATTGAGGATTATGAAACTAGGCTATACATTTTTGGTTCAACAATACGTTGATGACATTTAACAGCCACATTTTGAACGAACATTCAGGTGCTGCTGGGTCTCTTCTCATACCTTGTATATACAGTATCTCCAATGTAAGTTAACCTAAATCAATGTTTTTTCATATTTTGAATTATTTTTCTACCATATACATCAAAAGCTATTTGTACACTCTTCATTTGTCATTCAACATCAGACTGCTCACTTTGCATGTTCTATTATAATTTTTTTTTTTAGGCTGGAAGAAAAGTGAACTGCTTCAGCTCTGATCCAAAATGAAGACTTGGGGACATCAGCATCTGTGAGTTTTATTACAATCCAATGAAATACTATTTGGCTGTCCAAAAAAAGAAAAGAAAAAGAAAAACCGCAATGAACAAATGTACAGACAATGTTGAGAATATGAGAATAATGTTTTATCGATGTGTTGTGTTGTCTTAAAGAACAACAAATATGGCAACTGTAGGAATATTGTCAGTCCTTACATGATGAAAGGTTGCCTATCTCTACAAAATGCCAACAACAACACTTCTTACTTTTACCAACACATTACAGTGGGCTGAATACTGAAAAAAAACATCTGATTATGCTTTAAGTGTCACAGAGGAGGACCTAAACTAAATCTCTGTTCAACATATAAATTAGACAATAAATTAAAGCCAGCCCTCAGATTGCTTCGTACAAATACAAAGAGGTACATAAACTAGTCTGTATTAAAACGACAAAATTTGAAATATCAAAGCTAATTCTTCACAGTGATGGTAAGCTGCCAGGAGGTGCCAGAATGATCCCGAACACGTAGAAAAGTCCCATGAGGAGGTTGAGCTTGGCCGTCTTCTGGGGGATCTTTGCGTAGCACCGGCTGCGGAACTGCTTCTCCAGGGGGAAGGCCATGGGCAGCGTGAGCAGAGGCAGCGCCATGCTGATGGTGTAACGGGTGGCGAGGATGCAGAAGAGCACGTAGGGGACGAAAAGCAGGAGGTTATAGAGGACGTACGACAGCGTGGGGCCTATGAGGATGGCCAAGGTGACAATGCCTGCCTGCTTGTCAGAGTCCATGTCTCTGGTATTGTTGCTGTGGAGGATGGCTTCTGTGTTGAGGGCCAGCGGGACGGCGTACACCAGCGGCAGTGCCGACAGGTAGCCAACCTGCACCGCGTGAGCAAACATGACCGCGAGCGGGCCGAAGGTGATGAGGATTACCACGTCTCCAAGGGCCACGTACTTGAGGCCGATGCCTGGGGAAAAGAGTAAAGTGGTTGTCAAAAAAAAAGGGCCCTCAAATCCTGAAAGCACACAAGGTAAAACATCTGTTCTCACCGTTTCATTCATAACCACTGGTCCTATGTGCAAACCAGGAGGAGTAGTGTTTGGTACAATATAAAAATGATCTTGATTACTCCAGCAATTTAGTATTGCATTCCCATAAAGTGTGGGAGCTTTTTATGCCTTTATATGCCTTTATTTTGACAGTGACAGCTAAAGAGAGACAAGAAACCCAGGCCACTGCGGCGGTAAGGACTCAGTGCGCTCTACCAGGTGAGCTACCAGGTCACCCTGAAGTTTGGGAGCTTATAAGAAACTAGAAATAAATGAAAAAATACTAATAATATGGATATCCTTACTGCCAGTTATCCTACACTTCCCATAATGCAACAAATATCTTTTTCTTCTTCTGCCTGGTAAGCACAGTTTCTCCACATCCCCAGGTTGTAGCACAGAGTGTTTTTTTTTTATATATATATATATATATATATATATATATATAAAAATAACTAAATAACTATTTATATTTGTAGTCTCAAAGCCCAAGCTGAGATAACCCTGGTGACATCATCGGGGTTATTTTCTCAGACATGACAAAGTTCCTCCAAGAGCCACAGAGGACAACTGTTAGACTACAACCACACAACTGTTTTCACAGGACGAGCAGTGCTCACCATGTCGTAAACTGACCATTATGTGTATCTGTAACAGTAAAGTTCTCCTGTAATGACACTAAACCAGGAGAACATTTTTACACACCAACACAATAAAAGTCATAAAGTGAGGATACAGAAAAGAGCATCCCACCTTTTGCTAAATCAAATTCTAATGGAATATGTTCACTTGAGCCCCTTTCAGAAATGCACTTCACTCCACGAAGGAATGTAACACGTCAGTGTCGTGTTCATCCACATCCCAACAAACAGGTGTCTGTAGCTCAGTTGGTAGGGTCGCGATTAGACATAAGGGGAACAGTTGTTAACTTTTTCTCACAATCTAGCCATGCAGATGGTTTCAGTTCAGTTGAGGTAAATATAAAACTTAAACTATTTGCATGGCTAAATACCACCAATGATAAATGTTCTGTTTTGGGTGAACAGACTGCAGTGAGCAAATGCTCTGTCCAGGAAAAGATGTACTTACCAGTGTTTGTTTTTTGCCCTTTGGTAATAACACATGACAGATGTGCCATGCGCACTTTCCTGGCATCATACACAAGGTCCTATTTTTACAACACCAACCTTTTGCTGGCACCTGGAGCTACTAATTTGCCATGTTGCCTAGTGCCTGCCTAAACGTAAAATATCTTTGTGTGTGTGCTTAGTGCGGTGGCAGATGAACAAAGAGGCAGCAATCCAAGAGGTTCAAGTTAATATTTCACTTACCTCCAGTGTATAAAAAAGAGCTGGAGAGTCCGCCGAAGTAAATAAGGGCTAGGTGCTCCAGTCTAAGTGTAGACAGGAAGTAGAGCAGAGTGGCACACAAGCACCCCAAAGAATATAACAATGCTCCGAACATAACAACATCCTGCGGTGCCAAGATTTCATCCACAAGAGTCCTGTCGTCACTCTTCTTGTGGTCAATCCCTTTGGAGAAGTCATAGTAGGTGTTTACGAGGTTGCCTGCCCCGTGGACCACAAGGACGGCCACCGCACAAACCATCAGGATGACCAAGTCCACAGAGCCCTCCAGTTTGTATGCCAAGGCGCTGCCGAGGGCCACCGGTGTGAGCGAGGCGCTGAAGCTCCACGGCCTCAACGCCAGCACATAGGCCGCACACTTATGCCTCACATCCGAAGCAACGCGGGCCATCCTTGACATGTGGTTAGTGCCTGAAGAGTGACTGACCATGTTAATCATACCAGTCTGCCATTGTTGGCCATTATGACCATTTGATCCAGCTAGTACAAATGTTTCTGCCCTGCTTTGTTTCTGCTCTTTGGCCATTCCTCTGCAAGGGGTCTACTGTACCAGCACCGTTCCCAAATGTCAGAGTCTGGTGTTCCTGTAGCAGTAAAAACATATCAGTAAGATTACAAGACAGTGCACAACAATATATAGTGTACTGTTTCCCCTCTATAAAGTAAATCAAAATGTGCCTTTCGGTATCATTATTTGCTTGAATTTCCCTCAGGATAAATAAAGTGTCTGTCTATCTATCTATCTATCTATCTATCTATCTATCTATCTATCTATCTATTCGACGCAGGTGTATTGAGGCATGTTTTCTTACATTTAAAAAAGGGGTTACATCATGTTTATATTTCCCACACTAAGATAGTGTAATATCATAGCAGCATTTATACCCAGACCCAATACAACAAAACTCCTATTCCAAACTTTTACAGCTTAATATTGCCTTCCATACACAATATCTTATATTTTCATAGTTACCCGTTTTTTCCATAATCAGATAGACTTTTCCAGGACTTGTTGACGCCCTTTTAAACGACCAGTATGTTCAACTTAACTTACACAAGCACATTTACTTGTAAGTGCGAGTATTAACTGCATGACACATATAGTTGCAGCAGCAGGTCAAACGGGTCAGAGGGGGGTCGGGGGGAGAGAGGGGGGCAGCCATGTATAGCTGCTGGCAATGTAAGAAACGGAGAGCTGTAGCGGTTCAGTAACGGTACTGGCAGCCGCTTTGACTCCAAGGTAAAGTGGGTGGTTTCGAAGCTGGACAAACAGTACATAGTTGTTCAGCTCGCCAATACACGTGGCATTTCGTTAAACACCACCCACACTAAAATTCTGGAGGAGGCACTTTCGGGGGAAACCAACACACTTTCCACCCAGATAAGGACACCGTTCTCCGGCAGGAACAAACAAACACAGGCTGACTACAGAGATTAGGGGATTAAAGCTAACAGGCTAGCCGCCGAGCTAACGCGCTCTGTACCGGGACACAGAGGAGGAAATGTCCGACAGCAGCTCTTACCTGTTACGTCTTCACCATCCGACACACACTGGCTTTCTCTCCACTTAAAAACATATTTCTGTGCCCGCTGAGCCTGTTCCACTGAGAGCCAGCTGTGGAGCTTACGTGTCAACTTCGAGAGTACTTGACTGGTTGGAGTCTGTAAACCCTGCTGCACCTGACGGGCGCCATTTCCTCCTCCACAAGTGCAACGGCGCACAGAGGTCGAAGAAACCGTTTCTCACACAATGGTTCCGACCAGCGTTTTATTCCTGCTTTATTCCTAATATAGCTAGAGAGTCGATATGATACGAAAAATAATGCAAATGAATAATACAAAATACAGTAAAAAAAAAAAAAAAATCTGTTTATAGCTAGGCATTAAATACTAAACCTATTGGGACAAGACTATTGGCTATTGGGACAAGGGCTTGCTGTAATATGTCCATAAGTAGTTTAAAAAATAATAATTAGTTTTCTTATCATCAAACATCAAAGGTTTCAGTAACCGTAGATCATAGCTCAGATTTTTATAGTTAAAGATTCCCTTCAGACATGTATGAAAATAGTCTGCTTGGAACAATAATGTGTGTCAAATATGTTTTTTCCACAAAAAATATCCTTAAAAAGGCATCTACTCCTTCTACTTCATTAAAAAAAAAAATCCAGATTCTATGAATATGCAAATTTAGTTAATTTCTAAAGTTTTCCTGCTGGACAGAAAATGTCTCCTACTTCACTGTAAAGTCCATTCTCAGTGTATGTGCACTGGTGGCTTCAAGTTTCTACATCACACTTGTACAAGTAGCACCAGGACTGAAACTAGTTGTGATGTCACAAATAATACTTGTAGGCTCCACCCCTTAAAATCAGATTTTTAATGAGCACAGATGATTTCAGCAGATGATTGTGAAAACATCCTTCTAGTGTCAAACTCTGCACAGACATCATTCTGCACAGTGGAGCCCAAACATCCATGTGTAGGAACAAAATGAAAAACATATTTCTGAGTGGATTTTATGTTTTTTAAATTGCTCTGGGATTTAATTTTTGTGGATCCACAAAATGTGACATTCTTGTGGCAATTCCGAGCTGTCTGGATGAGCTTTATGGGGCCCAGGAGTTGTTTCCACCCAGTCAAGCTCTGTGTGAATACAAGAAAAAAATCATAATTAAATGCAGAGAAAAAAGACCTAGATTCTATTCAGTGTAGCTGATACAGTTTGCCTGGGGTCATTCCTGTGTTCCCAGGGGTCTATGTTCCCCAGCTCTAGGGTTAGGGGTAGGATTAGGGGGTTAGGCAACTTAGAAGCCTGGGAACATGTAACACTTTTCCATACACATGTGCTGGCTTGGCTTGACTCGCGCATCAGCCCACTGCGGCAGGGACAAAGATACACTCCCGATTGGCTCATACCTGTGGGATGAAAAGTGGAACTGTAGTTTCTTTCTTTCAATGAATGGAAACTGGCAGAAGATGCTGATGAGAAGTTGGAGGTGCAACTGCAACATTCCTGCATGCAAAACATCTGTTAATTATTTCTACTATGGCTAAAAGGTCTCTTTCACAGCAGACATTTGGACTCATCACAGGTAGGAAAAGAACAGGTGTTACTAATTTCATCATTAAATTGAATTATTAAAGATGTTCAGTTTAAGTGTCAAGCATGCACAACATCCTGGAACTGACATAATGATACGCACCTAATGTTAATAATTACATTATTAATACATTATTATTTTTCACTATTACGTGTCAAAATGTTGAAATGTGAAAAATGCCTGTTGATTACCAATAGTTTACCATAGGCATCAGTCCTAATGATCAGACTAAAAAAGGGACGCTCAAACACAACTTTACCTAGAAGCTGCAAAAAATCTAATACTTTAATCTATCAACACTATTTGAATACAGTGATACATGTTAATGCCAGACTCACACTGTGGTGCAGCAGATTGCTCACTATGGGATGGGATGTTGCCAGTTAACCATTTGCACCATTTGGTTTGTTACGGTCATGGGGCTAGAATGAAAACTGATTAGACTGTGATAAGAACCATATGTTTTGATAATATTAATGAAATTAAAGTCACGGAACATCCCTGGGAATCCCCTGAACTGAGACACAATAAACACGTCTTCTCAGTCATTGGTCTTTCTAAATAATATAAGAATTTTTTTTTTTAGTTTCATGGGCCAGGACTAGCCATGAGGAAGACAGTGGCGTACACAAGGGGTGAATGTCTAGGGTGCAAAAGTACCCCAAGACCATCACCCACCCATCCAGCCCTTCTACAACTGGCAGCAGTGCAAACTGAATCAACTAGGCTATACTTTGTCTGATCATGTCACTATTCTTGCTGGACAGAAATGCTTCCAAGTCCCAGTGGAGGAGACACAACTTGAAATTCTTACAAAACTCTAAACATGCCAGTTGCAGTTCAGACTGATTTCCCCTGCTAAGGCTATATTTGAAGAGTTAAAAAGGAAAATTCAATGCAGCTGCACTTCTATTTATTTGACAATGTTTTATGTGATATAATAAGATGGGGTTTTTTTTGTCCTGAAGTGTTTGGAGTTGACAAGATGGGTCACAGAAGTGTTTTCTACCCGGCCAGGAAAGTGCCTGTGCATGCCACAGTGGAATAAAAAGACGACTAAACTACTTTTTCCCCTCAACAGCATTACATAAACCTCAGAAAATCATGTTCAAAATAAGCCATCTGATTCTGCTTTAACTGAGCTCTGGTGTTTGCAACAAGTGGGTTGATGGACAGAGCGCGTTTGGTTTTCATTAGATTGTCTCGACACTGACCCCCTGCCCCATCTACAGTAATATGAAACCAGCCCTCTGGCAGTCGCACTGTACGGAAGAGAGCCGAGCAGAGCTGATGCAGTCTGCACTGCTTTCACTACCCGGTCCGCAGGCTGGACTGCGCTACCGCACACAGCACCAGAAGCTCCCCGAGTACTGACACGCATGACCGAAACGCGCAATGGCCAAGAAGTAGTGTTCACGGGCATAGATGGTAAACCTGTGTAGTGTTCGCAGAGGGATTATTTGTGGAGTTTTTCTTTTCCTGGAGGTGTTACACACAGCCATGGTGTGCTGTCAGACTCCCAGAAGTTTACGCAGGGGCGACTGGAGCTTCGCTGCTCTGCTGGCTGCTGCGCTGCTCACTCTTCTGTTCGCAGGGATGCAACAAACCACAGCGTTTCCCTCCTGGAGGTTAGAGGTATGCTGTGACCACTTTGTGACATGTAAGAGCTGCCACTGCAAGTCCAATATATTGCCTGCTTTGTTATTGTTAAGTTATATAAGTAAGTTGCTGTTTCCATGATCTTTGCAAAAACATAACACCAAACTGCATTCAAAATTCTGTGACTTAATATTTACCCTGTGTTTCTGTGAAGCTACAGTCTAGACATGCTAGGGCTTGAAATTTTTTTTAATAATCAGAAGCCACTTTTCCATTCGGCTATACATTATTGTATCCCACGAGGCAGCACTCATTTCAAACAGTTACTTACTTTTGTAAGTTAATGCTTCACCTCTTATGTACTGCCTTCCAGGTTAAAAATATATAAAGTGATACTTGGTGGACTCCTTTTACCCTGGATTCATCACAAGAACATAAAGATTAATGATCTGTCTGATCAAGCTGTGTACATCTGACAGTCCGTAAAATAAATAATTTAATTCTAACATTTTTTGAATGAAGTATGGTCTCTAAAGTATGAGTCCCAACTTTGAAAGAGAAGGGTGCCTCTGTCCATGCAATTTTCAATAATTTGACCGGTTTCTTCATTAGTTCCTCATTTGAAATCACTGAGTTATAGCTTACCCATGGCAATACGCCTCATATTCAATTAATATTCGGTTAAGCTGGAGTTAGGGGATAATTAGGTTAGGCTATGGAATGGGTCCCTGTACGGTAATATATTCAGTGAATTGGATAAATGTGTTCCTCCACATGACTTCTATCGCTGCCACCCACCCACTGTGATACAGAGCCTGATGGATAGCCTCATGTCATTTCCTTTTGCCACACACTCTCATTATGTGTCAATCATGAAGACTGCTGTTTAGGATTGCATATCTGCCTTAGATAGGCTTCTTGTAGGCTACCAGGATAAATTACAGCACAAGTAAAATACACATGAGAGCATAAATGTATCAGTCAGTGAGTAAAGTAAGACCAGTAAGTGCAGAAGAGGATTGTGTGTGTATTCTTTTATGCATACTGAAAATAATGCGCATTTGATGATTCAATATTTAGAGATAATCAGAATATGCAAATTCACATTAACACTATTTTCTATGAATGGTTGTCGATGTATACTGTATATTCAGAATGTTTTACCTAATTCTCAGATGCAGTTTGTCAAATAACGCTGCATGCTGAGTAAAAGTTCAGTTTGACAGTGTATGTACTGAATTATAAACAGAAAATAGCCATTGTCGAATTGGACCTCCAATCTTCCCAAAACTAAGGATGAAAATCATAATCTCTGTCTTCTTGTCTCTGCGACTGAGGTTAAACTCTTCCAGACTCACTCCAGGATCTTCTGGGATTTGTCCTCAGATGTTTTGCCCTCAGAGTCAGTGCTCACCACTGGCTTCAAGGTTTAGTCTAGCATGCTTGTTTCAGCCCTCATGGTTTATGGTTCATCTTTATTTGTGCCAAAGTGTGAGATTAGATTTGCAGTGAATATAACAAGACCCGACACAGAAAGAACTGTGCTGGCCTTACTACATTAAACACCTCATAAATCACTGAACACAAGACTCCAGTGTGTTAGCTGAGGTCAGGAAAGCAACTGTTGTATAAAACATGACCAGTACATATAATACAATACAGAAACATTATATTTAGTATCAGAGCAAGAGATGTCATCAAGTTCATTCAAGAGAGCAGTGTGGGACAGTCTGCCAGACTGCCTGCCCCTGTTTCACTATTTTGGTAAGGAAATGAAGGAAGTACTGGATCTATTTGTCTTGACTGGGCGAAGCAGAAACAGGAACCGGAGGATAGGGTGTAGAATACAAAGTGAAGGGAGTGGCTTTGATATTTGCTCTCCATCTTCAGTATTTTTCCCCAGTATGAGACTGCTGGAGCATAGGTTCCACAGGTCAGCCAGTTGTAGTTCAAATAAAGTCAGGTTTTCCTTGCTAAAGCTATATTTGAATTATGTGTTCTGAAGAAGTAAAATTATCATATTCACAAGAAAAAAGCGAAATATTTAGGAAAAGTCAGCTCAAATGGGTATAACAGTGAACAGGGGTGCTTCCAAAGGGGGGCACTGGCCAACCCTGAAATCTGATTGGCCACCACAAGTGCCACCCCATTATCCTTACCTTTTCCACTTCGCACTGGCTTTCAGAGCCAGTGTCAGGCTCCATTTTAAAGTGAAGATTCTGGTATCATATGAAATTAGATGATCTAACGCATCCATTGGTACCAACCATGCTTTGTATGTTGGGAAGTGGGCTAAATAACACTCAAAATCTAGACTAAATTATGGTGATGGGAAAAACTGCCATGGCCATTTTCAAAGGGATCCCTTGACCTCTGACCTCAAGATATCTGAATGAAAATGGGTGCTATGGGTACCCACAAGTCTCCCCTTTGCAGACATGCACACTTTATGCTAATCCCATGTAGTTTTTTGCAGGTGGTATAAATGTGTTATTTTCACCTAGTGTATTTGCATACTGGGGTCCATAAACAGTGTTGAAATTGCATAAATTGGTAATGACTGGAAAGCTGAGACACATACTTTATGCCACCCCTGCATAAGTCCGTGCCCCACTTTTGCCCCCCCAGGTCAAAAAATTCTGGAAACGCCCCTGACAGTAAATACTTTGTCAGTCTCTCCTCAAAGGAATTCAGTGTTGCACCCTGGTTTTTCACTCAGAAGGTTGTGTGAGAAATGGAGACAAAAAAGCTTAAGACAGAAGTTTAAACCCTGCCTACATTCATACCATCATAACGTAGGCTATTTCTAGAGTAGCTGCAATATCTGCGTAAACTGGGCGCGCTTGTAGGATCTTCTGTTTCGGAAAGTTACAAAACCTGTAGCACCCACAATTTCTCCATTAGAAAGAGAGCTGGCGACCCATGTACCGAGGCTGAGTCCGTGCTGCAGCGGCCCAGGATTCAAATCCGACCTGCGACCCTTTGCTGCGTATCATCCCCTCTCTCTGCCCCCCTTTACAGCCTATCTTCAGCTGTCACTATCATAAAGGCAATAAAAAACCCCAAAAATACTTAAAAAAAGAAAAGAAAATGGTGTTGGAAGTTTAGCTGTTGGATGATCTCCTAATGGCTGAACCCTACTGCCTCCATCCTCCCCAGTCTCTCTCTGAGAACTCTGTCCTTTGGGAGTCTGCGCTGTCTCAACATGATGAATCATACAAATAGTGCACGTATTCGGACAGTCTCTCCTAGAAGGTATTGATGGTGTTCAGTTGTATACCGACAAGGTCAAAATTTGCGTACTTTCTTACTCCTACACACCTGGTTGATTGCTGTGGAAAGGATTGTCTGTTTCGGTAGAAGAATGCTGTTAGACAAGCAGACAAGAACTTAGTTCGAAGCATATTACGGCCTTTACACTTCTCACGGCAACTTGTATGTTGTTGACAGTCTCTCTTCATCCCCTCACATTTTACACCCGATGTATTAATTTATACGCTCGTCAGTCTCCAAGCTTATAGGTTAAAATAGGTAGAGTGGGCCTGTGTAAAGAATAAAGATTCAGGGTAGAGATTCAGTTTTAATCCTCCTTAAACTTATCAGCTGGAATAGGAAGCCTTCCTGCTCTCAAGCAGAGTGGGCTCCTCGAGTTAGAATCACGGCCCGACTTCAAGTGTTGGAAAGTGGATTTATCACTTGAACCCATCTCCATAAAAAGTTATAGATTTTATCAACTGGGCGATCACTATTATGGGATATCACAGCCAAGGAAAACCACAACTTAACTTCAGTCACAGATATATTTATGAAAGCACTAAAATGCATCACACCCATAGACAGCCGTTCAAAGCTATAAAAAAAATAGTGTGGAGTCCATGTGTGATCACTTGGAGTCAATGTTGCCCTAAAGAGACTCAGACACAATCTATCTGTGAAAAGGATCATACTTATGTTTGGAAAGCACTTTTACTGCTGACCACTTCCAGTTTCCATGAGATGGAATGGCCTTGTATGAAAATCAGATGCAAGGCACAGAAATAACAGCAACTGAGCGCAGTTGTAACTGTCAAGATAACAATTTAATGCCTGCAGATTCAAAAGTCAAACCCTTTCCGAGTCTCTAATGTGCACTGAGCGAATAATTTATCGTATTGAATTCTTTTGGAAGCCCAATCCATGACTTTAGATCAGAACCCAATAATAGTTTTAGACGCCTTAAGGTTCAGTTCCTGACTTCACCTCAGTGCGAGGTGATTAATTAAAGGTTTTTCTTTGTCCAAGGAAGAACCTTACACCAATGTGCTGCTCATTGGGATCCGCAAAGAGGCCCGGTCACAAGTTCTACACCTCTCCAGGAACAAGCGCTACACCCTCACCCCGGAGCAGCTCAAGTGGGACAAGTTCAGGCTAACATACAAGTATTCATTTACAATTCTTCCTCTAAGTCAAGAGCAGTTGTATAAAATGGAAAAAGGGAAAAAATTAATCTTTGATAAAACATGGGAGGGAGTTAGACTGATGTTGGTTTTGGCAGGAAAACATTGCCACGTTAAAGATCTTGAAAGATCTCAGACTGTTATTGGTGTGGTTTAGCTGCATCTTAGTGGGATCATTTACCCTAAATTGACAGTATTTTTCAACTCATGTCAGTCAAGATGTCCACTTAAGGTTGTAGGACCAACAAAGGTTCAAAGTGCATCATCCATCAGGGATTGCCTTACAGAACTCTCTGCTTGCATTTGTCAGAGAGGAAAATTAAGTAGTATTTGGAGGACTTTCACACACATGCTGCAATTGCTTAGCTACAACACATTTGGATTGTGCTGCACTAACTGTTTGGAGAAGATCCAGTGATACTTTATTCTTTCTGGAGCTGTAACAAAAAAAGATCCCATAAAAGAAGATTGGATTGAACTACAGAGGTTCAATCACTGGATTTTGGTGAGCCAGCAAACTTAAGTGGACAGTAGACAAAAAGATTGTGAGCCAAATTTCAGTCGTTCCCAAATTCATACAATATCTTCATCTCTTTCATATTGACAGTGGAGGTTACCAACTGATCAATAGGATCCCTATTAGAAGAACTCTATCTGAGATATAAGAGAATTTCAAGTCTCAGTAATGGAGCTGTACTTGCAGTGCTTGTGGGAATTCTGGTCTGTCTAAACAGTAGCCATTGTGTTTTGGCAGATTCCTCTGCTGTAGAGGAATGTGTGCAGAGACCAGTATTAACTATATAATGCTGTTGTTTTCTGAGCAGGTTGCTCTCCTTCCCTACAAACCTGATAAATGCCAGTGACACGCGTCGAGGCATTGCCAGGGCTTTTGGCATGTGGAGCGACGTCTCGCCGTTCAGCTTCAGAGAGGTGCCAGCTGACCAAGAGGCAGACATTAAAATCGGTGGGTACTCCGCATGTGGCTGTATCAGTCCCCTACAGATGTTCCTTGGCCCCGAGCTCCAGACTTCTACTTTGTCGTCACTTTTTCTCTCTCCATGCTGTCATCACTGAAATGTTTTCACCTCCAAACTTATTAAATCACACTACCGCAACTATATTACCAAGCTTATATTCCGCATGATTCATTATTCTAAATGAAAAAAATAAATGCTTAACAACTTCCATACATGTCAGCCCATGGTGAAGCAGTCTAAATTATGCTTTATCTGTCCCTTTGGGTGCAAACTCAAGGGTCCTGCATAAATTCTCAGTAACAGTGAGAGAAATGGTTGTCATCCTGCTGGGTGAAGGCTGAAGAAAAACCTCTGTCTTTAGCAATCCATCATCCCCCTGCTGTAGTCTACACAGAGCAGAAATATTGGAGTGAGGGTTTCCCTCCTCGGCTCTGAGGTATGTGTCTCTCTCTCTGTCTTGGCAGGCTTCTACCCCGTCAACCACACAGACTGTCTGCAGTCCTACTTGCACCATTGTTTCGACGGCATCACAGGAGAATTGGCTCACGCATTCTTCCCGCCAACTGGCGAGATCCACTTCGACGACCACGAATACTGGATTCTGGGAAACATGCGCTTTAGCTGGAAGAAAGGTATGCGTCTTTATCATGTTTCTTGAAATGGCTAATATTTAACCCATAAAGTGATGGATGCAGGAGACACTGAACTGGACAGCTCGTGGGGCGCACGGCAACTGAAAGAGAAAATAACCAGCAGTATCTATGTTGCAGGGGTTTGGCTGACTGATCTTGTCCATGTGGCAACTCATGAAATTGGCCACGTCCTGGGACTCATGCACTCTTTGGACCCGAAAGCTATAATGCACCTGAATGCGACTCTGACAGGGCGCAAGCTAATCACACAGGATGAGGTGTGGGGTTTGCACCGTCTCTACGGTATGTTCACAATCCTTTCTGACTCTATTGGAACGCAAATGGGAAAGTTCTTCTTTTGGGCTTTGACAGCACTGATAATGTTGTCTGTCATTCCGGAAACAGGATATCTAGTAGCAGTAAGTGGCAGGCAAATGGACTTGTTTGGTCTTGTGGTGGTTGCTAACCTCAGAGTCGGGACCCCATTAGGGGTTGCCAAAGCTTTATGGGAGGTTACGAGGCCTTCTTGATATTAATTGATAATTAATATTAATGATATTAAGTATACAAAAATATACACAGTAAACCTATATCTCAGCATTTTGTTCACTTCAGTGAAGAAACGTTAAAGTGAAATAATTTATCTAATAGATCAACGGTCAATGGGTTGTCAGTTTACTAAAGAACAGAAAAGGGATCCCTTAAAGAAAAAGGTTGGGAACCACTGATCTTGAAGACATTTTGCAACTCATCCAGATGGTGAACCGCCCAAGCCTCCTGATTGAATGGAAAATATCCTCAAGACCTAAACAGTAAATCCAGTCCTCATGCTGGGATCAGACTACATGATGGGTCTGATGATTTTATCCCAGATGGTCTGTCATAGTGGAAGACAACTGAAGCATCTGAGAAGGTTCACGACAAAAAGACCCTGCACCAAACCTTTTTTTGCCCAGTTTGACAACTCCGACAACAGGACCCATTACGTAGACATTAAACATGCCAAAGGCAAAACAGGAAGGATCTGTGAAGCTCATCCCTGGCACCACCTTACAGATCAACTGCACGTCATGATGGCCATGAAAGACAGCAAGATATGATTGCTCTGGGTCCAACCTGTAGTCTGCCATGCAGAGGAGGCAAAAGTACACACATTCTTTACTCAAGTAGAAGAACAGATACTGATACAAAAAAGAAAAGTAGAAGTTCTGATTCAAAAACTACTCAAGTGAAAGTGAAACGTACAGGTTCGGAACACAAATAGGGCTGCACAATTAATGTTATCAAAATCGCAATATGGCCAAGTGCAGACGTCAAACCACTGAAGCTGCAGTTTTTTTTTAATAAAGGTAAAGTGTGTGACAAAATAGGATTATAATGATGTACTGTGGTGCTGCAGAGATGCCCTGGCCTACAAATCTTGTTCTCCAGATTTAAGAAAACATGTTTGTTTGATAGAGACCCCCAAACATTTCACATCATCGTGATTTTAACAGTTTTTTCAATGAAAATTAAATGTGTGACACAAAAATGATCAGCACCACACTAATTGTGAATCATATCGCAATTGCAATATCTAGCAAAAAAAAAAGGCAATATTATGTATTTACTGTATCGTGCAGCCCTATACCCAAAGTAAAACAGTAAAAAGTACTCTCCTGGCTTCTCTGAAGGACATTTCTACTGACTGTTTCTGTGCAAAGCTGACAGAAACTTCAAACAGGGTTGAGTCTCTGTTACGTCTGTCATGCGTGATATGCACCTGTCTTAATGTTGAGAAGCAGTGATGCATACAGAATAATAATCAATAATTTCCCTTAAACACATTAAAACAAAAACAAATACAATGTCTGGCTTATCATTATTATTATTATATTTGTATAATAATTTAAGTGGTTAAAGTAAAAGGTTGTCAGAAAAATAAATTCTCAAGTAACTGAAAAAACTAGTTAGGTGTGTACGTGTGTGTGATTTATTGGTACTGTCACCTCCTACCTCTGCTGCCATGACCATTGGCCAAGAATTCAAGAAATTAAGTGAAGGCTTAATCTGACACAGTGACAAACTTGAAAGGCGAAACTATTGTTATGATCCCGGCATTGGAATCTAGATACAAAACCTTTGACCCATTTTTGGTCACAGTCGACCAGAATGTAGACCACAGTGTTGGTCTGATGCTGAAAGCCAACGTGGCATTAATTAATATTGTATAAACTATTCATGAGTCATCATTAGCGTGTATTATGGTGAGTCATTTTCATTGGAACAAAAAGCAGATCTGGGATCCAAATTCTTTTGCTGCTGACTGAGAGCTGTTGTCTGATCCTCCTCTTACTCCTACTCACTCAATCTCCCTTTCTCCTCCAGGATGTTTGGACCGGTTCTTTATCTGTCCGGCCTGGGCTCGGAAAGGCTATTGCGACAGCAAGCGCAAGCTGATGCAGAAGCACTGCCCCTCCAGCTGTGATTTCTGTTACGGTAAGACACAGCAGCAGAAAGCACGAGCAGTCCAAGGGAGAAAAAAAAAAAGTTTTCTCTCAATTGAGCAGCGCAAGGAGCTGCTGTGAACCGTTTGCCAATGGAGCAACGGGAGCCAACAGGTCCAGCCATGCAGAGCTGCGATGGGGGTTTTCAAGAATCTGACTTGAAGAGAGATTACACTTGCCACTGGAGGAGTTTGTGTTTGGATCTGGAGAATACCAGTGTCCCCAGGGAGGCAATGCGTGCTTTAGCCTAGAACTCAATCAGAGCGGGTCCAGGTACCTGTTGATTGCCGTCTCCAGCAAGTATTGATAACACATCAGCAATCTGACAATCTAAGCCTCTTTAGGTTTACTGTGAGACGCACTGGTGCTGATGTCTCCTGTTGCACAACAGGAAATGGCTCCTCTTAACCATCACAGCCCATAGATTGTTGTGGCTGTCTGAGATTTTTGTCAGCAACAGGGGACAGTGTGGAGAGAGGCAAGAGGATACGATTCCTGGCTCGCAGTAATCTGTTCCTCATTGTTGATTGGGAGACGTTGTACGGCTGTGGAAAATTCCTGAGTGACTCCAAACCACTGGAATTTCAGACTGTGGCTTGAGGGTTAGAGACACACAAGGTCAATTTGGATTTTTGCGGCATTAACGAGAGCGACTGTTTTTTAAGCAGACTTTGAGTTGATCACAAGGCGGCCTGTTGTGTTTGTCAGAAACCAGATGGGAGATATTATATTGATAAGACAGCCGTGGCGCTGGCAGGTCAGGAGTTATGAAAAGCGTATTAAGTGTCTGACGTGATAAGGTTTGTATCAAAAATATTGACAGTAATCAGTGTTTGAGTGAGGTAAAGTTGTGACGTCTCCAGACTGTGAAATCCACCGAGGTATAGGATTATCTCTCCTTTTTCTAATTGTTCTCAGATGATTGTTGCACGGTCAGGATCACTGCAAGCTCATTAACGCTCTGATGCCTGTGTCTCCCCCCTCAACCCTCTTCAGAATTCCCTTTCCCCACTGTGGCTCCCACCCCGACACCCCTGAGGACCAAACACAAGCTGGTCGTCGAGGGGAAGAAGCTCACTTTTCGCTGCGGGAAGAAAATAGCATCGAAGAAAGGCAAAGTATAGTGAGTATCTGCCGCCTGACCTGAGCGATGCTGTGGCATGAGTTCGCCGAGCACAGCCTAATGTGCCACTTCTGTTTCAGCTGGTACAAGGATGGGGAGCTGCTGGAGTTCTCGCACCCAAACTACGTCTCCTTGAAAGATGACCACATTACTATAGTGGCCAACGCCATCAACGAAGGCACATACACCTGCATTGTGAAGAAAAAGGACAAAGTTCTCACAAATTACTCGTGGAGAGTACGTGTGCGCTTCTGAAGGCCACGCCAGCGCCAGCGCCAGCTCCTCCGCACACTTTTCAGGACGCATTCACACACGGTCACAAGGAGACCTCATTCACTAGGGCACATATTTCTGATTTTTAAATACTGTCTTTCCTGTATCTCCCACATACAACTGTCTATCGTTGTCATTGTGTTAAGGCGTTTCATCAATATGTGCAAATAATAAATGTTCCGTGACAAGTTGAATTTTAGTGAAAATACTACCTGACTGTGAAAAGCTGTTCATGACAGATGTTGCGGTTTTCATTTTATTTGGTGATGAAAGATCCTTGCAGCCCTTGCAGTCAGCTGTTTGAGACAATAACGTCTGCTCTGGATTCATCAGGCCTGGATTTCTTCAAAGCTTTTGCTGCTGAGGCAGTGATGAGGTCCAAGGCCACCCAGGGGTTCTTGGGGCGTCTCCATTAAAACGGGAACTAATTAGATATCACTGTGGCTTAATTGAAAATATATTAGGCAAGTTGGAGAAGGTATAGGAGTAACTTCTCATATACACTGAACACAAAATCTCCCACTATAGGTCCCCGGGGAGTGTGTCATCCAAAAGATATCCATGTCCATAATGTGTTCCGTTCTACAGGCTTGAAAAAGTTACAGAAGCCCTTGCTTAGATGCATGCCATTTGAATAATTTACGCACTGACCAAAGTAAGCTACGAAAGCCAGAATAAGCAATGTTGTCTACAGCCTTTGGAACTATTTGGACGTAAAACCGCATATGGAACACCTCAGACGTCTAGCTTACTTTACTAGCCTCACAGTGAAGCCAGCAGTCTGCCTCCAGAGACTGAGCAGTCAGTTCCACTAGCAGCTCTCCTTCCAAGCTTATTCAACACATCAGGTGTAATAATCTGCAGAAGGGCTCCAGTGGGGGCAGGGGATAGATAAAACTGATTAATGAACATTTCCATTTGGTGCCGGCTCTAGACGTCCCAAGACGAAGGGATTTTTCTGCGCCTGTTCCAGTGAAAGCAGCAAGTGGTCTTTGCAGGGAATGAAACTGTACTGTTTATTTTTCTTCGGCTCAAAATCAAAGAATTTATTGGTTTAATTCTGAAGTCGTAGAGCCATTTAAAAACAAAAGCAGAGAGAAGTCTGGGCCCCTTTTCTCCTGAAAGAACAAAGTACTGAGACAAAGTGTGCAGTGCAAAGAATGACATCACTTTTGGACAGCGACTACCAAGTTGGGTTCAAGGCTGGATTTTTTTTTTTTTTTTTTTAGGCTCAACTTCCCTTCATTTTTTTTCCTCCTCTGGCAGCGTGCGGTTGTGTTTGAATAACTTGGACCGAGTTTATAAATATAGGGAAAACGGCAGACAAAACAAAGTTTCAAACTTTATTTCTAGCAAAAACATTGTCCCCCTGTCATCAAGTGACCCAACAGTACTGAGTAAATTTCTAACATAATGCTGGATGGAAAACACAGCCAATGCTGCATCATTATACAGTAGCTCAGGCAGCCAGGAAATACCAACCATTTACTAAATCTGGTTCTCTCTCATGAAGTATAAAAGGGAAAATAAAACAAAAGTCAAACATGAGAGCTAAACTTCTAACAGATGTATGGTTGTGTCTCCTCTTTAAGAGCTAAAATGACCACATTTAAAATGGCGAAATGGCTCGAAAATACAGAAAAGAAGCCGACAAGTGAAGGGAAAACACTGGAAATTCAACATGTTTGAGCCACCAGTCTTTGCTGTGAGACAGTCCTGACTATTTAGTAACAGTTGCAATGACCAGGCATTGATTGGGTTTACAGTTGTAAACCAGTGACACTGTCCAGTTCCAAAACAACAACCAGTCCGAGAACTCCCCCACACCCTCTTTCTCAGCGAGACCGCCAGGGGTCCTGCAGTTTTTGGGCTCAGAATTTGAGGCTGAAACCTGGACCGACGGCAGATGCTCCCTGGTTGCTTGTTGTCAGGTGGAAGCCTGTGTCTCTCAGGTCGTCATCACCCTAGAGAGATTATGGAGACAAAGTTAGCTCATGGTTAACGCCTAGTTGGTTTCATCACTGCTTTGTTATCAAGCGGTTTCATTTCTTACATATTTATAACAGAACTGATCAATACTACACTGGTTACTTTTGGGAAACCCTTAACATGGATGGATTGTAATGAGACATTTGACTGTATTCCACACAAGTATGCATGAACATGTTTATTAATATTATTAATAAAGTTATTATTTTCCTGGGTGTCAGTGGAGTTTTACTGTCCCAAGGTCTGCTTCACAAGCTTTTCCACCCTGATAAGAATAAAACTGGAGATAAACAACCAATACTGCTCGCATGAAATTGTCTATTTTGTTGGTAAGATGGCCAATATCAACACTAACTTTCATTGATAAATACTAACATCATCCTTATGCTTCTGGGTGGGTAGGACCACTGCTGAAAACATTAGGCACTAAAGGGTGCTCATCATGGAAAACACAAGGAGGAAATACCCGGACACAAAGCAGAAGCCTGTAGGTCTGTAATCTATTTAACACAGACAGCATTCGGAAAGCCTGGTAGCTGTATGTAATGGAGAAAGTGGAGCCTAATGTCCTTACCAGGTGACTGTAGCCCAGGCCTCCCTCGGGTGGACGAGGACTGGTGCCTCTCTTCACCCTCTGCTGCTCACTCTTGGCCGGCCAGGTGGGGAACATGGACGGGTCGATGGGCAACGGCGTCTCGCGGAAGTACTCGTGCTTGAGCCCCTCGTCTGATAAGATCCTCTTACTGGGGCAGTAGGTGAGGAATCTGTAAAAATAGTCAACGATTGAGTTCATATGGAGAGGCCAATACGCCATTCAATAAAGAATGACAGCTAACCGGGCAGCTTGTGTTGTTGTGCTGACTTTGTCTTTGTGTGGAAACAAAGTGAGTCCTGGGTAAAAACTGTAAAACTTCACTAAGAGGTAAACCGGTTCCAGCCCACTGAGTGAAATAGTTCTGGTGTTTTGCTCAGTGATGGCCGTCTCCCCAGTTGGAAAACCAATCAGGGCTCTGTAGGTGGAATTAACCATGGAGGTGTCATCTTTCTGTACCACAGCCAGAAAAATAGTGACAAGAAAATGGCCCAAAATGGACGTAAGCTAGGATGAGATTGGCGCAGCTATGCAAGTTGTTGCAAGTTAGCAGCCAATACCACAAACTGCTTGTGTAATGGTTCTGTCTGATGTGCATCTATTGAGAAGTGCATTGGCAGAGGATGTGTAGGAATCCCCATTAGGCTGAGAAAGATCCAGTTTAAAAGTATAGGAGGCTTATCATTTTAAATATCAGCTGTACAAAACTGAACTACAGCGAGACAGAGAATCTGGACCCAATATGCAGCAGTGACATGAGGGGCCAGTGGGTTTGTGCAAGGAGTCCTAATTGTCTACGACAGGCTCAACACAGCATTATGGGGAGCTGCTCAATTGTGATAATTGGCTTTCACAATTGGAATCTTCCCCGCGTGAGCAGGCACAGTATAAATGATTAACACCCGCCTGAAAAGATTTGATTAAACAAACTGTCTCTGTTTTCATGTGGAAGGAATCCCTGAGAAGGGCTACTGACTGGGAATACACCGATACCAGCTGTATGACACATGGGGCCAATGCTGGCACCGAAAGGGACAATTGTCCATTTGGGTCCAAATCATTGTTTTTGTTTTGGAATTCAAAGAATGTACACCCTCCTCCTCAGGACAATCCGTGTATCATTCGTTCTTTTCATATTCAATTGAGATTCCAAAATCGGAAAATGAAAAAAAAACAAAACGTTTTTTTATTTCCTTATTACTTTATGAATCTGATACCAAAAAACAAATAACGGTTCATTTTTTGTACTTTCGATTTATTGCTCAGATCAAAAAAAGGAAATGAAATAACGGGCCACAGATCGATTTTGATTTTGATATTTAATTTTTTCGCTTTGTATGAACCGGAAGTTATTGTCTCGTTAGCTTGATTCACTTCTTCAGTTTAACTAACTGAATTTCAGAACATCGCTGGATACCCATCTGCTGCAGCATGGTAGAAATCTCTACATGTGTCTTGCCAGTTTCAAATAAGTCTTTAATTAAATCAGCATATGGTTCTAGTGCGGCGATACGAAATTACTCAAAAAATACAGAGCACAATCACTGCATGATTGAGTTTTTTCAGGCTTTGCGAAATTGCGGCAAACTTCCAAGTGCAACACACAAAGACGACAATAACTTCCGGTTCACACAAATCGGACAAATGAAATATCAAAATCAAAATCGATCCGTGGCCCATTATTTCATTTCCTATTTTTGATCTGAGCAATAAATCGAAAGGACAAAAAAGTAACCGTTATTTATTTTTTGGTATCAGATTCATAAACGAATAAGGAAATAAACCATTTTTTCATTTTCCGATTTTGGAATCTCAACTGAATATGAAAAGAACGAATGATACACAGATTCAGGACCCTCAGGAACCAAGAGCCCTGCTGGTTTTCATTCCGACCATACAGACCTGTTATACCTGGGACACAAGGTGATAGAAACTAATAACGGAGTATGATAGAAAAGCTGGGTCTTTTGGGATGGAAATCAAAATCTCTTATCTGCCTAGCCCCATTATTGCATCAGAAATGAAGTGCAACCTGAAACCCCTCCTCAGGTTGGATACCAAAGGCTCTGAACCTTTTCCTACACGGGGGTGTGATATTCCAAACAGCTCTGTGATATCTTCCAGCCAAACTACACCTCTAAAACCTCTACTACGCCGCTCTGTCTGAAGCTTTTCAAACAGCACTTCTCTATGTGTTGACCTCCTGCGGTCTGAATCTTTCCCTTGGTAAACGCCACATGAGTCTTGTGACAGCTGGAAGGTTTCAGCTGCACTGGACAGGCGCCAAACTTCCACTGGACCGTGATCCCTCCCAGCAGCACAGTGGACATGCTTTTACCATCCTCCGCAGCTGTGAGGAAAGCGAGCGGTATGGTTTTGTCATTTACAGGTGTAGGCAAAAGGCTTTGTGGGTGGGTAAAGATCTGAGAGGAGCTCGTCTCTGCTCTTTGCAGCTGCAAAACAATGCTGATCTTTGGAATGTGCAAGAAAGAATTATGAAACCATTACTCTGTGTGAAAATGATTTTCCATATTAAACGTGTGCTTTCTAAAACATTTTCCTGTAGTGTGGAGCATCAACATGGTGAGTGTGTGTGTGTGAAAGGGAACAAGGAGATGGAACGGGACTGCTGCTGAGGCATGTTGATGAATTACCAGTCCGCTACCGTTGTCATGTTTTAAGTCAGCTTGCCAGAATTGCACTGACTGAATAAAAAGAGCTGGAAAGAGTAACAGTATTTGACAGGGTAGCAATGCGTTCATCCAAGTAAGGCAATTTCCACTGTAGGAGTCATGCTGATTGTTACTGATATTAGTGGCCATGCATTCATATGGGCCTGTGTTCTATCAATAATAGATGGAAAATAAAACAATGCCTATATGGACATTTTTGAAATCTAATATTTTTGACCTTTGAGAAATCGCCAAATTTGTCAAACAAAGTTGAATAACAATACCATTAAAATAGATTATTTCAAGCTGACGTTTTTTCCTAATTTCTTGCAACAAGTAGCGAATAGTGTACTGAGCATTCCTTTATGGCTACAGTGGTCTGTCAAGAACACAGTTATCCATACATAATGCATGCAGCTACAGTCAGAAACCAGTTGCAATACCACAGCCAGGCTGACTGCAATGCAGTAAATATGCAGTGCAGCGTGTGTGAGGTGTAATGTTTGGAATAAGACAGCCTCCCACAATCCTACTTGTTCATGAGGTCGAAGCCCTGGTCTGAGAGCAGCGCTCCGAAGCGCTTTCGCAGGTTGTTGTAGGGATACTCTGTGAAAGTCATCTTCTTCACAGCGGGCAGCTCGTTGTACCCAGGCCAGATCTTCTCGCTGGGTGACCCCAGATCCTACAGACAACACACACACACACACACATAAGTCAGAAGACAGCATACTGTTAGTGCAAGGAGAAATGGATATGACATATTCCCATTTTGGCAAAATATTCCTCAACCACAGACTTACACCAGTCCTAAGTACATTTCAACAATTAAATATATCACTGGTAAAGACTGTAGGATGACTTGGGAGGCCTGAATGAATCAGCCACATGGTTGTCATGCTTTATGCGGATCATCTACTGAAAAGCATTCAACCAGTTATTAGGGTTTTTCCACAGGTCCGTGTCGGTCCACTGTGGTGTGGTTTGTGACTAGTACACCTTCAACACGACATCAAGGTAAACAACTTTACCTAGCTGTGGAAACACACTCAGACTGTGCAAGAGCGGCTCCATAGCTCACGGCCGTTAACAGCATGGCTTTGCACAGCTTGGCACAACCTCCTCCCCAGCTATGGAAAAACCCTATATGGTAAGCCTCTCAGTTTCATAATAACTTCATCAGCTGGGTTTATCTACCAACAGCTCCATCCTGTGGCGCACTTTAAAACTCCATGCTGACCTACTCTGACAGACGTCACACTCAAAAGATTTACTGGCTATAAACAGAAGAGTTCTATCCTTTATGGTGAGGATTTACTTCATGTTATAAGAGCAAATCAGTGCATTTACCTTGAAAATCTTGTTAATTTGGTCAATTTCAGATTTTCCAGGGAAAAGAGGTTTCTGGGTGAGGAGCTCGCCAAATATGCAGCCCACTGACCACATGTCCACAGCTGTGGAGTACTCCTGCGGAGAGAAGAACAAACAGAGTGGCAGTCCGCAGAAACATAGAGTAGACAGTCTGCTTGGCAAGTGAAGTGTGTCGTGTGTGAAAGTGGATGCGCTCTGATGGGCTGCTGGAGCGCTGCCGTCTGGCTGTGTAAATCATATACTGTAAAACTCAAATAAGTGCTTCAGTGGTATTTGGTATCTTATGAAGCCAATCCTTTGCAGATGTTGTCTCTTCTCTTAGAAAGATATCTTTGGGTAAACCAATCAGTCCAGTCCTCTATGAAAAGTACCTTAATATCTGTAGTTTCAAATATTGCACAGATATTTGGCATCTGCTTCCTGTTGAGTGTGAAGGTAGTGTGAACTTGAATTCTCACCTTGGCTCCAAGCAGCAGCTCTGGTGATCGGTACCACAGGGTCACCACTACCGGGGTATAGGGCTTCAGGGGGGAACCGTATTCCCGGGCCAAACCAAAGTCTCCAATCTACAGAGCAGGACAGTTAGCTCACATTAACACATTAAAAGAACAATTCCTCAGCTTTCACACGATTCCCCCAAAAGGTGTTAATTTGGATCATCCCCTGACCTTTCATAGGAGATCAACTAACTATATACTCTGGTGCAGCAGGGTACAGGAGAGTCATATTGGATTTTAAAAATCACAAGATGCTGTGTGATTCATATTTTCTATTGTCAGCTTGCATAAAATTCACACTGACAAATGTCTGTAAAAGTCTGGCTTATTTACAAATGGACTGTCTGGTGTACATTTTGCCAGACAATTCATGCTCCAATTGACTTTTAGTAATCATGTGTTGTTTGTTCAACTGTGCTGTATTGCTGCTAGCTTGGGAGAAACGTGTGCATCAAAGGGTTGAATAAAGGGAACCAGTTTCTGTCTTCTACCAAACTATAGATGAAAATATAATTTCCTTTATTTTAGGATTTTTTCTTTCCAATTTGGGGTAATATTTAATCAAGTCATAATTCCAGAGCTACAACTGGTGGAATACTAAATATCATATCTCCATAAATCTGTTTTTAGACACTTCTGCACCAGGTGAACTGAAAAAAATAGCAGTCAATGTTAAACCTACTTGATTCTCTTACCAAAATAATTATATTAAACTAAACTATCGTGGAATACAACTTTTACTTGCTCTGGACTGGCTGTGAGCTGCCCGCATGGACCCCAAGGTAAAAACAACCCCCTTTAGTTTGCCAAACTTTAGTTTGCAGGGCCAGAGTGAGAACAGTCCTAGCATACCTTGAGGATACCCTTGTGGCTCAGCAGCAGATTGGACGTCTTCAGATCACGATGGAGGATCCAGTTATCGTGGAGATGTCGGACACCTCGAAGCAGTTGAATCATCAGAGTCTTTACTTCACCTGAAGGACAAACGTTGACACAACGTCATTTTTGTTCCACTCAACTTTGTACACGCACAGAAATGGACCAGAGCTCCACAGTGTCCCTCCGTTACCTGGCAGGAAGGGCTGCTTCATGGTTTCCATCAGACTCTTCAGGTCATGTTCTACATAGTTCATTACAATGTAGATCTTGTCCATGTTACTTCCAACAACTATTTCCTAATAGAGAAGAAAAGGCGAGGGTTACATTTAGCTAGGATACATAAGTCAATAAAAATGTTCTTACTGGACTGTACTCACCCGTACTGTGACGATGTTTGGGTGCTGAGCTTTCAGGATTGTATTAATTTCTCTTAAAGAGGTGATAGGGAAGCCCTCCTTCTCCTTCTCCATCTTCAGTCTTTTCAAAGCCACAATTTCATCTGCAAATATGAAATTGTATTCACTATTTCATCTATAAACACATCTGAGAACCTCAAAAGCAAATGGATCTCTGTTTATTTTCATACCAGTCTTTTTGTCCTTGGCTCTATACACCACACCATAGGTTCCCTCCTCTATTCGGTTCAAGCACTGGAATTCCTCAACACTGCGACAACCCTGAAAAAGAACACAATAATTGCTATGTTGCTTACTTGCATCCGACAGCTAGACATATGTAAATATTTTTTGGCTTAGCTGGCTGAGCCTGTGTGGTATGTTGGTACCAACCTGTAAAGCAGGCAGATATTTCGGCAGCTCCTTCTTCAGCTCCACAGGTGAAATTGGGGGAGAGTCTGGGATGTAGTTCCCTTCGGGGGTGGGTGAGCGAGAATGAGTCTCAGATTTAGGCGTGGGGTCACCCTCACCTGCTTCATCCTCCTCCTCCTCGTCCTCTTCCTCCATGTCCTCGCCGCTCTCCTCGGAGTCGTGATCGAAACGGGACTCTGGCACTAGCAGACAATGGGTGAAGACAATTTAGGTCAGTGTTATTATGTTTATACCGCCATTTGTTGGATAACATATTTACTGTGTTAATTGAAATCGGATTCAGTTATCTCATAATAATGCAGCTTCATAGTGGCTTGACAAATAAGCATTTATGTATTTGCGTATAGGGAAAAAAATATATATATATAAATATATATAGTAATTTTTTGTTGTTGCCTACTGTTAGTCCCTCTATTACTGACATCAGGTCCGGTTGCATTTAGATCACATATTGTGCTTTTAAGAAGCCTAGCTAGTCCTGGCAAGGCATTTTATTACCCATCAAGAGAAGAAATATAACTAAATCTCTTCAGCAGACAGAGCCAAGCTTTTAAGGACCCAAATGTGATTAATGCACTCTCTACTGGCCATGCAACTCTTTCATCTAAAATGATTTCCAGATAAAAACTTGAACACTCAACACAAATAATTACAATTTAGTAAAACTGCACAACTTTTGAATCATGACAATAACTTTAATTTGTTAAGATAAATTGGAAACACAAGTACCTTCACAGACATCACACAAGTTCACCCACCTGCAGGTATGTGATTTCCATTTTCCCTCTCCTCTTCAAAGTCATCATCTGACTGTTCATCCTCACTCACGTCCTCTGAAAGGGAGGACGCCACTGTGTTAATCAAGCCTGTGGCGTTTGTGTTACTGGACTTCACAGTAGTGGAGCGGTCTTTAGCAGTCCTACCTGCACTCTGCTCCGGACCTTCCTGAGCCTGAAACAGACTCCTCCTCCCCTTCCTCCTCTTCACCCTCGCTCTGGCTGCTGGACTCCTCTTCATCATCGTCATCCTCTTCATCGTCGTCCGAACCCGATTCTGAAGCTAGATGAGGTAAATGAGAAAAGAGGCTTTTTTTTAAAAATAGGCTAAAGAAGTTCAGCTGCAATACTGAAACTGCCACGTCATCTCCCAGTTGCTGGTTCTCGTGGTAATGTGTTGGCAGCAGTACGTTCCTGCTGTGCTTCCCCTCTTGTAAAGTCCAAAGCAATATTGACTATCATAAGTTATTATCCTCATCCCATCTTCCTGTTTATTATCTTTACAGTAATAGATTAAGTGAACATCCCTAGTACTACTGTACACCTTTGCTGTACAATGGCCATGTCTGCTGGTCACCAAAACTGTCGTTTATATCATCGGTTACCTATGGAGGATTCTGCTGTGCTGGTCTTCCTTTCACTATCACTGATGTCCTGGAGGTCGGCGAGCAGGTCTTTTCCCTCTGGCTTCTCCTCCTTCGATGCTGCAGACAAAACACACTGTGAGCTATGCTGAAATGTACATGAGGATACAGTTAAGTATAAATACAATAATTTAAATTAAATTTTTAGAGACTGCAATGGTAAACGCACTTGCACTTTTGCGTGGTTCGCTGTGTTCAGATCTGTCCCGGGGAAGGCGGGTGGGACTTCGGCTGCGGTGACTTTGTTTTTGCTTGTCGTCATACTCATCAGGTAGCATCCGATGGTGAGACGGCACTGTGGACAAGAAAGCCTTAATAATTACTGCTGCAGATTTACGACTGATACTTATGATTGATAATAAGAGTCTGGATGCTTTGTACATTGTGCTTCAAGGCACTGTTGAACATTTTGAGAGTGAGAGGAGAAGATCAATATCAATTTTATGTCTCCATGTCAACTATGGAGCTGGAATCAGGACATATTTAACTTAGCTTAGCATAAAAAAAGAAGACCGTACGAAAAAGCTAGCCTGGCTCTACCCAAAGTGACAAAATAATAATAGCTGTCGTTCAGCAGGCATTTGGGTTCATTCACTGACCCTCTCGTCGAGAATCTCGCTCTTTGCGTCGCTCCTCAGCCCTCCTCTCTCGATCCTTCAACTCTCGTTGCTCTTTCTGTTGCTCGCGCAACTTTCGGTCCCGTTCACGCTGGCGCTCAAGCTGTTCCAGCCGGTCCCTGTGGTCCAAAAAAAACCCAGGAGAATCCAATCGAGGTCTGTCCAGACAACCAAAAGGCCATTCTTGTCATTGTTTGGTTATGTTAAGTTTGGGTTGTTAGAGCTTACTCAAACATACAGTTAGTTGCACGGTTGTTCTGTAATTTTCACAGATGTACTCAATGATTAACATAATCATATCACAATCCAAATCACATGGGTTTCTTGTTGGGTGTTCACTTGAGTCTGCATTGTTTACATGGGTTCTGATGCTTTGTACAGTAAATCAGATGTAAAAACCTACAGTACAGTAGCTATAGGTTTGAAAAAAGAAAAGACATTTAGATCAATTTCATGTTGCTCAAAGGCTTTAACATCCTGTCAAGAAAAGCACTGAGGAGACATACTGAATACTTAATAACTTAATACTAATGGGTGTTGTTTAATATCAAACTGAAACATACTGATTCAACTGAAGTGGTAGTTAAAAGAATAAATACTTCTATGCCTGAATAATGTAACCTAATCTAATATATGGCGCCTTTTACAGGGTCTGTGCCCACCTCTCTCTGCGTGAATGAGCTCTGGCCTGCTCCCTTCGTTTCTGCCTCTCCCAGTCTCGTCGGGCTTTGTCTTCTTCCCACTGTCTCTTCCTGCGTTCGCTCTCTCGCTCTTTTTCTTTGTCTTTGGGTCGTGCATGTTTCCCTGCTGTAAAAGTAAAAACCATGAGTGGAAGCAGATCTGAAACAACCCATTCCAAACATGTTGTATTCGGCTGTAAAACACGTTTGTGTTTATGTAATTAAGCAGCACTCCCACACCTCCTTCAGCAGAGTGACTGCGATGACGTCTTTTATCTTTTCTCTTCTCCTCCTTTCTGTGGTGAGATTTGTCTTTTCTTGCTATTTGCTGTGGAGGCTTGATTGCTAGCGATTCGTCTTCCTCTGCCCTGCATAATTGTAAATAAAACCATGTGAGACTCTAAAAAGCCAGCGACACTGTGTTGCATATAGTTATTAAACCATAATATACATAAACTATTACATGCATATTTACTTCCTCCATGAAAATACACTTTTCAGTCAACTTGACTTTGACTCATGTTTGTTTCCTACAATTCCACATACCTGTCCTCGGTTGAGTCATCCCGTGTGTACGGGGAATTACGAATTGTTATTTCCATCCTTTGGTCCCGTAGTTCTCCTTCCTCCGGAGTGTCTCGTTTGGCTTCCCGATCATCCGCCTGTGGAACAAGGCCCTGGGTGAACTGTGCAAGACAAGGGCAGAATATGTGGTTAAAACTAGGGACATCATTAAAATGTCCTCAGATAAGGAATTAAAAAATGTCAAGCTCTCTGTCTTGGTGCAAAAGCTTCTGAAACAGAATTTTAATGATGAAAATAACAAAAACATTTGTAGACATTACAATTATAACATACCACATTTAATTATTTATTTTTATACTTACTATGGTGAGTCTGAATATAAATGTTCTGCTATAAATAAAACTAAAAAAGATGATTCACACTATCAACATGTAGGTCTCATAGGGGTCTTACATTAGCTTTGGGATACTTTACATTTTTCTGGCGCTTGGGATCTGTTCTCTCTTCTAATTCTCTTCTGCGTTTCTTCTCTAGTAGGATTTCGTCAAGAGTTTTAACTTTCCAGGTCTCCTTTTCGTCCCCCATCAGCGTCCACTCTCCACCGCCTGCTCCACAACAAACACACAGAAACAAACACACAAAGTGTTTATTACATGTCATTTCTGTTCAGCTTCATTTGAATCATGAATTCGGTCAAGACTTATACAGAACTAAATTAACCAATACATTTATAATTGCAGGGCATTGTTTCTACTTATCATCTGTTGTACTTTCATATAAGTTGTAAAAATAAGACCACTGGTAAATGTTATTATTAGAACCTTACAGTTTGCCTCACTGTTAGTCTGCTTAACAAACTCTAGTTAACTTCCTCAGTAAATACAAGGAAAAAATAGCTGACTTTCCACTCACAATGTCAGATTTTATTTGATGATGTGAAATCTACACTAGAGTGACATAAGTATTTAACTTAACGATACGATGATATTCGCTCTCCGTACAGCATGGACCCGGTCCAGCAGACAGCTGAGACTTGGCCTACTGTAACAACCGGTAAACGCTTCTTATTCCCAATGTTAACGTGATATGTAACGTTATGGTACGGAACAACTGCAAACACTTTTACTGCAAACGTAGTCAGTGTCATATTTACGACAAGTGAATCCGCGTATACGAATAATTAAAAAATGCATGTGAGTAAAGTTATTCCTCTTTGAGTGAAGTTTGGCACAAAGCAGTTTAATATGAGGAGCATGACAACAATACAGCATGTAGCTAACAGGCCCGTTAGGAAGACGTTATTGACCTGCTAAAGTTATCTCTGTTTCTACATAAGCCAGTGTTTTAATTACAAGGCAGCCGCATACACCGGCATATTACACGAAATGGCAGATGAGATGATAATTACTCCGAACAGTAAACACGATGTGTGTTGTGACTCAAACGGTTGATGCTAGCGCATGCTAGTTTCAGCTAGCTAACGTTAGCTAGCTGAAACTAGCATGCGCGAATGTTGCTAAACAACTTCTGCAGCTAACTAAATGATCTTAAAGGAAGCAGTAAGTGCCGCTGAAAGGTGTACGAACTGACGAACCTATAACCGGGTTTGTATTTGTAGTTAAAAGCGTAGGTACAGTAAATAATGGCGTTAATAAGCGGGCAGGTGAAATGGTCACACAAACCTGAAATATGCGCAGCGGTATTTTTGGCACACCGGAAGTCTCAACGCGTTGGTAACGTCTGTAAAACTTCCTGTGTGAAACAATTACTTCCTCCACTATTTATAATATTATAATACACCTTATAATATGAACTAATGTAATATAGTAGTAGAGTATGTGTCTTTTGCATACATAAGAGAAGCGCAGACCTTTCTACACACTGTAATATGATGTCATAATAATTTCCTGTGCAAACTCCCTGATTAACTTCATTTTTGTTACGCAAGAGATTTAATATTAACGTGATCTAACACTAATCGCTGTGTGTTGTTCTTTTCCATATCAGTTCCATTCTGTGTTATCCTGTCAATAGTTCAGATTGCTGACGAAAGTTTTTTAATTGAATTAAATTTAGAGAAACTGGAAGAAACTAACTTAACCCTAGTCAGAGTGCTGAGTTCAGTTGGAACTGAGTCTAGCTGGTCTGGTTACTATGGAAACACAATTGCGCTGCAGGTTAGTTACAAGGTAATCAGACTTAAATGGGGATCAATATTGTGATTTTTTAAATGTTTATTATTGTTATAGTAATGGAATATGGGTATATTGGTTACTTTTATCATTTGTACAATATGTTTAATTATAATTATTTATTTATTTATTTATCTGACAGTATCAGTATTGTAATGTCGTGTTGCTATAGTCATGGCTACTAGGTTTTGTGATTTATGTTGCTATGTTTATATGTTTATGAAAATGAACTTAATTGTCTCCAATGGTATGAATAGTTAGGTATTCATTTCATTATTTTGTAACTGTAACTTTGCACACGCACACACACATCACCAAATTATGATATTTTACCAGAGAGAGAGCTCAGCACTGAAGAGCTGAGATTGCTGTTTTTCGTTTCCTCATTTCTATAAACTGAAGAGAGCGCTGTTATGCATGACCATGTAGTTAACGTTACCTTCTGAGAAAATCTTTGAAACAGCATGGTGATATTATGTTTAACCAAATCACACTTTCATGCAAGGGAGGGAGTATCGTGAAAATCTTCACCACATACGTTAAGTTTTTTGCTTTGCACTATCTGCGCAGGATGTGATGAAACCAGAGACTAACAAACCACACAGAGTTTAAATTGCCCTTTATCTCTGAGAGAGTCATATAAGGAGGTCAAAGACAAAAGCTGGAGTATAACCAACAGATATATGACAGGATGACCTTCGTGAACAAATGAACTATGGCCAAGGTCTCATACCAAGCAGGAGGCACCACTCTCTCAGTCTCAGTCGTGCCTTTAAAAGTGCTGGAAAGCAGAGCTTTCTAGGCAGGTTGTAGACTGTTTCAGACTCATACAGGTAAGCACAAATTAAGTTTTTCTGAATGTGGAGATATTGACTGAATGCAGCTTTGGGTAACAATCATCAAATCATTGCTTTTAAATCTGAATAATTCACTGTGGTCTGATTTGGCTCATAGTCTGATTAAACACTATGAATTCTTGATTGATGTAATTCATTTGCACCAAAACTAATTTTAAATGTCATGCAGTAAGTTGCCTTCTCGTCATTACTACACACAATGAGGCCAATATTCAGTTCTGCTTTTTTTTTTTTTTTTTTTTTTTACTGTAGTAAAGTAGTAAAGTAGTAAAGTAAAGTTATTATATAGTAGTAGTAGTTAAGTCATTTTGCTTCACACAGACAACAGTGTGAGCACAGACTTTATGTGTTCAGGCTGAGCAGTGAAGCAGAGAGTGAACTGTCATTGCAGGCAGCAGATAAACCTCTGAGGAGAGGAAGGACTTCCCACATGGACTCCAACAGTGCCGGCAGCGTGCAATATGACCGCTGGAACGAGGACAACATCAACATGAACGTGGAGGGATCACAGTCTACTGTGATGAGGTGAGACACAGTGACAGCTGACAGAAAGACGCAAAGATCAAATATAAAGTTTTCATATTGTTTTCTGAAATATACACAATTACAGGAATGTGGAGGAGGTAAAACCGTAGACATGTATGGACTTAAGTGATATATGGGTATGATGGGTTGAAAAAGGTTAATTTAATGTCATAGGACATAAAAGTAACTTTTAAAGTTGACACCAGTTGAATGCCATAGTACTATAAGCTTCATAAAACCTTTATAGTCAAAATAAAGTGAGAATGTGGTGAAACCAGTTCATAAAATAATGTTAGAATGATTGACCAAAGGCTGTTTGACCTGACTCCGGCCCTCCTTTCTGTTACATGCACAGGATCTTCAACACAGTGTGTATGGGGAGCACTGGAATAGCAGTGAAGACGGCAGGAGCTTTGGCTGCACTGGTGTCCATTTACATCATAGGCTACGTGACGGGATACTACGTCCATAGGTGCTGATGGTGGAGTGCTGCTATGGAAGAATAGAGCTCTGAGATTCTGAATAAACCAAAAGTTGAAATGTTCATGTATTTTTTTTTGTAAAAAAAAAAAAGCACACTGGCAATGAATGAGATCATCTGAGATATAGAAGCCACGTCATTCCAATAAATTGATTAAAAATATATATACATATGGAACATTGCAAGGACTACATGTAAAGTCTAAAAGAAGGTTTACAAGGTTAATGCTTCTGAAGTTTGTTATTCTGATGTCCTAATAAAGCTGCAGTGTAGCAACCATGCATCAACAGAGAGTCAACTGAATTTCCTAGAACACTGACTTTAGTACATGTACTTACTTGACTCCACATTGTGTAATCAACCCACAAAATACTTTTTCATACATCTTCTCAAGCCTGCCTCCTTTAAGATCCACAGACAGGTTGCAGAGGAATGTTAGCAGTCATTGTTTATCCACACCTGGTCAGGATGTGTGCATGGTTGGCTGATTTTGCAGCAACCTGGAGGTAAATGGATGTTCATGTACATTTTATATGCAGGCAACTCAATCCATTGGACACAGATCTCCAAGCAATAATTTTTCCTTCCAGTAACATTCAGCAGTCAACATAGGACTTCGTAGTATTTCCTGTGTTTAAGTATTAATGCAATACCTGATATTCATTCACTGCTGAGGATGTATAATTTCTCACTGAGATTGGGGACATATGGGACTGGATGTTCAGAGTAGGAAAGGATCGGTGCATCCTGGAAACCTCAACAAGAGGTTTCAATTTCAAGTCATGTTTAAGAGCTTGTTGTTTTGGCTTGTGGCCTTTAGTCTTTCTAATGGATGGACAAGAAGACAATTTCTCTTCTCCATGCACCTTAAGAAAGGTTCATTTGTGCCAGAAATCAACTACTGGACACATTTCCATAAAATCTGTGGTGGATATTCGTTGTTCTCAGAGGATGAATCCAAATGTTTTTGGCGACCCAGTAGGGCCCAACCATCAGTACAAAATGTCAGCTATGCACACCTCGCAAGCTAACTCCTAATTCCATACTAATACCAGTACAGTACAAACTAATCTTTATAGTAGACTAGACTACTCTTGCGTTTAATATATACTTAAATAATGTACTTGACTGTTTTATATGTGCAGAAAATGACACAAGACATGAACAACTCAGTCCAGGCCTTACTGGCAATGTCCTGAATACTTTTACAAATACATTTTATAACAGTAATTTAAGATTAAGACTGAACAATCCAGATTGAGGTCCAATTAAATTTCACAATTTCCTTGAGTCTGTTTTTTTAACACCTTTTTGGGGGGATTTTTGCAGGGATATACAACAGTTATAACTGAGAGAAATACAACTGCCTTTTATATGTGCCATAAAGAAATAAAAACATGTTTTCATAAAGAAGTGAACATTAGGCACTGAACCTGCTAGACCCAGAACAGTAACATACACGCACAGTAAGAAAACCACACCACCACTTAAAAGCAACTGTACATAAACATACTAATGAGGATGTTCAATCACATTTAATGTTGTACTTATACTAAGTCTGTTTTCAAACTATAGTCAGATGCCAGTATGGGAACGTCCATATCCTCCTGTTCATATCAGCCATTAAAAGACTCCTTGCTAACATTCTCCCAGTGTTGGTGATGGGGAACCAAATCCACAATGCAAAAACCTTCCAAAGTTTATAAATATAAAATTAGGCTTCAATAGGATGAGTTAGACACATCAAGTGGATATCATCCGGTCTTTTAGTACCAAACATTTTGTTATGTGTCTTGATCTGTACATACCAAATAACTAAGTATATTATACTAGAAAACAGAAACGTATTAGCTACTATAAGACAACATAGCACATAAGAAAAAGCTGACATGCATATCAGTTGGGTTATTGAGGTCATTTTTATTTTTGTCAGTATCAGCTCCTCTATATCCGGACCAAGTCACTATTACAGCATAAAATTGGAAAGTCTTCAGGTCTTATCTGGGAACACACATATGATAGTGAGGAAGCAAATATAATTCCGGTAATAAAAGAACATTTATTCATATAAACAGTCCAACAGGTCTAGTCGGTCAATGGTACAAAGTCCAATAAAAACAAAATGCACACTTATCAACAAGTCCAATTTTAATTTGAAATACATACATGTAAATACAGATATGTAAACCACTGAGATGTTTACCATATGTGTATAATGTTACAGAAGGCTTTACTTCATTCAATCATTGAGAGTGTCTGTGCTCAGAATAATCAAACACACACATATACAGTATATCAGCTATGTGAATTGTCATAATTAACAGTTTAAACATCATGTAATTAATACAATACTTGGCCAAATATGTTTTGAAGTAAATTTTGTATGCTGTCATGAAAACAACCTACACACTGTGGTCTCATTAAGCTTATGATGCCTTATTTCATCATGTGCACTACTTTATGTACATGTGTCTACAATATAGACCAAATAGCATAAAGGTTTAGAGGTAAGTGATTTAAAAGCAAGGAGTCAAGACACACAGCAAACGTCAGTATGTGTTCCAAACTGAGTCTGAACTAAATCTGACTAAAACATGTCTGACAAACCCATACTGCCCTCATGTGTCCAAACAGAAACAGTCTTACCAGGACTTCAATAAAATGATGTTTTCTTTGTGCAGACAATCCAAAATCCTGCTAACTATGCCAAGAATATCAAAGTATTACTCCTGGAAATAATGACATCTTTTAAAAAAAGGGTTAAGAGAAATAGTGTGACAAATACCTTTTGAGTAGACTGATCACCTCACCAGAGAGCAATCATTAAGGCAGGTATAAAACAATACTGGTTGTCTATAGTAAGCTCCGAGTCTGAACTGAATCAGATCAGAAGTATGATTAAAATATTATAATGAATTATTATAATGTCCTGTGATCAAAGGTGCTGTGTGACAACAATGAGTAAAAATACTCACATTTACATATAATGTCAGCTATGAAACCTCAGTGGACAAGGCAACTTCCCTTCAACACCTCTACTTATACTGTGCATACAGCATCATCATTTATATTCTCTGTTATATTGCTAATCCCCCCCCCTGACTGTTACATTGGCGAGGCTTTTGGAAATAGGGAGGGGGCTGCAGCCAATAATGAAACAGTTGCAGTGTTCATTGGTTCACAGTTCACACACCTGTAACATGTTCACAGCAAACAGCAAAACACATCTTCAATTTCTCCTCGACAAATACTTCAGTTTGTTCTCTGTTTACTGCCACTCATCGGCTGCGTATAGGACTACCATGCTGTGGGGAAACCCGTCAGCGTGATGTCAAAGGCAGTAGGCAGCCGAGAGGCGGACCTGAAGGAGCCCCGGACAGCCAACTCCACAGCGTGTGAGCAAAATGAAACATGGATGAGGAGGTCGCTGAAAGTTGGGAGGAAGCTGCTGATAGTGGGGTAACGTTAAATAACGACAGGCTCAATACGCATTCAGTTAAAGGCGAATAATCTTTAGAAAGCTTCTTTATATGTACATGGTAGTTTTAAGAAGTTCTCATAACGTGGCTCCATGTTAGCGACTCCCACGGGCCAACAATGTGGCTAAAGCTAGCGTTAGCTGCGAGGAAACTTATCGGGCGAGAGAGGCTTAACATGGATTTAGCCTGCTAGCTAACTAGCCAAGTGGAGTTAGCTATTTCTAAGTCTTGTGAAATAACGTTGATATGTCTGATTGTTAGCTAACGAATAGACATGACGCTCTTTAAACCACGAATATGAGTTCATGTTGAAAGGCGTAAAGTTAATATATATATCATGTATTGACGATCGCTTATGCTAAGCTAGCCATGTAGTGAGCGGCTAACATGGAAACTGTGTCACACGAATGTTGTTTTATTTAAGTTAGTGGACAATGTACACACGAGACCTCGGAGGCCACTCTTACCGCCCACTCCCACCTCACATTAACATCTTTAAATGAAATAACTTTAATCTGAAACATGGATGCTCTGCAACGACGACCAGCAGCGTCAGTGTACAAGGTCGAGATTTTACTGCAACACTGGGAACAGAAGGGACTTTTGTTGTTTAATAGATTGTTAAAATGTGTACGGTAACGTTAACTATTACATGTGTCGTTCATTAAGAGTATTTTTCCACGGAGCCGGACTTAAACTATGTAACGTTATACTATGATGTCAGTTTGCTGAACTAAATTGGTGATTTCCTGTAGTTTACGAGACCAAGTTGTTGTTGGGCAACATTTCGGCCATGTTGTCAGTCAGTGGTCGGGTAGAGAGTTTGTTATGTCTCCAAAACTGGAAGGTTTGTAACATTTAGCTGACATGAGCTAACATGAGCTAACATTAGCTATCGTCACGGTAGTTTGGCAGACGATCGCAGGCTCATGACGTCAGGAACGTGGCTCTGAGAATAAGTTGGACGTCGTTAGGAGCTTGTCAGCTTCAAGTTGGTGCTTTTTTTTTAAAGTCACATCTTCCTGTGGTTAGTCGGTATAGCATTCAGTTTATAAATGTACTTCCATCTAACTTATGTGAACAGTTTTCGCTGGCAACATCAGCCGGTTAATGTTAGCTAGCTGAGCACTCTCTGTGTTATGAGTTGGCAGCTGTCCTACTCATGTATAAATAGCTTGTAACTGAATCTGCTTTCCATCTACTCTTCCACTTGCTTACTACCTGCCGCACTTTTCTTTCTGTCCCAAATCAATCTGACCATGTTGTTTGTTTATATGAATATATGTTTGTGCTGTTTTTTCCCCCCCGACAGGAAATGGAAAAACGGCTAGAAGAGAAGCTAAGGATCAGCCAGAAAGAAAAGTAAGGCCTTAAAAGGTAGAAGAAACATGGCCTGAATTTGTGACTAAACCACTGCCTCAGTTTCCATTCAAAAAATATACGGTTTCACTTATGTGTTTTGCTTGTAAAACTACACACCTGAACACAACTTAAGATGGAAGACTTCATACAAATGATGCTGTTTCTGAGCTGATTTTCAGTTCATCCTACAGGTGAACTACCAAAGAGCTAACCCTAACCCTCCTTACAATTCAGAAAGTTGGTCGTAAGACTAGGGATTCCCCCGATACCCCCTACAAGTACAAGTACAAGTACAATTCTAACAATCACTTTGAAAACATGTTTCTTTTAAGACACATTTACTAAGTATGTTACTCTGCTGATGAGCAGGCAAAAACTGAATCAGTAATACATCTATTTGAGTCTTTTGGCCATGAAAGCATCATCTAAGCTATTATGAGCACTGCCTCCCCTGCTTCGAGGTAATTGTCTCTTCGTGTCTGTCATATTACTAATTTTTGCGTGGACTGTGTCCCGTTGGTCCGTTTCTAGGGAGTCCAGTAATAATGCTCCACGATCTCCTTTGAAGACAACCATGGTGATACAGGACGACTCTCAACCAGCAGCACCCCAACCTCAGATACGCATTTTGAAGCGGCCTACAAGTAACGGGTCACTGGGATCACCCTTGAGTCAGAACAGGCCTACACCACAGGTCAAGTCTCTGGCCCAGCGTGAGGCAGAGTACGCCGAGGCCAGGAAGAGAATACTGGGTAGCGCCTGCCCAGAGGAGACGCCCCAGGAAAAGCCCAACACTGACAGGTAATTATCCACAAATATTTACAGTTTCCTTGCAGCCTAATAAGGCCTTGCTTAAGGGCCTGAGCCGTTGGTGTAATCCATGTTGTGCTGAAGATCGCTGTCTTTGCGAGCTAAGTATCCAACAGAAAGGCAACAAATGAACAGGCATTATTTTAAATTCTCCCCATCTACCTTGATTATCATTAACATCTTTGGTTGTTGAGTGTTTTTAAAATTTGTATAATGCAATTTTCAGAATGTTTTCACTCTATGCCAACATCTATACTACAGTGTTAAATTAGATAAAATAAAATGGCTGTTTTCTAAAACAAAGACAAACAATCAGAAGAATAACTTAAGGCAATAGCCACTTAAAATGGGACTACTTCCAGCTGAATCCCAGCTGAATTGTCACACATCAGCAGGGTGTGGTAACTTTTGGTTTCATTTGATTAACAAGAGCTGGCTGAGGCACACTGCTTTTGGCTTTCTTTTGGCTTGGCTGGGTTTTGATTGGCAGGGGGTGGAGCCCAACAATAATCACAGCCAAACTTGATGGACTGGTTCTTGTTTACACCACCAAGTTAATTGTCTGTTCTTCTCATTTGTGTTCAGTTGGATTTGAATGGCAGTGAATTGTGCCAGAACGAATATAAAAGCAACCAAAAAACACAGAATGGAGAAAGTGTAGGGGGGAAAAAAGTTTCCTAAAACCAAGAGGGAGTACTGTAACTAAAATCATGTGTGAGTACCTGTCTGTTGGAGTTTTGGCCCAGCAGTTGGCAAGCGTGAAAGGCGGATGTCTCTAATTTACTCCTGTCATTATTTCCTCTCTTTCTGCCAGGCCAGGGCGCAATAACTCTACGTTGCCTTCAGAGGACACCCGATCAAACAATCACAGTGTCGGGCAGCCAGACGGCACCCAGGGGTTCCGACAGCACAGATAAGTGGGCCCCGGGGCCACCCAGCAACTGGGTGGGGAGAGAGAGAGATAAAGGGCCACCTGAGAGCAAAGACAGCAGTGTATTCTTAAAACTTCCTTCCTTCAGTTCCATTATATCGGATGTGCCGCTCGTACAGCTGCACCGCTGCGTCCCCACTAGCAGTCGTTCAAAACTAACCAGGAGCGAGGAACTCCGGAAGGAAGTCAAATGGAAATGTGCTCTCTTCTCTCCCCACTGCAGTCTGTTTGACACTGTGATTATGGACATCTTCTGGACTCACTGTGATGATCCCTTTAAGAAACGCCCCTCACCTCCATCTCTCTCCTCCCTCAGTCCCCAGCAGCTCCGTCTCAGGGCGCCTGCACGGCGGAAGCAAAGACTTACACAAAGGATGGCAGAGAGAGAGGAGGAGAAATGACGGGCCATAGCAAAATGAGATGAGCTGGTTCTTGGGCAGCAGCTTCTCCCCAGCAATAATACCAGACATCACTTCTCACACATTTACATACGTTTACGTTTTTAATTTTTCAGATGTTGGCTGACAAAATGTTTATCTTTTATTTTTCTTGCTCGTCTTTAATGGTCTATACTAGGGATGCTCTGATATCAAGTACAGATAAAAGTACTTTAAATTACACATGCACCACCACGAAACCAGTTCAAAGTATTAAGTATTGAGAGATATTTTTAAACAAACATAATATTGGCAGTTTTTATGAAGTGGGGGAAACATTGAAAATTTCCCACCTTTCTTTGGTGATAAAATGGTCTAAAGAAGCTACGGTTTAAACACAGACACTCAAGGCTGCAGCTTGTGGTGTCAGATCTCCCAGTAAACTCTAATGCTGAGTACTTGACTGGTACCTGCCAGATAACTGAGCTGTTAGCAATATCACTGCACCCCTAATATGTAAATTGCCATTTGTTTTTAAAAACGGAGGGTAAGGGTTGTGTGTGTCAAGTTGTGTATCTGACAACTTCTGTTTTTGCTATGTTTTTTTGATTTGAGCTTTTCAGCTGTCTTCCTTGTCACATCATTATTTCTATTTAAAAGTAAAAGCAAAAAAAGAGAGTGAAAAGGAGATTGTGGATTGAAGTCCATTTTTAAGTAGCTTTTCTGCCTTTTTGTATGAGACGGCAGAGCAGTATTTTAATCGAAATGAACCAAAATCCCATTTTAGAATCAACCTGTACATATATCAGTTAATTCAGATGTCATTATGTGAAGGTGGTATTAGCAGCAACTCAAAGGGTGAGGGTCAGATGGGAAATGAATTTACTGCTGTACTTCACACGCCTCTCTTATCTCCACCTCGTCAACGGTGTGCTCGTTTCTTCATGTCCTTCACTGGCGTACAGTGCGTAGGAACTCAGGTGCAGGTGAACGAGACTGAATGAATGAAATGAACTAAGATTGTATTTTTCCAGCAGTTGCTCGAACAGCAAATGTCCGTATTAAAGCTTGGGTTGGCACTTTGTTAGAAATAGTGCTACACAGATTGTGCTGTAAAATGTCACAGGAATGGTGTCCCAAGATGGATGAATGAATGCCAGTTTTCTTTCTTTCTTTTGGACTGTTTGCATCTGGGTCACAAACGAAATGGTAACATCACCCCCGTGTGATTGTGCAGTAATTGATGGTCCACTGCTGAAATGGAACGTGGAGACGCGGCTGTATGTGAACCAGAGGTAGTAATTACCTGGCTCACCAGGACCATTGTGCCCAGTAGATGTTATTGGTTTTTCACCTTTTATTTGTTCAAACAGAGAAGAGTTCTCAATAAAGCCATATTCAGTGGTGCACATCATCAATAGAGAAATTATTGTATTGGTTGAATTCAGCTTGTGCCTCCTGTATCACATCTTTACTTCCTGGTTGTCGATTTTTATTACTGTAGTTCAAGAAACTGAATATATCTGAGGGAGAATTCACAATACTGGTAAGAGGTTTTAGTTTCAGGAAATCTGGCTGCGGAGCAGGAGACCAGCAGGTTCCGCTAAGCTCTGAGTGAGAACACAAACTGCCTGTAAATACTGATTTAATAAAATGATTTGCAAAAAAGGTTTTGTGATGCATGTTCATTACTTTACATTAGCGTGGCAGGAGCTTATGTACAGTAGCATTCAGACTCAATAGAAACATTGAAAGTAGCTCTATGGAATACTGATCACAGTGAGATATGTATCCAGAGTAACAGGTCTGTATTTATGGAAACAGTTGTGTACTGTTGAATATTTCAGATGTCATTTTTCAAACATTTGAACTGCTAATGAAATTCCGTTCACCTCCGCCGTATTTGGCACGAGCCGGAAATCTCAAAACCTGCAAATATAAGACTAAGATTATGCATGGTCAGATATGAGAGGTCTGACTAAACTGACCCTTTACCTGGCTAAAACCTGCAAACCCACCAGGACCACACTATTAAATCACCATAACTTGATAGAAAACACACTACTTTAAATAAAAATAGTTTTTATTTATACAGGTAAACATGAGTTTGCATTGTTGGTCAAGTTGGGGATGCAGCTCAGACATCCGACAGCATTGTTTGGCTTGGGTGACTGACGGGGTCCGACACAGGGACAAACAGATGCTAGCTGATGCTGATGACCTGGCTTGTGGGAGACAGGAATTGATTAAGAGGCGGCCATGATGGGGAGTTAGACAGAACGATGTTCAGACGTTTATATTGTTTCTTTGACTGACGCTTCCCACGCAGCAACCGAAGATAGTTCAGGATACCCAAATCTATCAGCACCTGGGGAAAAACAGCAACTTTAAAGACCAACACTACCAAAGAGAATGAGGTTTTATATCACTGAGGAACAATGGCTCTATTCTATTCTAAATGTCCCAGTAAACCAGTGAGCACAACACCATGACCCTAAAACTAAAGCAGCTAAATGGAATTCAGCCATCATTCATATCATTCCAATTATTTAGGCCTATGAAATCATGTATGTGCTCCTAGTAATAAAGTAAGCAGATAGTAACTGGATCAATGCTTTACACACTGCATACAGTGTTAAGTATTATCTCTAGTCTAATTATATGGCAACGTTTTCTTAAGATTTTAATGAAGAATGTTTAATGAAACCACATTTTAAAAGCAACAGTCTATCATATAAAGAAAGTATGAAACGGCAGCTTCGAAAGGGGAAAAAAAATCTGTTCATCTCCAGTGGCTCTGAAGCTTTGCTTTAGCACATTTTAATAATATTTTAATGTTTTATGATAGCAAAATTCTGTGGTTTGCATTCAAAGCAGGGTTTCAGGCTTTTTACATGAACTGAATGACTGAATTTGGTGAATGCTGCAGAGAACGGACACTGACCCTACCCGTTATACATATGCATTGTGTGAGCCTGATCCAGTGTGCACTTCATACAGATAGAAACTTGAAGCCACCAGACACATACACTGAGAATGTGGAATTTAGTTAGCAGAAAAAACATCAGACACACATTATTACCAACAGACTACTGTACATATGTCTTAATATCTTTAACAATTGTCCTAAGAGGGAATATTAAAGTCATATCATCACTCACCTCCACAACAAAACAGAGGAGGAAGTTGAGAGCAGCCACAGCGACGAGCAGTATTTTGAAATTCATATCGGAGAAGTCGTACAGTTGAAGGTATTGACGAACAATAGATCCAGGATACACCATCAGCCACGTCATCATGGCAAAGAGGACAAACAGTATACAGAGGAAAATCACTGGGAAGGCAAGAAGAACAAAGTCATTTGGGTCCTAAACTTTTAATAAGTTTCATATATTAATAAAGCTTTGTCAGCATGTGTTTGAATGCATCAATGTTTCAACCCCAAATCCTCATTCTTGGACATTTCTGATGACTCACCATTGTAGTAGAGCGGTTTCTTGTGAGGGTAGCCTTTGGTGACCACCACAGCCATGATGATGTACTGGAAACCTGACAAGAGAAACACACTGGTGTCCTCCATGTTGGGCAGATTGGATGATCCATACACGGAGGAATTGAGTGGAATATACCTTAAACAAATACAGGGCATGAAGTTGAGACGTGAGATTTGTTTAGTCAGTATAGAAACAAATAAAAAGCTATAATTTTTTTTTTTTACTAACCAGTCCTGTGAGGTGGTGATGAAGAGCGCAGACAACTGGCCCAGGATGATTATACAGGTGTGAATGAAGAGGCTGCCCAGCACAGGCAGGGCCAGCAGACTGGCTGAAGGTCTGCGGGGGTCCAGCTCCTTACTGGGGCCTCCTCTCCCCATCACGATGGCCAGCACAGTTACCACAAAAATGTCACAGACCAGGAACTGCAGGTCCGCCATGGTCGTCTTCACCTGGACACACACATCAAGAAGTCAGATGTTTCATTGCGATTTCTTTAAGCAATGAAGGCCAGAGACGAAGCTGTAGTTCATGAGAGCAGATTAGATTGCAACAATTACTGAGGAAGTGATTTAACTTTGTGTCCTGTGTTGGCGTTATCGCTGCTATAGCTGTCATGTAAATTGGCCAGAGCTATCAGATTGCGGCGTGTGGTAATTTTTCCAAGACAAATTCCTCGTATGTGTAAAAACTTACTTGGCAATAAACCTAATTCTGAAAATGTCTATGATTAAGCTACTATGACAGTGTTCTAACCACCACATACAATTATGTAAAGATAAGCATATATAAGTATATAGTATTTCTCTGTGGTCGCTCTAACCGTCAGGAGCTAGCTAACAATGCTAACAATGGATCCTCACTTTGATGCTGGGGAATAATCTGAGCTCAAGCCAGACAAGCTAATTAGCCTGCTAGGTAAGTAGCATGGGCAACGACTTAAAAGAGTCAGTTTACAGTAATTGATGGAGAAAAGGGAAAACAGGGCTATTTTTAAAGTGAGGGTGTAACAAGCTCTGTACTGCACACGTGCAACTCTCAACAGAGATGAGAAGGAAACAGGATGTCTCACTAGCTACTTCAATTATCAACTTCTGAAAAAACTATGTGTTATGATGCATTATTTTAGTTTTTAAATGTAAAAATTCGGAGGTAACATTAATAACTTAAAACCTTGCCGCCACTTGTTTGTTGTATGTCTAACAGGCTTATAGATGTGATGTACATATAAGTCACCATATAATATACCTCAGACTGCATCAAGAAGATGTTAAAACTTGTTTTTAAAAAGAACTCTTAATTATAACTTCTGTTTTTGCAGAGCTGATGATGGAAGTATGTGTGGTACCAATCTGGCAGGAGGTACAGATCTACTGAGAGGCTCCACTGCTACTCACTGTGTAGAGGATGAGGACGGCGCACAACTGAATGAGGCTGTACAGGGCCATGTATTTGAAGAGACTGAAGGAGGTGACCAGAGAGCATCGACCCTCTCTGCGCAGACGAGGAGGAAACATGCGTTATTATTTCTTCTGCTGCAGATACTGAACTTACTGGTTTGGTTGGTTTTTCAAAGACATCCTCTATATTTACCAGACTTTTTTAACTTTTCTCACCTGATGAGCAGCGGCACACAGCTGATGTTGTCAGTCTTGGAAGTGAAAGGTGAAGCGACTGAAGCCTCAGCTTCAGACAAGGAAACCCCGACATCAGCAGCTCTCAGGGCCCCGCAGTCATTGGCCCCGTCCCCGCACATGCCAACCCGGTAGCTGTAGTAATAGAAGAGGGGTTTGACTAATAATGTGTGTCTCTTTTAAAGTCAGGTAGTAGCCAGTGCTGTCCAGCATTGTTCTCCTAATGCTCATTTTATTTCCATTTTAATTTCGTTCTGGACTCACTTCAGTTTCTGCAGCTCCTTCACCAGCTGGGTTTTCTGGTCAGGACCCATGCGTGCAAATACTGTGGTTCGCAACAAAACCTGCAGAGACAGCGTGTCAGGAAAAGAGCTCTGCTGGCAAACAATTGATCACATCTTGATTTGACTTCCTACAATCCTAATCTTTGTTATTCAAAGGGAAATGGTGCAGTCTTGAAATACAGTCTCTTGGTCTGATGCCTCTGAACCAAAATATCATATAATATAATCACTGTCCCTGTCACTACTCCCCTAGTTATTGTATGCATGCATGTGTCATTGCTGCACTAGCATGGTCCGACAGATTATTCCTGCTGGGATTACATAACATACATCACCTTTGGCAGGTACTCGGGGAAGTGGTCACAGAGGGCAGCATAGGACTTTCCACTAATAGCCAAGTGATAGCCATATCCACCCTGGTACAGGCCCTGAGAGGAGAAAAGAAAACCATCAATAGCAGCAAACAAGATTCATCCAGCCAGTTCATCTTTGCATATAGTGTTAACTTAATCATTAAAAATGCATGGCACAAACAGTTAGCAAAGTCTCTCTATCAATGCTTGAAAGATAGTTAGAATTAGCTTCTTATAACATAGCTTGAGCTGTATGAGAGCTAATGGGACCCAAATTAAGGTTAAATTTCCAGTCAAACTAATATCTCGTTATATATAAGTATCGTTGTCTTTGAAGTCCCAGAGCATGGTTGCCTGGGAAAAGTTTCCTACTCAGTCATGACACATGATGAAGGCCATCCCATTTAATATTCATTACAGAGGAGAACAATCATGGCTACAATTCAAACTGCCATCAGTAATATCACAGAAAAGTCAAAAAAGTTGTGGTAAGCAAATGCTCCTCTTCACACAGGCCTAAAATATATTGAGCCAAGACTGAGACGGACTGAGGAGTGGTGTACTGCAGTGTTGTCTCTGAGCAGGACCAACCTGAGTGATGACTTCTACAGAACTTTGGGCGGTAGTGGTCCCTCCGTCTTCCAGGGTGAACCTGAGGGTGGGCATGGACTGGGCAGTGTGGGGGGTTGCATTGACGAATATCACCTTCTCATCAGACCCCACCATCCCACAGCTTTTTGCTACATTGACTGCTGTTAAAATGTTGTCTCCTATGGGAAGAGGGACGAGACAAGATTTGACATGACGTTGCCATTAAGCTGACGTAGGCAACATAATGTGTTAAAGGTCCCATATTTTAAAAAGTGCTATTCTTTAAAATGTATTATAATAGGTTTAAGTGCTATATCACTACTGTGAAACTGTCAAAACGCTCAATTCACAGTAAAATGCACAAACCCTGTACTCAGAAAGTGTGCCTTTAAACAAGCCATCAGGACTTTTGTAAGGTTGTGATGTCACAACTACACAGTCACCACCCTCACTGCGGCCCACCCAGACCCATCATCTGGGTAGGCTACAGTCTGTAACCTGTGGTTGGTTCTGACTATGTGTCACTCAGAAAACAGTAAGCCAATCAGAAGAGAGACTCATTAATATTAACGAGACAAAGTGCAACACAAAATGTTCTGTTCTTGCTAGAGCTCCAGAAAGAAGCGTGAGAGCGCAGATGTTAAACTATACTGAGATGGTTTTTGGTACTTAAATCCACAAATAAAACACCAAAAATATGGGACATTTAACAATACTAAAAAGGAGGTGCAGTGTTGTTGGGCTGTAGTTAATAAAAATCTCTCACCAGTGACCATGACGCTGCGAAGGTTTGCCAGTCTCAGGACATTAATAACCTTTGCACTCTCTGGCTTCACCAGGTTCTTCATCATCATCAAGCCCAGGAACTGCATGTCTTTTTCTACCTCCCCTCTGTCAAAGACACACAGTGGCATTAACACTCACTGTTAGCATGTAGATTGATTTGTAGCATCCATTTCAGTATGGCTGTGCTTACTACATGCTTCAGGTGTAAGAAAAATATGAAGGAACTTCTGAGCCACAAAGAAGCGAGAAATACTGACTATGTTCTCACCGTTCAATGCTCCTAAAGTCAGTGCTCCTGTCTAATGGTTTATAGGCGAGTGCAAGAACCCTGAGGCCTTCACTGGAGAAGTTACGCAGCTTGCTGGAGAACTGTGCCGGCACTGTAAACATAAAGCATCCTGTTCAGTTAACATTTAATGTAAATGATGTAGACACAATTCAAATATATCTTTGACACTGATCTACAGGAACTGGTGTTAAAAATATTTCAATTCCAAATCACTAAAATGCTGTACTGTGGTTATATATTTACAAATTAAAGAAATATTATTATTATTATTATTATTATTATTAATACAGACCAGTTTCTGCTCGGCAGAGGCTAGCTACCATCTCTGGGGATCCTTTGATGAAAGCAAGAGCTGAGCGTCCCCCCTGGGCAACCGTCACCACACTCATCCTCTGCAGGGCCGATGAGAAGGGAAACCTCTGAACAATGGCCACCGCCTCCCTTGTGGACTGAAAGCAGAATGAGAGAGAACAATAACAGTTATGTATAACAGGAAATTCCAGACAGATGTTGATGTAAAGAGCAATACGTTTGCAACAGTGTTAGAGTGGTTAATGGGATTCGACATAATAACAAATCAGCCCAAATCTGTTTGAGAGGGGATGGTAGGGACACTCACAGGTCCTTGAGCTGAGAGCTGTTGAGTAGGAGGTCTCATAACAGCCAAAACTCTGTGGCCTCCAAACTCCGCATCCAGCACCTTTCCATCTCCCTCCGGCTCCTGGAGTGTCTGGAAAATTAGAGTAAAAATCTAATTAAATTTGAAGATACTGATTTGAATAAACATGTTATAACAGAAGTTTACAGTAAGATTGAATATAATGATTGGGAGAATGGATTTCCAGAGGCATATAGAATCAAAAACTGAACAAGAAGGAAACTTTAAAACCATTATTACTTCCAGCATAGAGGTTATGTTTTCGGTGCTGTTTGTCTTTCAGCAAGTTTACGGGAAAACTACCGGTCCGATTTTCATGAAAATTGGTGGAGGGTTCAAGATTTTTACCTCAGTGTCCCGCAACTGTCCCGAATTCTTCTTTCAACTGTCCCACACATTGAAGTCCTTTTTCATTATACATAATACTTAATATAACTAAATAACTCTGTTTCAGTAACTCGCATCACTTCATTTACTTGCTCTGGTCCGCCATAGAAGTTGTTCCCTGCGATAAAAAATGTAATTTACCCTAGTAGCCCCTTTAGTGATTGGTCGAGTAGTAATGGAAATGTGCCTACACACACAGACAACATTATTAATAGTTAAACAAATAATGACAAACTATACTGGAGGGATAGGGATATCATATATTTGAAGTAAAAACATATTTATTTAAATCTACAAAGGTAAGGAGAAGATCAAACTAACTATTTAAATATTTACACACTCAAAAGAAGTATTTACATATCAGCTACAGGAACACACTAATCCAAAGATCCCGTGGGAAAGACTGAGAAAGATGGTCAAACATCCCCCATACGCCACACCTACTGACTGCCTGCACACGGTGCAAGAGGAGAGGAAGAGACCCTGGTGCTGTTGGCAGAAGAGCCATGGAGCATACAAAAATGCTAAATTTGACGCTAGTCGGTTTTGAGAAATAATGTTGCTAAGAGGGTCTCAAAAGTTAATAAATCTATAGAGAAAGTTGCTAAGTTGTGTGTTTAAGCACCCGTTTAATTTGAGCAATTAACAACTAATATGATATATATTCCATAAATGCAATCACTCCATTTGTAATGCTACTTTTATCTACCTCAGGACAATAATACGTCCTTTGAGGGGCCAACAGTTTTCTATCAGCTGTAGTCAAGCACCTCTTGAAGTGAGTAAAATAAGCTTTATAGTGTCATACCCAACCGGTGGATTCGACCATCTTGAGCTCCAGAGGGTCTCCAAGTGGCTGACCTCGCAACAGAGTCACAGTGTGACAGCATGCCAGACCCGAGAGCATGTGCCCTGTGGGCAGGAGTCTGGGCTCTGGGACCAGCTCAGAGAAACCAGAAGGGCCCCCCTCCATCACTCCCCACACATCCAGACCGTCCTCTGTAAGAGTTCCTGTCTGGAGAGACAAAAATACACTGATGAAAGGCATTATTTAACATTATCATTATTATTATTATTATTATTACGTATTTATGACTGCCTTCCACATACACAGAAAACTTCAGTTAATGCATCCCCCCTCACCTTGTCAAAGCAGAAGACTGAGACCTTGCCACTGATGTTGATGCGTGGTGGACTGATACAGAAAACGCCCTGGTTCTTCAGCCTGCGCTGGGCGTAGATAGTGCCAGTGGTGATGGCAGCAGGCAGTGCAGGGGGCACTGCGATGGTCACAATATCCAGGCTCCTTATCACCAACTCCAGCCAGGTCGCCTGGACACACATCCAGACACGAGTCATGACACCACTTTATTTATTGTTGGCATTTTAAATACAGACACATTATTTGATCCTTGTGGCTTGCACTTACATTGGATGTGAAGAGGACCACGAAGCTGTAAATGGTGCCAAACATAGCTGCAGCAAAAAGGAAAAAAGTTTAAATTGTTGTTGAATAACTGATCAAAAAGGCTTGAGATACATAATCGGAGTAATTCAGCTATAGATACAGATAACATCAGCTTCTTCATACACCTTTGAAACAAATTTAGTCAAGCTCTTACCAACAAAACTCAGGACAAGCAGGAACTTAGCAGAATCTCGGTAGAAGCGGAAGTTGGTCGGCTGAGGGTACAATATGGAGCTGACCAGGTTACCTTTGGCTGTGAAAAACCCTGAGAATGAGATATTAGAAGGAGAACTGAGACTTGGTGGGCAAACGTAAGCCTGTACAGGGGCCATGAGTTCTTACTATCAGGTGATTATACACAATGAATATTATGTTCCATTTCTGCCAATAGATTCTCCTACCTGTTACAAACTGGAGTTCTTCTACTCACCGGTGCTTGTGACGACAGCAATGGCACCGCTGCCTTCCTGCCCTCCTCCTTTGGCCTGAATGAGCTGGGTACCGCAGAAAAGGGTGTGTCTGCGCTCAGTCTCTGAGCTGTACGTCCTCTCCCCAGCTGGCAGTGGGGTTTTCAGCACTGGGACACTTTCTCCTAAACACAGGAATGATGACAACAGGTTAATACACTGACTGCTCACTGGAAAACAAGCTGGAGGCACAGACTGTGGTACGAGTTGGCATGTACTTAATGACTTCCATTTGCAAATGCTTTTGCCCCGATGACCTGATTAGACTTGATGGATGAAACTGGATTTAAGGAAACACACTAATCGGGCGGCTGTGGCTCAGGGGCAGAGCGGGTCGGTCCTTAATCGGAAGGTTGTGGGTTCGATCCCCGGCTCCTGGTGCCACATGTTGAAGTATCCTTGAGCAAGATACTGAACCGTGCAGCAGTGCATCAGTGTGTGAATGTGTATGAATGTTAGTTTCTGTTGGATGGACTTTGCCATCACTGAGTGAAAGGGTGAATGTGGCACGTAGTGTAAAAGCGCTTTGAGTTGTCAGAAGACTAGAAAGGCGCTATACAAGTACAGGTTCATTTACCATTTACCATTACTAATCAAACTCTCATGTTAGAACAACATGGAACTAGAAAATGGGAGGCGGAGTATTTTTCTTTCTAGGCTGAAATGCTTGTTTCATCTGTCTGCAGACGTCTTGAGAGCCAATTTGTCACTCCAATCAGCTCCAAGGCTGTGAAATGTGACATGACCCCGGCTTTAAAGACCTCTTTTTAATGTAACCCAACATAAAAAGTGAAATCTGCATCAACACGATGCTGATGTTACTCAGTGAGGAAACCCAGTGAGCTCTGAAGGGGTTTCATGGGCCCAGTGGTCATTTCATCAACACTAAGAGGAAATAACTGTACAGTGTAGGTTCTAAAATATGACAAATCTCTGCAGCTACGCTCTGCCTGGTGGTAATGGTGCTGTTGAGGTTTGTTGATCACCTGTGAGCATGCTCTCATTGACAAGACACTCCCCATCGAGCAGGGCAGCATCACAGGGCAGCAGCAGACCGTCCTGAGGGATGATTATACAGTCACCGGGAACCAGGTCCACCGAGCTCACACACTGCTCGGCTGAAAAAACACACAACAAGGAATGAATGCCCTGGAAGAGAGTTTCAGGTTTAATGCAGAATGACGGGCCGAAAGCAGTCTGGCTTTACTTAGTCCAATAAAACACAATTACTTTCGGATTTGCGTCCTTATTTTTACTCAGAGTTAGAAGAGACTTGTATTAATTCAATGCAATACAATCTGTAAACCTTTCACTTGCAAACTACCAAAACAAAAGCTTCTTTCATGTAGCTATCTTGTTTGTCCTCATGACCACAATTTTCCATCCCACATTCTTCATTAGATGCACAGTTACTGTATGTTTCACCTCACAAATGGTGTGGCAGTAAGCTGAGAATAAATGCTTTTTTAAATAGCTGCCTAATGTTGTTGTCAGTTGGGTTTTGCCTCGAGGGAGTAACTGTCACACAGCTTAAAGTTGCCCTGTGGAGTTTTTTGTAAATAGTTTCTGTTTACATTCAGCATTGCTCACCAAAACACACTGTGTGTATTCCTGAAGCGTACAAATATTTTAAATCAATTAAAATTATTATTGCATTTGCGTCCATGTTTACTCGCTCATAGTGACTTGGCCAAACTGTAGCATGTAGTATGCCAAACGGTCCACTTTGCTTGATGTGTCCCACAATGCAAAGCGGTGGAAAATTCACAACAACCAGTCAGACCAACAACTGCAACATTTCTGTAAATATTGTATGCTATTTCATCATAGCATCATTCAGTTGGGTTAGGGAATAACACGTGTAATAGCATGCAGCAGTATGCAGCATGTTGACCTAGTAAGTGCAGAATATGGTCATGGAAGAGAAGGCATTTATACATGCTTTATGAAGGACTAATACATTTTTAGCATTAGTAAATGTTTTATCTGTTGTGAAATTGAATGTTTACTTTCAGTATTAGAAAATGTCTTATCTGTTGTGCCTGTGCACTTTATCTGTTTCACCGTGGGAGAGTGAGAAACGTCCTCTCGATTCCTTTGTATGTCTGGTGCATGTGAAGAAATTGACATTAAAGCTGACTTTGACTTTGATAAATAGCTAATATGGTACTATTATGCACACTAATAAGCAACAAGTTAATGGTGAAAATATGTACCCTCATATAACGCGTTACTGCGGTTTCAAATACAGCTTTCCTCTTCCTTGTCCTTTTTAAAAAAACTAAGAAAAAAACCCTCAAACAAAACGGGTTCCCCTACTCCATAACGCTACCTGTGGTCAAAAACTCCACAGGGCACCTTCAGTGACTCTTAAGAGAGAGACTTATGGTAACTTTTTTTCATGCATGGTTTCAGCTCAGTTGAATGGTAACCATGTAGAACAGACAACTCCAATGGCCCTCCCGAGACAAAGAGCAGGATGTAGAATCCCAGACATAACTCTACAATTGACTGCTTTAAGTTCTAGTTCAGACTTTTAGTACTTTTGATTTTCAGTTCTCAGGAAAGGGGAATTGAAACATTGATGGTTGAAGAGATTCACCTATTTATAGAGAATACAACTATTACTGTCTATCATCCCAAACAACACCTGGGGTACAGTATCAGTTAGCAAATTAAAATCTTTTACTGTTTCTGACTACCTTTCATATTATGATTATTTATCACTATATGAAACCATGGATATGATTCAAAACCATAAACCTCTTCACCAAGCCCTCACTCATCAGGAAACCAAAGCAGTCCAAATAGTTTTGTTAATGTCAAGCCACACTCTTTCTGTGCCAAAGGTCTTTTCATTCTTTAAATACATCTGCCACTTTTCCGCCTTGAGATGAAGCACATTACTGCAGGACCCATTTTCATGTCAAGTGAACAAAATTACCTTAAATATCAATCAAATCCACATAGATCAACAAGAAGAGAACAAAGTTCAAGAAATTCACATTAGAGGAAGGAGACTTTTGTAAAAACATACCTCCTGAGTTTCTCCGTACTGTGACATTTGTGACAAACCGGGCCATGTTGCGAATAGTGATGCTTTGCTGTGGAGTAACAGGTCAATTTAATATTATTTACATCCATATCCAGAGCTTAACACATAACAAATTATAATTAGATTAAGTAGCTCACTAAAGGCTCACCTTGCGGATCTCGTAAAGTGAGATACAGATGGAAAGAACTGAGATAATGAATATACATATGGCGTAAACAAAATAGTGATCAATCATCCACAGGGTGATGCTGAACAATTGGAACATATAGAATGGGTTGAGGACCTAAAGAAGTAGATAAAGACAGAGACAAAAAGGAATAAACAGGTTCAATGTGATATTTCACCTTGGTTTTGTATGACATTTCACAAACCCTCATACAAAAAAATCTATATACGATTGTTTTCATCGCACCTCCTCAAACAGCAGTTTCATGTAAGGCTTCACAGGCACATCAATAAGGTTGGGCCCATACACACGTTTCCTGAAAGAATTGAAATCATGAAATACTGCAGCCCTCTCTGGGATTAAAGAATCTGTCAGTTTCTCCATTCATTAATCCTTTCCTACCTCAAGTTCTGCTCCAGGTGACTCAGGCCCTTTTGGAAGCCATACAGGTCCTTGCAGGTCCAGTCCTCATTGAGGACACTACAGACAAAGACAGAAGGTTTCAACACTATGATAAACAATGACTTTCTATTCATAAAAAAGTGATTTTAAATCAAATTAAATACACAGGATAAGCTGCTCAGTATATATGTTCCTGTTTCAGTACCTAACACGACAGAAAGTTCCTTTTCTGTCTATCCAAATGTAGCGTAATCCTTCAAACAGGTAGTAGCGCAGCAGCGTTTTCTGTAACACAATAAAGGTCACTTTCAGTCTGGGAAAGACGATCACTCAGAGGATAACATTATTTAGTCAAAAAAACCTCCAATCATTACCATGTTCCTTACCTCCTCCTTGTACAGCTGTACTGTATCTCTCCATTCAGTGTCCTCCAGCTCTCCCAACAAGTCCATACTGAAAGGGACAAACCAAGTAAGCTTTTTCCTTTTGTCTTTTAACAGTTTTCTCAGATATGTGTGTAGTATTGAAAGGCTAAAGGTGATGCTGTCAGAGAATAGAGATGTGTAGCTGACCTGCCCTCCTCCATCTCCTCTGTGAGGACCTCCACCACATGCTGCTTGCCAAAACTGTCCTGAAGGAAAGATGACACAAATATATCTGTGACTGCTGGAAACTAGACAAACACTTGAGCATTGGAAGAGTCTAATGCAGTGAGTCAGAGCCTAACACAGAATACTGTGCCCAACCCACCCACCCAACATTCATGCTGGGTGATCAGTGTCATGAGACAGAATCAACATACTGTATATTAAGTATGAAATCAAGGTATAAATATGCTTGAACGTCTTTCAAGGTTAAATGAAGAAATTGAACATTAAGTTAAGATAATATTTAACAGGCGGAAAAAGTTACATTTCAGTGCAGGTTTTATAACAGCTATGACTGCTTTATCTAACATTTTATGACTGGGCCAGTTTCAGCCATTGTGCCTAAACTCAGTCCTGAGTCCTGCAGGTCTCGTAAAGAACACAAAAGGATAATGTGGGACAAATGGACACGCTGGTCAGTTACAATTCTTGCAATAGAGAGAAAAATCCAGTCTCAGTAATAAAGCCAGGTGTTTAAGTGGGTTTCAAATCGGAGAAGGAATTAATTTATTTTCTCACTCTTATTAGCAGAATATCTGCCAAAGCCAGAGGGCAGGAGCAGCAGCGTGCAAGGACAGCAAGCCGTGGGCGCCAGTGAAACACAATCAGGAGGAGACCCAAGGACAGCACGGCAGCCAGACGACACAGCCACACCCGCCAGCGCACCCACTTATAACCCTGAACATCCTGGTGGGGCAAAGGAGACAGAGTCAGGTCAGATTCAAGAAGGGCTGCAACTATAGATCATTTCAATTATTGATTAATTAGTTGTTTGGTCCATAAAATGGCAAAAAATGTTGATTTCTGTTTCCCAAAGCCCAAGGTGACATTCTCAAATGTCTTGTTTAGTCCACTACCTGAAGATATTCAGTTTACTGTCGTAGAGGACTAAATAATCCAGCAAATATTCACTCAAGAGAATCTTAAATCAGAGCAATTTGGAAGTTTCTTTTCTTAAAAAATGACTAAAATTACTCATCAATTACCAAAATAATTGCCAATGATGTAATGGTTGACAACTAATCAGTTAATCAACTAATGGTTGCACCCCTAGGTTCAAACAAGGGTTTATTTCCTTACAGCTGGTTTATCAGCACCCACATTATAAGATTTAAAAAAAGCCACAGTCAAATGCCAGATTGGGACAGAGGCTGGTTCTGCTTTCAACAGTGACACCTGGAGCAAATGTGATATTCAAAACCACTGATTCTTCTGTATCTGTAAATAGCAAGGGTATAGGGAACCATGCACATCTCTCATTTCTACATCTGCAGATGACAGGTGTCATTGTACGTTTTTCTACACCACGTCAAGCAAGTGAAGCACACTACCAGTCAAACATTATCTGCCACACCTGGGGCCATTAACGGTTTAACAGAAACACTGTGGAGGTACTCACCATGTGGGAGTCAGGACTGAGCAGGGGGTCTCGTGGACTGGGTGAGGGGAGTCCGCTCTGCGGCTCTACCACACTACCTACAGGTAACAGGTTACACACTGTTAGCACAACAATTCCTCTGTTACAACATTTACATTAACTGAGCAGCATGATACACACCCTCAAAGTCAATAGAAACAAAACACTGCAAAGCTCTAATCGAGTCCATGTTGCACATTGCAATAACCTTTTTGGTGGCATGGTTTAAATCACATCTTTGGTTTGAAGCCAGAGGTGAAAGATAAAAAACATGGCAGGTTTTTGTCTGTACAATGTGGTCCAAACCTCATGACCGAGTCATCAGACACCCCATACACTTTACAGGATTACATCCACACTCTGGGCACTGAAGTTAAAACTATGTTTTTGCGTATTCAGTTATTTAAAATGAATCACAAAGTCCCAAAGGGAGAAAATAGGATGCAATACAAACAGAGGCAAACTATAGGAAAACGCGATTTAAGGGTTACCATAAACTGTAAAAAGATCCTTAAACACACCTGAGTACGAAGGAAACACTTTGAGCTCCTAAAGAAACATTAACTTTTAAGGGCTACAGACGAGAGTAAAACACACCATAAAGTGCTACACGTTTGCAATACACTCCATATATCAATAGTAAACAATAACAGAGGAGATAAAAAACAACAACATCAGTGCAGTAAAGTGAGTTGTTGGTCTAACCAGATGCCCGCTTCCGCTTCCAAAGATCCGGGAAATCTCGAAACAAAACCAACTTCTTTTAAATTAAAACCCATCCGAAGAAGAAACTGAGCTTACCGACAACCGGAGACCGTAAGTCTAAAGCAAATAACTCCCCAAAATGACAGAGATATAGCCTGTAGAGCGAGCAAACGTCGCAGCTGCCGCCGGTGAGGTTCACCTCGCAGTTCTGCTGCTGCAGCTCCTTTTTCTACCTGCGTGCCTCGAGCGTCTGACACCGGACCGATATACCTGTCCAACCGGCTTCTGGAGCCAATGTGAGACACGAGCCCACAAGGCCGGACAAACAGCAATAAACAAACAATACCCAATATGTTGACAAAGAAATGCGTCAAAAAAAGAGGACATTTAATGTGTTTATTATTACAGGTTATAGACGCTGAATGACACAAACAAAGATGGTGTATCTATTTGTTGTTATTTGTTAATACATAGGACGGCGCCAACAAACGCAGACATCTCAATAGATTCGCACAGTTCGATAAAAGGTAAACGTATAAATATATAGTTGATAGTTTTTCCTTTGGCAGCAACATATCAGTCTTATCAAAGCCATCACAATTAGTTGAACATCAATAATTATCAATGAGGTAACAGTTGACTCATGATAAGAGATTGTTTGTGAAGTTAGGTTCATATTTGTTGCTCTGGACATTAATCTACACACACTGCACATTACACACACTGCACAAGAAACCAAAGAGCTGACTCTTCTGTTTCGTCGTTATGCACATGATCAGAATCATGTGAGAGCTTATCAAGGCAAATGTAAGTGAGTTATTTGTTCTAACTGGGTTAATCTCTACCAAAAGTCGCCAAAAAAGTATCAGGTTTTGAAATCAAACACCGGCATCTTCTCAGTTTAAAGTCACTTTTCATGGTTTTCTGTGTGTCCTGACCTTTTTATATACATTTCACATCTATTTCACAATAAAGTTACACCATAGCAACCAATATTGCTGCAATAGTAAAATGATATTAAATCCCAGCAAGCAATTCCTTCACATACCTCACTTAAAAAGACTGTCAACACACACAGGAATCCCAGGCATCTGAAAGTCATCACCTTTGTCCCAGGCTTAGAGGAGAGGAGGACTGCCCAACAATGCAACATACAAATCTGACTCAATTATAAAAAGTCCATGTTTTCATTTTCATTTCTAGCCAGACCGTTACACAGGGCACACTTTCTGCTGTGTCAAAAAAGGGAAATAGGTGTGTACAAATGACTAGACAGACACAAGACTGCCATCTGAGCTGAAACTGCAAAAAAAAAAGAAAGACATCCCCCAAACGCAAATACCACAACACCAACCTCACATACAAGTCATGTCGAGGCCAATAGCCTGTGCACTCACCTGACACCTTCAGTACCTGGCTGTAAGGTGCAGTGTGTAACATTTAGGAGGATCTATTAGCAAACAATCTAATATTCAGAGGTATGTTTCATTAGTGTGTAATCACTTGAATGTAAGGATTGCTGTGTTTTCATCACCTTACAGCACCCAAAGAGAATTACTGATTAACTCTGCAGTTCCCCTGAGGTCTAGGGAGCGTTTCAGCGTCTTTTAGCTGTTTGTTTTAGTTTTTACTGTTACTGATTCAGTCTTACCGCTCTCCTCAGCAAGGCAGCTGTTTTCAATAAACAAAAAAGCTTTGATAAACCCACTGTACCCTACCTGCCCGGCACCAAACAACAGACAATTTATTTATTTCAATCAATTAATGCAGGTTTAAACACGTAACATACATATTTTTGATATGTACTCATTAAATTTGTTTTTTTTTAAATAATTGTGACCAAGATATGTACATGAGCAGGACATTTTACTGTTAAAATATAAACTCGCCAGTTCTCTCTGGAGATCCGTTTACCATTTCAGTAATGCAATTTCTTGTTGACACTCAGACTTTTCATCCTACACAGAGACCTACTAACGGAGGGTGTAGTGTTACATACAGAGGTTGGTGAACTGTATTTGACCCACCTCATTGAATGATACAGTTATCTGAAGATAGATTGTAAACTGACTTTACTTGGGTTTACTCCCCACTATGTCCCTGTTACTGACAAACAACATGGCAGTAGTGCTAGCTTTAGTATCTGTATTAGCAGTAGTGGGGAAACAGTGAGGCCTGTGGATTATGCAGACTAACAGGGGCGGTGTTTCCAAAGAAATGATCAATTAAATTTCACTCATCGCTGCTGTGAGGAGCACAAATAAAAGTCCTCCCACATCCATTGTGATGGGGAGGAAGCAGAGATGGATATCCGTCAGTTGTGCAGATAAAACCAGCCCATCTGTCTCTCTTGATACCAGCACTAACAGGAAAGAGTAGGTTTTATTTTATTGTACCTTATGGTGAAACTGAAACGAGCCATTGCGTTCAAGTTATTTTCCTAATTTGACGCCTTATTCTGATATTTAAATGCAGGTTTGAGCTAAAGTTAACGAACCTTGTGCTTCAACACTACCTTACTGAGTCTAGTACATTACTATTGGTGATTATTTAGGTTAGTTTTACCGAACAAATGGTAAACATTTCGCAGACAGTTGTTGCCGCCACAACAGCAGCAGTCAGTAAACATCCCACTGACTGACAGTCAGTGAAGATAACTCGCCTCTGGCTGCTTTTAGCTAACACTTAGCAAACAAGTCTGTGTAGCTTTCCTGTCTTCTTCTCTCCGGAGGGAAAGTGGATTTATTATCCTTCAGACACACTTACCACGCCTGTCCATGCTCTGGTCACGATGACAGTCTCCACATTGCCTCCTTTCACACTGTCCCCGACCTCACTGACAGGCTGTCTGCTAACCGCACAGACGAGCTGCTTTCAAAACATGCAGCTGTCTGTACGCTGGACCTTTCTACGGGAACTCACGGTGTCCAAAATAGTCGCACGGGTTCCCATACCTAGAGAAACCTTTCCGCTAATGTTTGTTGTGGTTGACTGTGAAACCCGCATTTCTGGCCCCAAGATCTGCTCAGTTCCTCCTAAAGCGGGTGGTTATGGGAATATATAATATAACGTTATGTGATATGATTAATATATTCCTGAATACAATATCAATGACTCTAGGAAATGTATTCGTCATTATACTACACAAGGTTATGTATATATATATATATATAATATATAACGGAATTAAAGTGTTTTAGGTCCTTCAAACGTAGAGAAAAAAACATAATAAAGATTATAGAATAACATAAAAGATAACTAGAATAAAATGAAATAAAACAATATATAGTTATTCGGTTTTAACTTTTATCACATTTTTTGAGAAGTTGGAACAAGAATAAAAGAAATGGGGTTCGATCAGTTTGATCGTTGATTGATTTTGGTGACTTTATTCAGAACTAAAAATAAAACAGTAGGAGGGGATTTATACCAATAGGGGATTCCTTGAGACAAGACCCTCTCCCAATGGGGGTCCATGGTCTAATATGCATCTATTGTGAGGGTCCTCGAAATGACAATTTTGATCTATAGCTTCATTATAATCCATTTAATTTTAACAACTTTTGGCTGGTACTTACCCTCCTCCACTATACTGTAAAGCCACTGGCTATAAACCAGCATTAGTGATCCTGTTTATTGCGTATTCATGGTGGATCAGACTTCTAGCTTTGTAACCCAGGTTTCTCTCAATCCTTCAACCCAACTGATGGAGCCAGCTTTTTTTGTTCACATCATGTTTAAGAATTTACTGCAGAAAACTGGGAAGAGTCATAATTTAATGTGTGGTAATATACTCTTTAAACCATTCAGTAAATCTCACAAAGATATGTTGGGAAATCTCATTAGATAATCAAACAAAAGAAGCTGGTATGTAGTTATAACAAGTATTTTTTTATAGCCAGCCATGTATTTTTTGTGTCCAAAAACATAGATTTAACTTCCACAATGAGTTTATCACATCTTTAATGAACACATATTTAAATATTTACAGTCTGAACACAATTTCATGAGTTTTTCCTAAAGAGTAATTCCACTGTGCACACAAGCAACAAGAAATGGTCCAAATGGTTGCATAACTCAAAATATTTTGCTCAACAGTTCTTTCCAGCACCCTTTTGTCACGTTTTCCTGTCGTCTGCTCCCTTATACTATCACTCTTACACACATCCACACACTCCCATCTCACACACTCATGAAAATCAAAAAAGGTGCTGATGCGGGCGAATGTTCCTGGTTGGCTCTTCTCTTCCTCTTAACTTAGTTCAAGGTTTTATTAGCGGATCTTGAGCCAGCTGGATTTTTTACAAAGCTGCTTCTTTCTTCTCTTTGTAAGTCGCCATCATTTTCTTGATCTCTGCTATGGCCCTTCCCGGGTTGAGTCCCTGTGGAGACGTGTGTCCAACAGACAGTGAGAAACTGAAACTCTATTAACTCTGTGAGAGAGAGGGTGTATGTGTGTGAATACAATTTTTTAAATACCTTGGGGCAAGTCTTGGTGCAGTTCATGATAGTGTGGCAGCGGTAGAGAGAGAAGGGGTCCTGAAGTTTAGACAGGCGTTCCTCAGTGAATTCATCGCGGGAGTCAATCATCCACCGGTACGCCTGTGGGATAGTAACACTTATCATCTGTCTGATTTCCCATGTTGGACATTTGAGTTCATGAATTGATTCCTCTTAAAGTCACGACCTTTCATTTGTTAAAGATTTTTAAAGTTTCCAAGTACAGCTTCAGCTGGAAATTGCTGCATGTAACCGACATCTGCATGGCAACATCCAATAGTTGACCTTACCAGCTCTAACGTCAGCACTGAGCTCAAGCACAGGTGAGCCTGAGTACAGCTGAGGCTAATAAACTGCACCTCAGGGTGAGATGTACAAAACAGCCACTGACAAGATGATAATCTGATTAACTATAAGCAACATGGCCTTTTCTCTGGCTCCACCCTCTGGCCATATTATTTGCTTCACTAGTGGTAAGGATCTACCAACGTTTTTCTTCCATTTTTCCTCAATCTGATCATTTTGGTTTGGCTTGTAATGAACGTTAAAGCCACACAAGGCCTCCATACTAGGGTAGCTGTGGACCACATTTAATATTTGAATCTGTGGGACACCTGTCTCATATGTCTTTACCCACCTGCATTAGGACAGCAGGTCCAAGGTATTTGTCTCCGTTCCACCAGTAGCTGGGACAGCTGGTGCTGCAGCAAGCACACAGGATGCACTCATACAGACCGTCCTGTCGGGTTAAGAAGAACAGCTTATTCTGACGGCCCATGTGGTCCTCTATGACTCCACAGGCAAATCACAGACAGGTTGGCTGACCAGTAGAAGACATGTTCTATCATTTGTGGGAGGTCTGTGTTTCATAGAGTAAAGAAGTTGGTTTATTTACCAGTTTCTGCCTGTCCTCCACCGACTGGAAGTACTGCTGCTTCCCCTCTTGATTTTCATCTTTCTTTTTCAGGTAGGGCTCGATGGATTTGTACTGCGCATAGAAGTTACTCATATCCTAGTGGAAATCATATGAGAGAGAACTCATTACAGGCGCTCATACAACCAATAAGAGCACTATGTAATATTCCATTATTCCTATGTTTCAGTCGTCATCATGCTCAAGTGTTCATGAATGTGGCCATGGGAATAAACTTTCTACACCTGCAGTACTTACAGGCACCAGATCTTTGACCACATACATGTGTGGCAGAGGGTAGATCTTGATCGGTTTGCTTGTGTTGGTGTCAATTTTGTTAAGGCATGCCAGTGTGTTGCCTCCGTTTATGTTCATGGCACACGAGCCGCAGATACCTGAAGAAATTCACAATCAATTGTTCACTGAAATTCTTTACGTCACTATGTCAAAGTTAAACCAAGATTCTTGTTTCTTACCCTCACGGCAGGAGCGTCTAAATGTGAGCGTGGGGTCGATCTCATTCTTAATCTTGATGAGGGCGTCCAGAACCATTGGACCACAGCTGTATTTACAAGAAGATATCAATAGATAGTGACATTGATCAAATTCACGTAAAAAGTAAAATACAACTCAACAGTGTTCTGTTCATTGACCAGATCATGACTTACGTGTTGAGATCAATTTCATATGTCTGCATCCGTGGTTTGTCTCCGGGGGTGTCGGGGTCCCAGCGGTAAATCTGGAACTTCTTGATCCTGGGTTCAGGAGCCGGGGCGGCGGCAGTCTGAGCATACCGCACCATCTGTGTCACAGATAATAATACATGACTTTAAAAAATTAAGTTTAATTCCTCCGGGTATTTTTGTCTTTCATCCCTACCACTTCCTTTCAAGTACAAGTAAGATAAAGAGCAATAAAAGCAAGAGTTATGTACAAAGGAACACATAATAACGTGACCTAGCAGCTGATTACGTCAACCAAAGCTAAAATAGGGAGCCCTTTGTAATTCTATCCTTTAACACCAGAGGATACTACTGCTAGTAATACATCAACTCATACAAACAACAATTCACTTTAACTTCTTTACTGCAGAAATCGGACAAAATGAACAATTATTTCTTTACAGTAGAATGAAGTGGCAAAGTAATTTAATAAAACAAACATACCATAAGATCAAAACAACAAACATAATGAAATAATTCCCATAAAAGCCTCTAAAACAATATCCTGAATAAAACAATAAAGTGTGACAAATACAATTAGAAATCTTTAAGACACAGTTTTAGGTTAGAAATAAATATTATAACATGGTATGATGTGATAGAATAGCTTACTCCTTTTGCATAAGAAGGTATAAAGTCGCCCCCTACTGGTAGCTTGGATGAACTGACGTGAAAGTGTTACATCACTGTGCGGTCGCCGGTTACCTAACTGACTCTTTAAGGACAATGAAAAATTGACTTTCATACACTAACTTAAATATTTCTATACAGTTATGAGAAGTAAACAAATAGTTGTGTACGCTAACTGCTAAAAAAACCCTTCAGACTTGATATATAAGTCTAACAGGAGGGAGGAGTTGCACAACAGCTCATTCACAGTGGCTGGGTTTACTAAGCATTCATTATAGTATACGTGGACTGTTTAACTTGGTATTAATGTTTACTAATTCACAGTTTACAGTGAAGCAGATAGTGCTAGCATGGGCTTCTTCATTATTCTGTCACATTTACACACACCTAGCCTGAGAGCAGGGTGTGTCTCTACAGGTCGTTTAATGACAAAGGTTGAACACATTTTATACTATAGCTACTGTACAGTAAACACAAACTGTACTTTACTTTAAATGAACACAAACACACAACTGTTAGCATACACCTTTCTAAAAGTACCCCATGGGATATGTCTCCTCTAATTCTGAATAAAATAGTTTTGTTACTTACCACCATCATGCCAGAATTCCTGACAGCCAAAACATTTCGACCCAAAGCAACACAGGCCGCCGACATCTTTCTGCCTCAGTGTGTTAGTGGGAGTATGTTAGTGAGAGTATGTTAGTGAGAGTATGTTGTGTCTCTACAGTACAATCAGGATGGCTCTCTTCTGGCTCAGCTTCCTCGTGGCTCCGCCCTTTATGTGCATTCACGTGACGTAAAGCACGTTGGAGTGCGTCATGGTTGGTGCCTTCAGGTGCTCTCGCTCGGCTCGACGACAAACTCACACACAGATATTTTGTGCTGCAGCTGGAGACGAGTAAGAATTAAATGAGCATTAAGCGTAAGCGGGAATTTGGCGACGATGACCGTATATATATGTATATATGTCTATATAAACCCGCATATGTTTTACTTAATTGTGTCGTGTGTGTGTATAAGTGTATATTAATAATTTATATTTGTCCGACAGCGCTTTAAGGCATCATACGTGAGAGTCTCTTTCACAACTCTCATTGCTGTAAACAAGGGTCAGTTATATAGGCTACAATATATATCCATAACTAAAATACAGTGCTACAGTGCTGTACTAGTGGCATGTGCAATTCATTTTAACTGGGTTATGATTATCATGATTATAATTAGCTTTTCCCACAGACTATATCTCAATCGTTTTTATTTGATGATAGCAAATATATGTTATACAATTTATTAAAAACAGATTGACACACTTTACTGAATGTATCTCATTTTGGGGTATATTTTTTCATACTGTACAGTTTTACATATGTAAGTTTGCAGGCCCTCTTACCATTTTGTGTTACCCTTAGTGAGCACTGTTACTCAATACGTCCTTGACCCATCCATGTTTATCTATGTAAAACATATATGCTATATTCTGTTACTGATTTTCTGCTGCAATAGTCCAGAATCACTTAAATGTAGTCTTAAATAATACTTACAGTTACTTTTAAAAGATTACTGTATGTTACCCTAATAATGGCCAATAAAATAGAGAGGAGGCACTGGGTGTGGTTATATTTAGTCTGTTTTATGTATGTATTATGGTGATGTATTAACTGCCAGTCTGTTCTTATTTAATATACGTGACATCCCTGGGGCAGGGATGTACTCTATAAGCTGTTCTGATGGTAATGCATTTGAAGGTCGAGGGGAAAAACGTATGCACCTGAAGGAATAATTCGTTGATACATGGCTCTGCACTCAACAACCAAACATAGGCTGAAACCAACATTTCAGTATAGGAAACATCTGTCTGACTTTTCGGGCTATCATTTCTTTGGGTTTATTTATATGCTCTATAATTTACTCCCATGGATACATGGTATAGGTATAGACCAATAAAATAACACAAAACAGGCGGTGAAGGGGATACAACAATTTATAAATAGATCAACCATAAAGTCCTCTCATTTCACGTTGTACAAAATGTTTAAGAAGTTTATGTATATTTGTCAACAATCGTTTTATTTTGAAAGTCTTGACTGGAAGTCTTTCACTTTTTGGTCTTCTACTTGACTCTGGTCCAACCAGCATGGTGCTACCCTGCAACTGTGGAGCCACTGGAACTGAGAGTGCTGTCCATTGCTCGGACACCATTGAAGCAGCATGTCGTGGCTCTTCGGCTGGGGGAAGAGCTCCGGGTCGCCGCCGGTGGAAGAACCGGCTGCCCCTGCTGACGGTGCCGGGGGAGCATCAGGGGGTGCAGGGGGAGACAAACCCGGGGATAAGTGGAGTAACTTTGACCCGACTGGGCTGGAGAGAGCTGCAAAAGCTGCAAGGGAGCTCGACAAATCACGTGCGTACACTTGTTGTTGTCAATTATTTAATTATTTTTCCACAATTTGACACAAAGAAACACAAATATTTGCTTTCTTTCATTATTTCTGTGCTTGTTTCCAGTCCAGTAATTATTTTCTCCACTTAACAAATCGTCCCATGTTGGCACGTTCTGTTCTTTTCGGATGAGAGCCCCTCACGCCGAATCCCACACAAAATGTTAGGCTCAAAGTAAAGTGTCTCCCTGGCAAATGTGCACACTGTGAACATCAACTTGTATGAGCACTGCTGAACTGTCGGGGGTTTTTCTTTAATTCGGCATTCATATTTCAGACTTAGCAGCACAGTAAAGATAACATTTAAACTTTTTAAACTGGTTTACCTCCTCAGACACTGGAGGCCAGGGGCTCGCAAAAACTATGAAACACATCCGACCCGACTGTTATAATATGTTCTGCCTTAATGTTCTTTATCAGTAAACCTTAACAACTGTTAAGTTTACAGTATTGGTGAGTTATGTGTAATTTGCCCGTGGAAACAGCCTGCCACACACACGTGTCAGTAGGCTGTCTGACCTCCAGTCCATACAGTCTTCTGCAAAGTTAGAGAGATTTGGTGGGCGTGTCAGGGAGCAAAGAGGGAACAAAGTGTCCCTGCGAGCTCAGCCCCTCACCTGTCACATCAGTCCCTTCATGTCAGCGTGTCCAAATGAACATGCTTACTGCTGTTCACTGTGTGAGGGTATTTTTTACCCAGTGCGTGTCAAGGACTGCACACATTTGTCTTTAGCAACTCTTTCAGATTTCTGCAATGCTTTCTGCAAACACACTGACAAAGGCTCAGTTCTACATCATCTTGTGGTGGCGTAGTATACCCCAAAGTGTAACTATAATTGTCATGGTGGTTAAAATGTAAGCAGTTGAATGAATAATCTGCACCACTGTCTGATTTCTTTTCTTATTCATTTCAACAGGACATGCCAAAGAAGCGCTGGGACTGGCTCGTATGCAGGAGCAGAGTGTACAGCTGGAGCTACAGAGTAAAGTGAAAGTAGGTGTTGGAGGAGGGAGATTCATTGATAAAGGGCCTCTGATGTGATCACCTGATATTGTGTTCAGAAGAGGTTCCGGCCAATCCCTGATGTCAGTAAGCATAACACAAACTCCCCCTACAGGAATATGAGGTGGGTTTGGAGCAGCTGAAGGGCGAGCAGATCCAGCTACAGGGGGAGGAGAGACGGAAAACACTTGCAGAGGAGACAAAGCAAAACCAGGCAGTATGGGATTAACACTGCACACACTGTGCTATTCTGACAGTCAAACATAAGTTTCATCCAAGTAATGTACTTGTAATTTCCCCATTGGGGGATTAATAAAGTAAATCTTCTAATACATCTTGCATGTGAATGTAATGAATTATTTTCTGTATCACCTCTAGAGGGCGCAATATCAAGACAAACTTGCCAGACAGAGGTATGATGATCAGCTCAGGCAACAGGTAAACATTTTTAAATGGACATTTGAAATGAACACCTGCATATCTGAATAGAGCCTTTGTCATATATATTATTTTGTCCACAGCAATTCCTGAACGAGGAGAACCTTCGCAAACAAGAGGATTCCGTTATGAAGCAAGAAGCCATGAGAAAAGGTATAAGATAAATGTAAAAGCACCCTTGCACTGACACATTATTCATCCACTCATAATGCCATGTAAAGACTCTTTTAGTATCTCACTTAAAGATGAAATATGTAAGATCTGTGCTGCTCCATAGCAAAGAATGACCCTAATATATCTGCAGGGGTCAATAAGGTTGTTGATCAGTGCTGATGACTCAGCGATTACAGGGCTCACTGTGAGATTTGTGGCTCTTTTAAGTCTCTCTGGGGTCTGGACTGTGTGTTGGATTATTATATATAATATATCAATATTAACATTCATTGTGTATCATGATGACGAATTAGTTCCTCAATAGACACTTACATCAGGTCTCTGCTCTAATTAGTTAGGTTGCTCCTCTTTTTCTTTTCTTTAATTGAACCAAACAAAAACAGACATGAATAAACCTTTTGTAATAGTATCTTAATAAGTAGATAAAAGATAAGTAGATGAAGAAGTAGTGTAGGGGTATATACCCCACTGTAAAGGGTAAAAACAAAATTATCTCTGTGTTTTTGATGGCTCTCAAATTCAGTGCTGCGTTGTGGATTAGTCAGAAGAAAATATTTGTTTAAAGTTGCACTAATTAATATTTCTGTAATAAAAATGGATCGAGTGACTGTGTGTGGTGTGAAAGGTGTCTCTCCTCGTGTGTTATCACCCGGCTCTGCAGTGTCCTTCAACTGTCAACACACATTCATGAAAAATTACCAGATTCAGTAGATTTGTCAGCTTTTTAAAAAAGGATTTTTTTGTTGACACATTTTGATAATATATAAACCACCAATCCATGCCCAAAGCCAAACACATACTCACTTTGATTTGTTTGATTTCTGTAGAAACATTTAGGTTACAAAATGCCCTTATCAGGAGAATGAGACCTCTTTTATGTCAGTTACAAGCCACTGTAAGGCTGATGAAAATCATATATTACTTAACAGCCACTTCAGCATAAAATGCATATAGTTTCCACATTAGAAGAGATTTAAATCTTAACATTTAAATATTTAAATCAGTTTCAATCTAGCATTTGCATAGAATAATAGAATAGTAAGTTAAACCATGATGATTTGAAATAGGTCAGCTCTGTCAGAAGTGGTTATAAGCATGTCGTTATTAATATCTTCTTCTCTTCTTCCCAGCTACCATTGAACATGAAATGGAGCTGAGACACAAGAATGACTTGCTTCGCGTTGAAGCCGAGGCCAAAGCCCGCGCCCAGGTGGAGCGGGAGAATGCGGACCTGATCAGGGAACAGATCCGCCTGAAAGCTGCTGAACACAGACAAACTGTCCTTGAATCTATAAAGTGAGGCCAAAGTGACTTTCCACTTTCTTTAATCCTCTGAGTAACTGGCATGTTATCTTCTAGTATCTCTCGCAGCTGTACGTAGGTGTTTAACAGAAGTCCCAGAGGGTGTCAGCGAGTGTGGCTGCCACAGTGGAGCCAGTCAGTGTGATAATTGTGTTTTGTTCCTGGCAGGACAGCAGGAGCGGTGTTTGGGGAAGGATTCAGGGCCTTCGTCTCTGACTGGGACAAACTCACAGCCACGGTAAATCTATGTCAGACCTGTCATGCTTTGTCACACTTTGACCACAGGAGGACCGCAGAGGATTATGTGAAGCAGTGGTTGTCATATTTGATATGCTGTACTGTATGTTTGAAGATGTGTGTGTTTGCTTTTTTTTCGCCCCTCACAGGTTGCTGGGTTAACCCTGTTGGCAGCAGGAGTGTATTCTTCCAGGAACGCCACAGCAGTGGCCGGCCGCTACATAGAGTCACGTCTGGGCAAACCCTCACTGGTCCGCGAGACATCTAGGTTAACTGTTGCAGAGGCAATCAAACACCCAATCAAGGTCAAATTACAGCCCAATTACCATGTTTGTACTGTTTATTGTGTGGCTGTGGTGGCCTGCTGATAGGATCCAAATGTCTGGTCATTTACAAAAGATTGAGATGCACGCAGGATCTTTGTGTGTAAATAGTATATTTTTATCAGGCAGCTTTAGATGTAAATAAATACATTCTACATAGTGATTATTGTTGTTTTTAAGAACCACTGTTCATAAATATCAGTGGAATGTCTGGAGCCTTGCTGTAATTGAGGTCTTCAACATCAGCCTGTAACAGCTGGCAGCGCATCAAATTTATTTTCTGACCGGATATTGTTTGAATGGGTTTATTCATGTATCGTCTGCAACCCATCCAGCTAATAGTGCCAAATGGACTGAATTTGGGTGTATTTTAGAACGTATCGTGAAAATGGCAAAAACTTCAAACATGCTATCAGTTATAGGAATGATGTGTGTATAAAATGAACGAGCACATTCATTCTGTTTCTCAGACACCAAACCAACAACGTGTGTGCTGAATGTTTCAAGTAGTTATTTTCAGGATTGCTGTGGTTATTTTTCACATTTTTACCACAAAATCTGTATGACAGACAAGAAGCCCGACATAGGGCAGAAGCAGCTGGGTCAGTTACTGGTGATAAAGTGATCTTATCTGTACATTATGACTTGAAGCTTTCCATATCAGACATAGTTCCTTTAACTAGCTGTCAATTGTTGAAGCTAAAGCAAGTCACCATGCAATTTTCTGCTTTCCTCATTATTTAGACAGCCAAGCGTCTAAGAAGCAGACCACAGGATGCCTTAGAGGGTGTGGTGCTCAGCGTGAGTCTTTTACTACTTTTTTGTCGTATTGATATCTTCTGAATTCAACATTCATGTACTCTTTTAATGGTTTTGTGAAAAACGCTGAATGCTGTCATTGTGCAATGGATCACACAGGCAGCTTTGGAGGAACGTGTGAGGGACATTGCCATTGCCACTCGGAACACCAGGCAGAACAGAGGCTTGTACAGAAACATCCTGATGTACGGACCCCCTGGAACTGGTAAAACACTCTTTGCCAAGGTATGGCTGGTTCAAACACCTTTTGATTGTCTTTGTCTTTGTTTTTTAATGTTTTTAGCTTTAGTAGATGGATGAAGATGAGTACAGTGGCTATATATAAAAGTGTGTTTTACTACTCCTTACTGCTGATTTACATACTACAGTACTGATACAACCTATTAAAGCCAGTTCAGGAAAGTCTTTTTGGCCCAGTCTGGACGGTCTTTTCTGGCAAAAATCTCCGCCCATGTAATACAATTCAGTATCTTTTTCTGGTTTGTTTTTGATCCATAGAGAAATAACTGGATTCTTAGCATGAGCATTGATGGCTGAACACAGAAAATACCACAGCAATGACTGATGAAACATTTCACCACAAAACCATACAGATCTTACAGATATCACTTAAAAATGTTTATGTACATAATGATAGTATTTTTTTAAATACATTTTAAGACCTTTAATTATTGCATTAAATATCTAGTTCAGTTGTAAAGCATTTTCTATATATTTAGCTTGTTAATATTTTTAAGATGGTTGTGCATTTCTATTTTTCTTTTTAGCCTCTGTGTTCCTTAAGTTCTTTAACCTTAATAATAATGACAAGCTCTTTCCACTACCTTTCAGAAATTGGCTCTCCATTCCGGGATGGACTATGCCATCATGACAGGTGGGGACGTGGCACCCATGGGGCGCGATGGAGTCACTGCCATGCACAAGGTGTTTGACTGGGCCAGCACCAGCGGACGAGGGTAGGGCGCTTTAATTAACTCCATTAATGCTCAATGAATTAGTATTAAAATGTGTATCAGCTGTTAAATATTGACTCTGAAAGTTCAGTAGTGTAGATCATATGTTGTGTTAGAGCATAGAGCTGCTGCAATTCTGCTGGCCTTAAAGAAAATGGCAGCTTTAAGCTCATTCTCTTTGATGTTCTCTGACTCTCTGCAGCCTCTTGCTGTTCGTAGATGAAGCTGATGCGTTCCTGCGTAAGCGCGCCACAGTGAGTTCAGCTGCAGTGCCATATACATGGTGATGGTGCCCTGTGTTTTAATCATATATTCATGAGTCATGATTTTTACATTGCAGGAGAAAATCAGTGAGGACCTCAGAGCCACTCTCAATGCATTCCTCTACCGCACTGGGGAACAGAGCAACAAGTCGGTATCTTGCATTATTCACTCTGCATGGCTGGGTATGAAAAGGTCATTGCCATGACTGAAAAGGTCACCGGCTCATTTTCTCTCTTCAGGTTCATGCTGGTGCTTGCTAGTAACCAGCCAGAACAGTTCGACTGGGCCATTAATGACCGCATTGATGAGATTGTAAACTTTGCATTACCGGGTCTGGAGGAGAGGGAAAGATTGGTGCGCCTGTATTTCGACAAATTTGTGCTGGGTCCTGCCACTACAGGGAGACAGTGAGTACGCTTATTGTATTTCAGTAACAGCTACTGTTGCTGCTCCATTGCAGATGTGATTTACTACTGCAAAGGAAAACATTGGTCCCTAGAGGTCGCCTTGCTAGCTCAAGTTGCATAATGGTGTATATAATGTGTTCAATCCTGAAACCAAAGTGCTGGCTGAGTCTTTACTTATTGCTTTCATGAAATGGTGTTGAAGTCCTCAGGAGATGTAGTACAGAAGCTGTTGCAAAATGTATTGGTCAGTTGAAAAGTACAGATAATCAGTGATAGGAAACAAGTTAAAGCTCAAAGCTCACTTACTGTACAAACCTTTTGTGTTTTAACTCAACAGGAGATTAAAGTTGGCTCAATTTGACTATGGCCAGAAGTGTTCAGACATTGCAAACCAAGCAGAAGGCATGTCTGGTCGGGAAATCTCCAAACTTGGTGTGGCCTGGCAGGTGAGTAGAAAATCCTGTTTATTCAAAATATGAATCTGCTTCAGAATAAATCACAACCTTTTATCAAATTTGTTTTCCTGGAAGGCCGCTGCATACTCTTCTGAAGATGGAGTTTTGACCGAAGCCATGATTGACTCAAGAGTTAATGATGCTATCAAGCAGCATGCACAGAAAATGGACTGGCTGCTGATGGAAGCAGGTGCAGGGGTTGGCAAAGTCGGTGTACTCCTCCCTAAGGAAATGGCTGCAGGAATCACAGCACAGGAAGCTGCTTCACTTGGACAAACCAACGATACAACCCCAACTGTACAACAAGTCCTTCCACTCCTTGATGTTGTGAGCAATGCTGCCCAGGCAGAAGCAGCCACTCTACCTTCAGAAGTGGAGGCAGATGTTATCCTCAAAGAGGCAGCCACTTTGATTAAAGAAAGTGAAGATGTTGCTGCGAGAACTGTAGAAACAGTTGAAACCATTGTTGAGACAGCTACTGCTGCCCCATTAGTGCAGGAGGTTGAGGCCATCAAGGATATGACTGAGGAGGTTGTAGGCACAGCAGCAGTTACAGACACTATTGTTTCTGAGGTTAAGGATATAGTCAGTGAGGTTAAAGACACAGAAAGTATACAGGCTACCACTGTCCAAGAAACTGCTCCTTTCAGTAAAGAAGAGCTAACTACTGATGTAGTTGCGCAAGAGACTGAGGCCACAGAAGTAGTCAAGGAGGAAAAGGATGTTGTTGAACACTCAACAGTCACTGCAGTTGCTCACGAGAAGGAATTAGATCCTGTTCTCTCTAATGTTGTCCAGCAGCCAGAGGCTACAGTAGTTGGACTCTCCCAGGAGACTGTTGTCCAGGAAATTGAGTCAGCAGCCACATCTGTTGATGGTGTAGAAACTGAAGCCACCAAAGCTGCAGAAGAAGTTGCAACTGATGCTGCAAAGGTTGCAGGGGAAATTTCAAGCAATGTAGCTCAGTTGACTGAGTCCATGGCAAACATTGTGAAAGAGGCTGAAGCAATAGCAACTGATGTGGCCAAGGTGGCTGGTGATCTAGCAACCATCACGGAGGAGATGGAGGCAGTAGTCACCAAGGAGGTTGAAGTGATGGAAAGTGATATTGTCAAGAACACCAATGAGGTTGTAGTGGAAACCGAGTCTCAAACATCAGAGGTTACCAAAGAGGTTGAAGTAGTGACAGATGTAGTCAAAGAGTCCGAAAGTATTACTACAGAGGGTCAGACCCTGGTTGCAGAGATTGTGAAAGAGCCTTTAAATACAGAGATTGCAGCCAAGGATGCTGAAGTCACCCCAGCAGAAGTTTCCAAGGAAGCAGAGGTCATCCCAGCAGAAGTTTCCAAGGAAGCAGAAGTCATCCCAGCAGAAGTTTCCAAGGAAGCCGAAGTCATCCCAGCAGAAGTTTCCAAGGAAGCAGAAGTCATCCCAGCAGCCCCAGCAGAAGTCCTAATAACCAAGGAAGCTGGAACTGTGGCTACAGAAGATGTGAAACTGCCCGAGACTACTGAGGTTGTTCACAAAGATGCAGAAGTTATCCTAGAAGAGGTTTCCAAGGAAGCAGAAGTCTCAACAACCAAGGAGGCTGACACTACGGCTACAGAAGATGTAAGACTTCTTGAGACTACTGAGGTTGCTGCCAAGGAAGCAGAAGTCATCCCAGCAGAGGTTTACAAGGAAGGAGAAGTCATCCCAGCAGAGGTCATCCCAGCAGAGGTTTCCAAGGAAGGAGAAGTCATCCCAGCAGAGGTTTCCAAGGAAGGAGAAGTCTCAACAACCAAGGAGGCTGACACTATGGCTACAGAAGATGTAAGACTCCTTGAGACTACTGAGGTTGCTGCCAAGGATGCTGACGCCAAGCCAACAGAGGCTGCAGAGGAGGCTGGAGTAACTGAAGTCACAAATGAGAAGGGCTCAGCATCTGTTCTCAACATAGAAACCAAGGTTGACACAGAGACCGTTGTGTCAGAACAGTCTGGGAAACTTGAGAGTCCAACCACTGAGAAGTCATCTGCCTCTCAGACTCCCATGACTGAAGAAGCTGAACCGAGTCAAACTGAGAAACCTCTTTCAAGCAAACAGAGTGGAGATGACAACAACAAACCACCAGCCAAGTCAAGTCCAACAAAATGATCACTTGGAATCTTTGATGAAATCCTATTGTAAATGAGTGCTGCTGTAATTCTTAAACGCTTAAGCCTTAAGTCTGAATCATTCACTCTGAATTCGGTCTGTTTATCAATATTTGTGTAAATCAATTACTGTGGGTGCCAAAATTAAGGTAATAGTTTGATTATGGCCTATAGGTGTGCTGAGTCTGGGTGAGAGGGTGTGTTAACCACTGGCATTGTGCTACTATTGCATTCTGCTTTCTGTCTTTCACTCTTCTGGTTGTCATGGCCTTTTTATAATGTAAATTTGCCCTCTAAAAGGATGTTCTTGCATGTTTGCTGACCAGTTCTGGCAAGATTTAAATTACACGCAAAATGTTCGTTCAGAACATTCCTCTCTGGCACTTCTTGGCAAGAGCGCTGGCACAATTGACAAATAGTTGAACTGTGGATTCTGCCAGACCCTTATTTAAATGTAGTTGGAGGTACTATGTAGGTCTGACATTGTGACACTCGGTCCACATGAACCAGCTTCCACAATGTCCACAGTTTACATCTGGTGTTTGAGACTTTTGTGTACTGGCCAAGCCATACAGACAAGGTGCTTTAGATCCAGGTGGCTGTTTGACCTCTCTTGCACATGTGCAGAATAAAAAAAAACACATTCAAAATGCTCCAACATTGATGTAGTTTATTTCCTCTTTCCTCTGGGGATCATGTGTTTGGCTGTGTGTATACATGTGTGTATCTGTCCGCAGCTAATACTTCTGGACCCGTCAACCTAATATTTCTTGTGCACATTAATGACCGTATGCTCAAGGACATCGAAAATCCCATAGAAAAGCTTGGTCTCACTTTTAACCAGAGCATCTTCAGATTAATTCCATACCTGATACCTATGTTATTATCCACTAAAGTTGGACATAATATTTTTATTATCTTCACTGCCATCTTGACTGTAAGGGAGCCTTCTTCTATAGTTTTACTGGCGGACCATCATGTGCATGCCGTCACCTACTTTAGAGGGAAATATCATGACATTATAAAGAAGTTATAGTCTGGATATTAAACCGGTGTCATTTGAATATTTAAATGAAGCCCTTTGAACCTGTAATTGTTTGCCCTGTTTCTAACACACATTTGATACTCCCATCCCCTTGCTTCAGCCATGCTGTAATAAAGTGACTGTAAGGGAGCTTTTTTTTTGGGAGGGAGGGTAGGGACAGGTTTTATTCTGTGTAGTTGTGTTAAAACAAAATGTCCTAAATAAATAACAATGTTAATTTGAGATTTTCATTGTTTCTTTATTAAGTTTATACAGCTAGGTTACAATACCATAACACTATTCTATGCATCTGAAATAAAACTGATTATACTATACAAAACATTTGATTAAAAACTGCATACATCTATATACGATAATTTACACTATACTATATAAATACCACTTTATTCAAAACTTAGCAGTTGTATCTGTTCCCTGGTGGAGATCTGCACTAGTATTGGTGCTAAAAGAATCGACTTATAAACTACAGCATCTCAAGAAAATGAATCAACAATTTTGGTAATCAAGTAATCATTAAATTGACCCAACATTTCCACCCTTTTCACATGTGAGGATGTTTTTTGTTTGCCTTTCTCAGTATTATAACAATTTGAGTATCTTTGGATTTCTGACTACTGTTCAGACAGAACAATTCAAAGATGCGAACTTTGGAAATTTGTTATGTAAATGTTATAGATGAAAAGATAACAATGATAATAACTAATTAATAATCATTAATAACAGCTATAAATTATATTTTTCAAAGAATATTTGACATTGTGAATTCCTGTGGCAGGTAATATTTGGGACTATGCGTGCAGGTTGAAGAGGTACACATGTATTTACTAAAAAATATCCAACCACGGTGAAAATATTCTTTTAAATGCCCTCCCTGTCACTGGAATGTGTCATGTTGTGTCTGTGGATAATAGTGGAGGGCTTTTCTCAGTTGCATCAGCATGACATTGGCATTGTTAGTCATTTCAGAAGTGTTGTTAGTCAGTGCTTATGAAATTTCTATTTGAATTATAATAAACCAAACTGAAGTTGTCAGCAGGACCTCTCTGTATAATCTGTCTGTTGTTGCTGCTCTGAAATAACCTCTCGCTATGAGAATGTGTTCTCATCTACGCTCACATGATTGGAATGACACAATCAAACATCAGAGGTCACTGTTGTGCTTCAATGGCACTTTTAATAAAACAGACATTTCATCCTCACAACAGCAATGTCTGGACAGAGAGAACGAGGGGGGGCTGGGTGAGGGTTCCCTCTGCTGATAGGCTGGTTGCTCCTGATAAGTGAGAGGGAATTGGATAAAGAAAATTGAACTGTGCTGTTGAGCACAGTGTGGGGAAGATGGAGGGGTGTGTGTGTGTGTGCGTAGTGAACTGACTCATCTTGGCTGGCATTTATTTCTCCTACCGTGTCTACTAAAGAATGATAATATAGCAAAGAGAACCCCAACCACAACCGTACACTCTCCCCTCCCCCTCACATATTTACAGGAAAAATTAATACATTCAGTTAATTCACTAAGTAACAAAGCTAATTAATCTGTGTTTTTAGCAGAAATCACATGGTTTCACATCCAGTTTTCAAACAGACTCATCTTTCTGTTCCGTTCCTATAATCTTTACGCACACAGTCCATCATTGGGTTTTCTATTGATAAACGACTCACACAAAAATCCCCCCACGCACCCCCTTTTAAAGACTTTTAAATCCCACTTGCCCGTATTTATAACTATTTACAGAAGCAGCAATCTAACCATCACAAAAACCCACCCACCCACCAGTCTCGTTTGCCCCTCCCCACACCAACAAAGTCCCACTCCCACCCGATACAGAAAAAAAATATCCTGACACCCGTCTTGCCGCCCCCATTCCATACACTGCCCACATCTTACCCTGTTCTAAAAGAGCATGCCAAGTTTAACAATGAACACAGAAAATGTCTCTATACAGAAAAAACACCCCTAAAAATGTTTTTTTTTCTTCCTCCTCCCACAATGGTGGACATGGACATAAGACAAAATTTCAGTGGCAACAAATAATCGTCATCTTGCTCCATTTTGGGAATTTTTTTAGTGCTGACAGGGACCGGGTTTTGTCATAAGAAAGTCCTGTCGTGGGGGGGTTTAAGGGGGCCATGTTATGAACAGTGGGAGGGCAGTTTTCCAGGGTCTCTGAGGCAACAGTTGGCCAAGGGGCAGTTTAGGAAGGGGGATGAGGGGTTTTGTAGAGGACAGGGGAAGAGGTTGTAGGGGAAGGAATCTAGGGTGTTTTTTTTTGTTGTTGTTGTTATTTTGTTTTTTAGAGTCAGAGGTGGCGGGGACTAGGGTGGCCATTGTGGTAGAGCTTCTGCTTGATGTGGACCATGTTGCCGCTGGAGTCTTCCAGCTGTCTGAGCTGGGCCCGGCGACGGAGGTCTCGAAGGTTGCAGAACTGGGGCAGCCATGACCAGGACGGGGTATCTGGAGGAAGGAGATGAAAGGCAACGTCATCTCCACAACTTAAATACTATTTGCTGGCCTGTATCCACCTCTGATGGATGCAATAACCCCATGATGGATATGAAGAATTGGTTGTCTATTAGAAGTTGGTACCCTAAATTATCAGAAATAATATCATTGAACATAGTATGACTTATACCTATAAACATAACAGTATTAGTATTATCATGGTAAGAAATGCAATAAAAGAAAAAGCCTAAGAGTTCTTAATGAAATTTTAAAAAATTATAATTTCCAAAGTACAATTAAAAAAGTCATCGGGCCCATTGAGCTGTATGTTAGTGATGTAAGGGGCCAACTTGTAGCTATACCCGTTTGGACAAACATCTAACAGAATCTTGAATTTTGCAGATACACGTACACAGAAAAACGCCAACAAATGTATGCAGAGCAGAATTAGGCAGATACGCATTGAAAATTGACATTCAATAGAAACCACTCAGTTTTTAATCGCCTTAAATCCAGACCCCTAGACGCCCTCCATTCTAAAGCCTTCCAAACCCGAGAGCTGAGCCCAGAAAAGAGTCCCCTGTGTCAGTTTCTGCCCCCTCTCAGACGCACTCTGACCAGCCTCACAGCAACCAATCAGAGTAAATCATATTATAAGACAAAGAAACCTATTTTGAACATTGAAAAGAAAAAGCCAAAGTAGATTAGAATGTTATCTGGCCATAAGAAATGATTATGAATTGGCAGAATATCTCTCTACTGTCAGAGATAGAAAGCAGAGGCAGATCCTAACCAGGCACAGGCTCAGTGGCCACAAATTGGTTGAATTGATCTTACTTTTTTGGTATTTTTCCTTTATTTGACAGTGGAGACAGACTGAAAACATGTAAGAGGGGATGACATGCAACAAAGGTCCTACACAAAATGGAACTAGGGAAGTTAAGATTACATGTGCCTTAGACCAATGGTTTATGTTGGTGTCAAGAAGCCCCAAATTGATACAATCACGCTATTGGATCCATGGACTCATTGATCTATGGCTGATAAGATTTAGATATTCAATAACTGTCTATACTGTAGATGAGCAGATTGAACAGTGAAGAGCCTGAAACCTTTGAGCAGCCAAGCTTATACATTCTGTCATTGTGATAACTTCTAGTCAGTGAAATAATAGTGGAATTAAAATATTTCCAATTTTTCTGGGGACCCACTGGAACCCCCTAAAGGACCCCTTAGACAACTAGGTCATGGCGACCCCCAGAGTGAGCATTTTAAACACATAAAAGGGACAAGAAGGAAACACCTCTGCATCAGTACTGCAACAGAAAGTATGCAATACTTTGTCATTATCAAAACATGACACAATATTGATTATTCCCGTCTCTGCTCCCCGTCTTTAGTCTTACTCATGCGGATACCTGTAAAAGTGTAATGACTTAACAGGTGGTTTATTGTTAGCCGACACTGTGTTGCTTTTGTAGTTGTGCAGACACGAGCAAAGACAACTGAATTCCGGCTTTTCAAGATGACACACTCATGAGATCGAGACACACAATAGTGTAAAATCCTTCTTAGCCTGGTTTTCTGACTCTAAATCCAGTTAGAGGCAGACAAGACATAACAGCCAGCAACACAGAGGACTGATCTTTGTGCTGTCAACTGTCCTTTCTGGATGTTAATGTCAGTGAGTCCACTTTAACACTCATTTTCTCCTGTAACACTGTTTATATGAATTTATTGCTAGGCTGGTATTTGCTTGTCATTTTATCCATCTCTGATATGAGTCTTCTTTTTTTTATTGTAACACTCAGTTTCAGTGCAGAGTTGATGGTCTAAATCCTGCCTTTCTACCCCGACAAGAAAATTATTCTGAGCAAAATGTTGAATTATGTATTTAAAGACAAGTGATCATGTGTCTCAAAATCACATCTTCCATGCAACATTTAGTATTTTCAAAAATAGGCCAGTTAATAAAACAAAAAATGACAAATCTGATGCAGTAAGGTTTTTGTAGTCTATGGTGTGCAGCATAAAAGTAAATTATAGGCTCCACACAGACCACAGACTGGAAAAGCTGTTGTTTAATATGTCTTTTAGCCACCAGCTTCGTCATAGCTGTAAACAATGTTTAATTCTGGGAAGTAGGGGTGAGCTTCTTACAGTAAGGGCAGAGTGACAAAGAGGAGATAAAAGATTGGAGCATTGAAATATTGGATGAGAATGGTAAATGGCATCAATCTCTTCAAGTGCACCACGTTGTTGCCCTTGATTCTTCACATTTGTGTTTGGGCTGTTGCGCATGTGACGTGTGTCCTGGCATTATTTCTCTACATTCACAAAGGATTTTACAGGTTGGCTCATGGCGGAACCGTTTGTATCTTTAAGTCTTTGACCAATTAGGAGCCACCACACTGCACGTGCAGAACACACAAGCTTTATAATAGAAAGGCCGACCTGCCGTGAAATCGGTGACTGTCTGGAAACAAAGTGGGGTTTCCATGAATGCGAGGTGTGGAACGTGAAGAGGGGAATGGCGGAGCACACATTCGTGCTTGTCATGTTATAAACTGGAGCCGGCGAGGCGGAGCAAGGTCCACAGAGACAGCAGAGAGAGAGAGAAAGGGAGAGGGAGAAGGAGGGGAGAGCCCCAGACAGCAAACCCAGTGGCAAATGGCCCTGCTAGAGGATGAGCGAGAGGAGGGGTAGTGGTTGTGGTGGTGGTGTAGTTGGGGAGGAGGGGGATGAGGTGTTGGATGAAGGGGAGGTGAGGAGGGAGAGAGAGTGAGTTATTTATAGCTGTGAATGGGTATGCTGTCCACAAGGACTGCTCTGAAGGGTAAAGGAAAAGGGGCAACGAAGACAGGTTTCTCTCATTTGAATAAAAGGATGGAGATGGGGATTGGGATGGAGTCGGGGGACATGATAATGCAAGGCAGAAAATGGGAGGCGAAGGCACAATTGTGTTACGCTCCTTCAGAGGAGAGGGAAGGGGGGGGTTAATGCTAAACGGCAGGTCATCATTTTCTCAATTTTTGAGACGGTTCTTGTGTTTCTCGTGCAACAGAGACTCTAGTATCAGATATTCACAGCACATCAACGATAAGAAAAGAAAAAAAAGTAGTTGCAGCAGGAAGCATTGTAAAGGAAATGGCCAGGAGTAGATTCAATAAGTGAAGAGGGAGGGGAGAAGGAGGAGCTAGAGATAGAATTAGGGGGTAGAAAAAAAAAAGGAATGGGAATCAATGTGCATCTCAATGCACTGTGTGTGTGTGTGTGTGTGTGTGTGTGTGTGTGTGTGTGTGTGTGTGTGTGTGTGTGTGTGTGTGTGTGTGTGTGTGTGTGTGTGTGTTTCTCACTTGCCATTCCAGCTGCTCTCTCTCATTCTATTTATAGCTCCGGAGGAGAGAGTGTGTGTCTCTATGTGTGTGTGTATGTGTGTGTAAGTGGGGGTGGGGATGTGACAGCATCTCCATCCTGCACCCATAACACACACACACACACACACACACACACACACACACACACACACACACACACACACACACACACACACACACCCCCTTCCCCGCTCTGTCAGCCTCACCTTCACTCCTCATCTTGGGGAGGCTAAACGAGTCTGACCTAGCATCAACGTCACAGCACACACACACACACACACACACACACACACACTGGCGAGGGGCATTCCCTCCCAGTACAAAAGAAGAAGCCTATATCCCCCACTCTATAACTGCTGCTTAATGAATATGGATGTTCCCTCCTCTCCGGGTGTTTTTTATGTGTTTTTTATTTTTGTATGATGTATTTTACACTGTTGTACTAATGCACTGGAGAAAAGAGCGTTGTCTCACTCGCTGCTGCAAAACCTTCCACACCTCTGAGCAAAACAAAGCTTGTAAAATTCAAGCCTACTGTTTATTGTAGCAGCTCCTAAAACACTAAAAAAGGTTCCAACCACAACCTGATACTTTCCTTCCTAAAAACCAATATCAGTGCACTTTCAGTGTGATTTCAAAAAGCTTTTAGTACTAAACGTCATCTTTTGATTGTTGCTGCTTGATACTTTCCCAACCTGCCTGAGGAGCTTTTCCATGGCGGTCCAAGTATCCAGGTCACATATCACCTACTTTATGCTTAAAACTGAGGATCCAGGCCACCACAACACAGGCCTGACCCGACAATGAGCGCGATGCAGCACAGAGCAGACAGAAGACAGAATATTCAACCCTATTTTTGTTGCCTTATTCAGTATCTCTAAATTTAGCTCATTTGTGCCAAAGAACACAACAAAACTTTATCAGTGTTTCCCCCTAGAGTCTGATCCTGGCTGGTTGGAAAAGCCTGTGAAAACACCACGGCCGTGAGAAACTGAAACACAGTAATCCAGGATGCTAATGCTCGGCTCATCGGTGAACATCTTGCCAGTGCACAGACATGAATCCTCTGTGTTGTCGGGGGTTGGTGTCTCTTCAGCAGAGTGCCAGACTATCTGGGATTTCATGTTGCCATGTCATGATTTCACACGTGTCTAATAGCTGCTTGGGTTTAGCGTCGCTAAAAAGCCTTTTGTTTCTTCTGCCCGTGTTCTGCACAAGCACACAAACCCAACGATGTTGGAGAACGGTACCCCAACATGTTCTGTCTCATTAAATCTGCCGCATTCCTCTTCTTTTTGCTAAAGTAACATGCATCCTTCAGCTGTCAGGGAGGAGGTGGTAAGAGATATTAAACAGATATTTCAGAGAGAGAGAGAGTGCTGACAGGAGACAGGAAATTAAGGAGCAACTATCACACTCAGTTGGATTTAAACACATGGTATGTGGGAATGTAGCTTTCACTACAGCACAGCAGATGGTGGGAGTGAAGTCATTTCTCAATTTCTGTTTCTCGAGCCTGGTTTGAACCAGTCTTGGTAACTGCTGTATGTGTATTCATATGTATTCTATTGGTTATCACACAAAAGCCATGCTTGTTTAAAACAAATAACAGCTTGGCCAGATTTTCTCATTAGACAACACATTTACAGCTAGTACTGCACATTAATTCATTTTGTCTTCAGTGTAATGTGACTTGACAAGCTGTGCAGGCAATATACTATGCAATATACACATCTACACACTGACACATTATCTATATATATGTTTATGTGGCTTTCTACAGACCGGTAAATATAATCCACACTTTACACATGTTAGTAGCTCATGTTTTCCTTATTTTTGGTTACTGTGGATGCCATATTGAGTTTCCATTTCTCCTTAACTATCTTTGGACTAAAAGAGGAAAACCATGCAAAGAGATTAACATTAAAATGAATACAGTAACTCCATAAAGAGAGTTACAGGGAGTTCAAACCAGAACCCTCTTGCAGTGATGTGACAGTGCTAACCATTGAACCACTGTGCACTCATAATGTTCTCAATGATTGGGCTTGATACGCAGACATTTCTGGGGCATACAGCTATTCTCGAGGCAAAATTGATATCGTTAGTTGAGTTAAAGGCCGTGCACACCCATGGTAAAGCCACACATGTGATTTTAATTCTTTTGGCTGATTCAGAGCTGTGTAATAGTGTACAGAGTGAGCTTGACTGACATCTTCTTCAGTCTCCCGTTAGCTTTGTTGGATGGGGAAAATACACCATTGCCACTGGGTGCGCTACAAAACCTGCTCTGCTTTGTACTGGTAGGGTATAGGTATACTCCATTTCAATTTGGCTTGCAAATAGCGACATGCCGGCTGGGGCACTTAAAAGATGTGAAAAGACATTTAATTTTCTGATAGAGATTCAACGTCATACCTGCTGCCTCATGCTGCCAGCACTCCATTTGAAGCAGGTTTTCCCACCCTTGCCACTACATAACAAGTGGTACAGCCAAATGGAGCGCAGCCATTACTTTTAAATCATTTAAGTCTGTTGACAACCCGTAATTCTAGCAGAGCTTAGTCCACCTTCGACCTGAGAAGAGGTCTAATCAGCAAGACTAATTGGAAACACCTGTATGGGTGCGCAGGACCTTCAAACCTCAATGGACGGTGCCAAAGAAAAGGCCTTTTTTTTTTTTTACATGTCACACTGGAGAAAGAACAGGTTTAAATAATATGTTTCAGGGTCCTGGTGTCGTGCATGTTGGTGTCACTGTTACACTGTCTTGACTCACTGGGACACTTGAGTACAACGGAGCTGCATTAACTATGACAAGTCAAAATGTCTTCTGTGAAAAATGACTATTCCAAATCAATGTTTTTGGCATTTCGGAAAATACGCTTATTAGTTATTTTCCCAAAAGTTACATGAGAAAAGAGATACCACTCTCATGTCTGTGCGTTAACCATGGAGCTAAAGCCAACAAGTGGGTATCTTAGAGGAAACTGTTAGTATAGCTCTGTCCAAAGCCCAAAAAGCCTACTAGTACCTCTAAAGCTTTGTTCCCTTAACTGTATCTCATTATGTTAATCTGTACATGTACCAAGTTGTGGTTTTACAGGCCTCTGAGTGCTGGAACTCTTTCCAGGTGCAGTGACCTCTGTCTTGTTGTTGCCTTGAGTTTGCCAGTCATCCAGCAGCGACTCCGGTAAGTCACTGCGCCTGTAATAATTGTTTTAATTCTCTTTGACCTCTGCTCAGAGTGGACCTCGATATTTAAATCAGTTCTCTGAAAAGCTTTGTTGGTATCACTGATATGATTTACTTTATACATACATACATACTCATAAAACGTCTTTCTTCTATTGAGGCTGATTGGCCTTTTGTGGAGTACCCTCAAGGGTTTATCTTGGGTCCCTGATTATTCTCTATTTATATGCTCTCCTCTGGGTATATTATGCTGTTTAAAAGTCAAATAAAGCCTTGTATTTATTATTGATGTATACTGCATTGTGTCACTTCTCCTTTATAATAAAAGCTGGATAATCAAACATTTTAAAGATTCAGAGATCCTAACAATTACCCATTCTGATCCCTGCACTAGCACTATGAATTATATTATTTGTAGTCTGGTTTGCCTGTCAACAAATCTCCGGTCTGTCATTAGATGCTCAAGTGGTCTAACTGTGTTTAATTTTAACTAGGGCACATCACTAAGATGAGACTTTTTATTTTTATTTGCAGCTCTTGAGAAGGTCATTCATACTTATATCTCCTCCAGGGTTGATTGTTGTGACGCACTTGTGGTCTTAGCAGAAGAAATATCAACATAGTACAGTTAATTCAGAACGCTGTTCCGAGGCTAGTTGCACTCTCCAAGAGAAGTGACCACATTACCTAAATCCTTTTCTCCCTTCTGACAGACTGCTTGTCAATTGCAGAATTGATTTTAAGGTTTTAAGTCAGCTTATTTGTGTGATATGTTAACCCCAAGTGAGGCTGATTGCTGCTTGAGATCCTCTTTCAGGGCCCTTCTCATCATGCATGGCCTCTCAGCTGTGGAAGTCCATGCCAGAGGATTTCAGGCTTGCAAAGTTAGTGTCTTATTTGAAATCCTTACTCAAAACGCACTTTTATCTTCAGCATTCCTTTTTTTTTATGTATGATGTTGTCTCATCATTTCAATATTTGATACATCTATAGTGTTTACCTTTACACTGTGTCTTTTTTGTGTAGTGCTATATAAAAGTATTCTTTATTATTAACATACACTCATGTTTAAAACTAATTTCAACATTACTTGCCTGCAACCAACAAAAAATTATATAAAAGTTATCTAGCTATGAATGCTATAATCACAAATATAAATTGAGAGAATTGCCATTTTTCCCGCAAGCTAACTTGCATCCTAAAAAACTGTTTTTTGTTTTTCCCATTGAGGTTTAACTCAACCAAATGTTAATTGTGGGTTGCATCATCTGCATTATTACAATTCCTATTAATATTCTATCTCATTTTACTGCGTTGCTTTGCTATTTTTCTCTTGCAGTGTGTCCCCAATGAGATCATTAAAGGTTTAACTTTGCATAATACAGTGGTGCACAGAAGCTAGAATAAGCAGAGCTTATTCTGTCAGACCTGGCTTGAAACACTAAACGTTTTATATTTAATTCAAACCTTTGCTGAAAAGTAATTCAAACAAACATCAGCTGTCACAAGGACATCGACTATCTTCTGTTTGGTTCAATGCATTGAACATTTTAGCTTTAACTGGCTAATACTGAAAGACCCTCTAGAGCATAGCATTACAGTGCAGTGGTTACACTGCTTTATGACATCAAAATTAATTTAAATGATATATTGAAGTAAATATATGTAGGGAATTTAATGTGAATCAGCAGTTTGTGAAAGACACAACAACAACAACATAATAACAATAATAATAATAATAATTCAATCATTTTGATTCGTTTTTTAATTAACACATATCTCTATAACAGTGTTCATTCTCTATTTATTTTGTTTGATCACTCTACTCATTTCTGATCATCTATATAGTATTGCTGTTCTCATTAAGGTTTGATTTCTTGTTGACTTGTTGAATATTTTTCTCATAAACAATGACTTTAATATATTCAGAACATAGTAATTACACTTAATGACGGTGCTATTACATTAGCATATGACTGCTGCTGTTTCCTGAAAACAAATTAGGAGGATTATTAATGAAATAAGGTTTGAAGTATTTCGGCTGTCCAAAAAAAGAAGACAGCAATTTAAATGATCAACTCGACTGATAGCCGACGTCTGAATCATCACACAGTTGGAAGGTTTAGCTGTGATTTTCCAAGAGGTCGCAGTAAACTGAGAAAAAAATCAGTGAGAAGAGCCAAAAATGGGCCAAGCAATGGGGGGAAGGTCATTAACCAAAGCTCCACCAACTGCTGTGTTAACCTGGCAAGCACTCACACATGCAGATACATGGTGGATAGATACAGATAGATAGATATTTCTGCATACAAGCTTTTTGCTAATACCATATACCACCTCAAACCCTGATTAAAATTATATATACTTTATTATTTCACCTCTCAAATTAAGATTATTTAGGTTTTGCTGTGACATGTTATTTCCCATCATGCAGCATTGTGTGTGAAGGCAGCACACGCGAAAGAGGAAGAACTGTATGACATTTTAGGGATTTCTGACTTGTTCTTTGAGATGTGTCTGTGCAGCAGACCAGTGCCACTAACGTCCAACTTACCGTAATAGCGGCTTGCCCTCCAGGCCCTGACAGCACAGTGTAGGACTCCGTCCAGCCACAGCAGCAGCCAGCTGATGCAGAAACCCAGCAGCAGCCCCAACATCAAGTCCATCTCCTGCTTGGTCACACTGTCACTCACAAAGTAGTTCTCTGAAGAGTCCACCAAGGAATGGTCCCCATCATATGGGATTACATAGTGGACATGATGCCTGGGACGAGGACAGACAAGGGAAGGTGATGGACGTTAGATATATGTAAACCAACATATAATTAGTTAAAGTTAAAGACAGAAATGGACATTACTTAGCCATCTCAAGGCATACAGATGGGTGACAGATTAAAGGAAAAGCTAAGTGCAATCATAAAGTAAACAATTGTGCTACCATTGCTGCTTGGCATATACTGGAGCTCTACTGGAAGGATGAACACTAAGAACATGTGATGAGCCCTGTGAAACATGTTGCTCCAGAATCTCCCATCGGTGTTGTATTGGGTTGAGGTCTGGTAACTGTGAAGGTCATAGCATGTGATTCATCAAACCATTCCATGAGTCCTCACATCTTGTATGGAAGCACCTGTATTTGTTATGTTGCTCCACTCATTTATTCAGGTGTTACCTTTACCTTTTTGTCACTCAACTGTATAACTTTAGCATGATACAGGACTTTCCAAATGTCCTTGACCCTGAGGACCATGGACACTGTTTGTCTATATATACAGTATATATACTATATCAAGATGGTGAAACTGTCTACCCTATATATGGTATACTCATTCTAACTTGGATGATGTCTGAAGATTTCTACCTTCATTTTAAACGAACTGCACTAATCCGCACTTTGCAGGACAGCCCCTGAAGGCCTCTCAAGGACCCTTGAGTGTCCCCGGGCTGCACTTTAGGCAAGTTTAAGGAGACAGGCTTGTGATTGTGAATTATCAGAAAATACTCACAGCCTGAAATAAGAATAAGAAACACTCTGCTACCTGCAGTAACTACTGGTGCCTTTCAGTATATTTACTCCAATATCCTAACAGGTAAAGGTCATACCTGCTCAGTATAAACCTTTTTTTTGCAGAGACAAAAACATCATATGAAAGGCACCTAGTGTGCAAGTTCTTGAGCTATCTTAAAACAAGCAATAATTTTGCCGAAGGGGGCGTCATCTTTTTCAAGTCATTTTGGAATTTCTTTCTAGATCCAAAGGGGTTCTTACAATAAAGTCTCTCAATTTTTTTTCCAAGTATAAGAGACATGAAAGGAATCAATATGAATCCAATTTTAATTGTTTTTCCACAAATCCATGGGGTGTGTGATTGCTTCTAACCAGGTGTTCACATCTCACAGGAGAAAAAAGAGGAACTGTGGTGAAAAATATGGAAATGTTACGCTGATAGAATGCAAACCTAGAGACAACAGTGAGTACATCACTCGGTTCTATTACAGCTGAGGGAAAACATGCATGATAACACTACATATTAGCTCTGAATATCACTCTGTTTCAGCAGCTACTGATCAACAATCCTCCAGTTCCTTACAATCACTTTGCCACATTGTCCAGTCTTGATTCAGCTCCATTGTAAAACAGATAAAGCCACACTTGATATGAAAGTCTTACTATACTGGTATTACCTGCCCTCCTGAGAGGGGATGAAGGCTTTTTCCAATCTAACAACACAGGCAGCTGTCTGACAAACACTGTAAAGGAACACAGTGGGAGCTGATAGATTTAACTGCTGGAAGTGAGTACAGATACACACCTCTGCTCACACACTTTGGAACATTACATTGATAACACGTTTGGACTAATGCAGGTTTTTAAGCCCATTAACACTTTTTTTCCCCAAAGAGTGCTCTGGTAATTTACTGTTGCACTTCCATAAATCTGAAGGATGTGCAAGAGACAGGTAGTCTCTAGTATGGGTACTCCAGACCTCTAGTTTGTAACACAAATTTTCTACATGTTTAAATAAACGTCTGCTTTGCTTATCTCTGTATCTCACTGACATAAAGCTGCTGTGCTTAACACCCAGTGTCTATTGGGTCTTTACCACTATGATGCACTGGAAGTTAAAGGACCAATGTGTAGGATTAAGAGGCATTTAGCAGATGGCAACCAACTGAATACTGTTTGCCTTCCAAGTGTTCAGAAGAAACTACTGTGACCATGAAACTTGTAAAAGGCCCTCTAGAGCTAGTGTCTGGTTTGTCCACTGTACAGCGGTTTAACATGGGGGACTCTGTAGAAGAGGACCTGCTCTCTCTATAGATAAAAAAAGGTAACAAAAACACAGTGATTCCTATATTCAGGTGATTATACGCTAATGAAAACATGAACATTCCAGTTCTTCCAACTGAGTGTCACACACTGGACCTTTAATGGAAGTTTTTGATGGAGGTGAGCAGCTCTGGACAAATAAAGCACCTCCACCTACAGAAATGCAACTTCATTAACAGAAAATCCATCCATGCTGTTTGATTGACAGATGATCTCTGGGAAGTGCAGTGCAGAAAAGTCACAGCACATTGTACTGAATATGGAGGAAAAAAACAGATCTCGCCGATTAGCGCCTTAAGTATCTTACTGAAGAAGTAGTGGCACCACATGGGAGATCAAACCCCCTGTTGGACCTCACTGACTTGAGCCATACAGACACTGAGGTCCATTAACAGCAAAACATTTTCTCAAAAAACAAAGCTAAGCGCGATGTAAAAATAGGCCAAAATCTGCCTCTGTGTTCCCTGAATAAGACTTTTGCCCAAATCCCTGTAAATAAAATAAAGGATTACTTTTTGCTGCCTCTATACCTTTAAACAAACTTAAGTCCTGTTCACTTGCACCCTGCAAATCAGTGTGTATGGTGTGTAAGATTTGAGGATGCAAATGCCACAATAAGGACAACTATCCTGCAGCCTCTCACAACAGCATGACAGCAATAAGCAGGGTACACCCAGCAGCACACACAGTCCCACTCCTGGAATCTCTTCCTCTGCCACAGAGGCAGCTATTGTGGGCCAGGCTTCAGCCCGTCTACAACTACATCCAAATCAGAGCACAGAAGCTGCCAAATAAAATGACACTCGCTGTGTCCTCGAGCCTGATAAGGTGAGCGCTGTGGGCGTCAAGACACCTCCATGCCTCGCGGATGGAAGGGCAGGCGAGTGAAGCCCAAGCTCTGGTCTGCCCTGTTTATCCACGTATCCTGTGTTTCTGCTGTTTATATGGAGACAGATGACTGATCCTCATTCAGGAGGTGTTTCCAGGTCACTGAAATACACTTGGGTACAGTAATCTGAGGTTTGACTGTGCATACTGTCCAGTGGTTTGTAGTTTTACTGTTTTATCAGTGCCTATGCATCAACAAATACTTGTATTGGAGGACAAATTATAATTTTAGCATTATAAATATATAAATTACTGCTAAAAGCTGCTTAAATTAGTTTACTTTCTTAAGAAAAAAATCCTGTTGGCAATTAGAATCTGATCCCTTTTGGCAGTAGCAAGGATAACATGATTGTCAAAATATTATCATCTCATCATAAATCCTGCCTCCAAACATATTTTATTTGTCTTGATTAGTCCATATAACGTCACATCTGTCTGTGTGTGTGAGAAGCCTCTCCAAGCTTTGACTTAGATTATCCCTGTTTGACAAGCATAATCTAATAGCACCTGATGATGACCCATTTCTGGATCTACAGACTAAAAAAACACACAGAGTGGAACTGGCCTCTTAATGCTGCTAATGAACTGATTGTACATCAACCCCCTCACTGCAGTATGCACAGTATACACTGCTGGTTACTTTTAATGTGCATCTGTTCGGCTTGCAGCAACATGAATATATAGTGACATTCCCACCTAAGACACTGATCTGTCCTGGTGGCTATAGGTTGCCTGCAGGAGACGAGTCAGTCAGGATCTAATATCTGAGGACAATATATGTGTGAATGTATTGGATAAAAGGACTCTTTAAATCTTGCTCCAACACTCTTGCTATACCTTCAGGCATTGTAGACTTATAAAAAAAATAAAAATAAAACAGAGGCCCACTTGTGTCTCTTCACAGCCTACATAGGCTAGCCTGCTGTATTACATCCTCACTGTTGATGGAAAATGCATAATAATGCTGATTAAATCCGACTTCATTTATTAATGAGTGTCTTGCTGCTGCCCCCCCCCAAACCTGCTCTCACTGTGACAGCAAACAGCAGGTAGGCTGATGAGCCCAGCCAGTATACCCACAGCTCCATAGCACTTCTGAAGCCATAACCACTTCACTTCAACACTCATACGTTCATAATTGGCAGCAGCAGCTTTATATTCGACACCATGTAGGCCTGCGTGGATCGCGCAGCTCACTTGATGCTCAGATTGTTTTTGAACGGCCTTATATTGCTCATAGTTCATTACCTATTTATGGCTCCGACACACACCTTCGTATATGCAGCAAAGCCGAAATCCTCGCAGCAAATATAGGCTATAAAAACACACACGAACACACACACACCGCGAACAAACGCGTGATCGGGCTTTCTGTTAGAGCGAATAATAAAAAGCTGTATGAAAACATCCGCCGCTATAAGAGCACAGACAGGCTGGTAGCAGCTCGGCTTTGCGGGGGCTTCACCGCCAGAAATCTTCGAGGCCTCTTCAGCAATTAAGAATTAACGGGTAAAAAAAAAAAAAAAAAGCACACACACCATCATGTTTATTCCAAATATTTGTACGAGGACGATGGCATTTACCTTCCACAGTTGCAGTGACAGACGCGGTCCTCCCCTCGTAGATGCGGTAAGATGTAGTTGTGAAAGCGATCCAGTAGTGCGTTCATGTCCATTAAACAGGCTATCGCCTGCAAAGAACCATGCAAGTCAGCTGGGACATGTCAGACAATATAGGCTAGGCTATTCCTGCACACACACACACGGAGGATTCTTCTCATTAGGCTATTACATAAGATAAATAACAACAGTGAAGATCATAGAGGAAAAATGAGAGGAACATAGCCTTGGCAGATCCTCCCAATTCGAAGAGGGGGGACTCTTGCCTCAAAACGGATTTAGATTATTTATTTATGACAGCAGGTAATTATAGGTAGGCTAACCTACTTCCACATGTCATTGATAGGCCTGCTGTGTATTGTAGTTTGTCGCAAAAAATGTGGCTGGTTCCATTTATGGCACATTTGGCAACAATCTGGTCAAACATTAGCCTCGGTGTGTGGATTAGAAAACCTTATTGAGGCTGAGGGAGGTGGAGATGTCTTACCATTACAACTGAAGCACCAAGAATCATAAAAATCATGGTGGTTGTGATCATATGCATCAAAACTTCCAAACTGGCCGCCGTCCTGTAGCCCGGGGTTCTACCCGCGGCGGTGGAGGAGACGCTCCGGCTGGGCTCTGGGCGCTCTGTCCCGGCAGGAGCCGCTCATGGAGCCGCCGCGCCGCTCCTGGCTCCCCGTCCCTTCAAACTGCCCGGTCTCCCTCCGTCGTCCCCTCCTACACACTCACACACACACACACACACACACACACACACACACACGGCAAGCCGCTCTCTCAGCCCTCACTGCGCCCTCTCTCCATCCAAGTAATCCCCCCCCCCGGTCGGTCGGATGCGGCTGCCGCTCGCTCCGAGGAGGCAGTTCTCTCCTAATTACCGATGCAAAAGTGATCCGTTCTCCCAGGTGCGTTTCTATCTCTATCCCAGTTTAAAAAAACATAAAGAAAAACAAGTGAAGGGATCCCCCGATATCCCTCGCAGGGTGCCTTGGTATCCTCTCTCCCCCTTTTCCCAAGTTATTCCACACCGGGGCTGCGCTTTAACACCGGTGAATTCTCTCCTCCATCGGCGAAAACGGTCGATTTCTCTCGCCTGGACGTTTCAAAGAGCTGCACCGACTCCTCTCACGGCCATCGCCCTCGTCTTTCTCGGAACGCTTAATAGCATCGACATGAGGTCCAGATAGCTCCAGTCGGGAACTAGACCCACCCTGCGCCCCGAGTCCAGTCCGGATCCCGCAACGGCAGCTGCATCAACGCCCGGAGCCAGACACGCATGATTATCCCATCCTGGCTTCCAGCAGCTACACGAGCATCCACTCCCACCTCTTGTGCATGAGCGCGTGCGTGCGTCAGGGCGTGCACGCGGGGGCGCGCGTCCGTGCGCGAGAGAGAAAGAGAGTGTATAGTGGGCGGTATGAGAGGGGAGAGCTGCAAACTGCCTTTATGGCACCAGTCTATAGGCTCATTATTTATAGTGGATACCTGCAGATGCTCCGGAGCCGGCTTCAAGAATGGCACTCTTCGTGATGATTTAACCTCCTTTTTCTCCAGAGGTTTAACCCTTCTTTACCCCTTAACGCCGCCACTTGGACACACACACACACACACACACACACACACACACACACACACACACACACACACACACACACACGCATACACACAAACGCCCTTGCTTTCTATTTCTCTTCCAGACATTGCAGCTCTTCAGTTTCTCATTCTGCGCCATTCCTGCTGTTTCTGGTCCTACTATCCGGCATGTTTTATGTCAAAAATATTTAAAATAAAAATAATACAAATTCCACACTCTAAACTTGTTTTTCAAAATTAAGCCTCATAGGTTCTGTCTGTAATTAAGCAGCCACATGGGTGAACATTCAGAAATCACAAACTGGCATTGATATTATTTCCTCCAAAACTTGCAAACCTTATACAGATAGTCCTGTTGGTCAAAGTGAAACAACTGACTGCAAAAATAATAGAATATTATGCCATCTTGTGACGACTATTAGACAAAGCTCACTGAGCTATCAGAGGATATCAGTCCTGAATACAACATTGTATAAAAACTAATGCGGATGATTCAGGTTAAACTTTTGGACACTACAAACCAATGCATATACTTCTATATGTTTTTTGTGATCACTACAATAGACAGTGTTAAATATTGTTTCAGCACCATGGACAGCAACCGTACAGCAGCCTGCATCGCTTTACTGCAACACATTTACTGAATTGTTATAAAAACATTTTACATGCATGTTGCACTAACTACTAAAATGGAAACAGTGTGACAACATTAACCTATCTTATAGTATTTTTCATAAAGTGCCCTTTGCTGGTACTGACTTGAAAACATCTGCTGTCGTCTCCCACAGGCACGCTGCTAGTGTTACTTCATTTCAACCTCCCCCAGTGAAGAAACACAGCCAAGCTGGGCACCAGTGTAGCAGACTCTAATTAAAATCTACAGGGGGTAGAATGGGGGTAATGTAAACATTTAATAATAAAATGACTTGAAACCTGATAAAGCACAGTTATGAGTGCAGCTACAAACTCAAACTTGCATGAGAGTATGAGCATTGTCTGTTATAAAAGTGATCAGTCACTTTTACTTTGATGCATGAAACAACATGAGACAACTACATATATATAGCATATATTAAAAACAGGGCCTTGAGAATCAAATGACGTTGTTTCAAGATAGATACCGTACGCTGCTGTTGACACAAATAGTGTGAGTCAAAAAAGTGAGTATTTGTAACTGGGTGAACTGAACTTCAAAATATTTTTCATACATGTAATAGTACGTAATTCTGTTTACTTCCTGTGGATTATTCCCAGCATTAAAAAATAAAAACTGCAATATTTGCATTTGGTTCCAGGCAGAAATGACTCTGCGTCAGCTGGGAGGAACCTTATTCCTCTTTATTACAGCTGTAAACTTTAATGTCTTGGCTGTTAAAATAAGCAGTACACATTGTGTGTTGAACAGTTACTTGGTTTTGCAGAATCTAGTTTAAAACATTGTAGGGATATCTCAGTGTATGAGGATATTCCCTTGCATGTTGGATCATGTTAAAAAGGGTTAGGGTAAGAGCAAACCAGTGACGGTGACAAAGCGAGCATCAGTCATAAATGTAACATTATTGTCAGTTGAATTGGACTTTCTTTGATATAATGTATTATTTTAGCCTGACATCAAGTTAAAAAAAGGCTCTTCTTAGCGTAATGATTTGATGTGTCCTCTTGGACTGACTCACATACACACGCACACACACGCAACCATACTGTACATGTACATAAATGATTTGTTGTCTACGCTCGGCTGACTGCTCTTCTGTTCCACTCAGGTGACTGACGCTGATTGCTGCACATGCACAAATGCATGGATAGGCTCCAGGCCATTACATCTGTGCCATCACTCACTGAGGTCTATGGTAAACCACACACAAACATACGTCTGTAGATGTATGTCCTGTTTTCTGTTTTCACGCCAGCTGGTTTGCTACACATTTGTGTTCTTTTTTCCTGCTTTTAGGAGATAGAATGGTTTTACTGCTTCCTTCTGTTTCCTGATGCAGTTTTATGTCTTGAGGCCATGTTTTTTGTCTCAGTGTGTCTGCTTGTCTTTTTACATTGCAAACATCCTGTTTATTGCTTCTCAGCCCACTCCTCCTCCACATTATTTTCACCAACTGTGTGGAGTCATCAGAAGGAGTTGGTGGTGAGCAAATTATTTCAAAAAGTTGAGGAGAGCAGAAGGTGGAGTGATTTTCAGAAGCAAAATTTCTTTCAAAATCGTAATTCGGCCCCCTACTTTGTCCAAAATGACACAGAGCTTTTTGTCTTGTCACAATGATCAGATAGATAAATAGATAGATAGATAGATAGATAGATAGATAGATAGATAGATAGATAGATAGATAGATAGATAGATAGATAGATAGATAGATAGATAGATAGATATGCCGTACATAATCCACATTACATAGTTCCCTTTTAGCAGTTTTCAAGTGGTGTCTTTGGTTTTGGTCTAGTGCATATTGACGTTTTGTTTTTATTAAATAAAACTGCTGCGATCATTACCACCAATGCGTTTGTTTCATCGCCAATGCGGTTTGGCCCATCCCCCCTTCCGTACGTTTTGACGTACAGGAAAATACGTATGCGGAAGTTCAGTTGTAAACAAAAACGAAAACGGACAATCACTACATTCCTCAAAACATTAAAAAACAAACATAGTTATATCTTGTCGAACGCAGCTTGTTGATGGTAAGTTTCAATATATCAACTGCGCCAAGCTGTCCGGTTGGTTACTAACGTTATATAGTGAGAGAGGATTGTTATATAACCAGCCGCTCAATGCTAGCTGCTAGCTGCTAGCTGCCGAACTCCGTGTTAGCTAACATCGAACTCGACGCCAATTAAACTCAGTTGTGTTAACAAGTAACGTGACTTGGCAGAAGTACTAGTTACTACCTAGTTACTAATTAATGTCAGTACTAGTAATAAGGCAGCTAGCTATATAACGAAATCCGCATTTGCATTTAGCTTCAGTCATAACCTTACATGAATGTTTAACTGGTGGTTAACATAACACAGTTAATATGCTTTCAACATCGGTCGTATCTCAGTTTACCTGAAGAACAACAACAACAACAACAACAACACACCTTTTATAGGACTTTTTCATCCCATATTCGGTTCAGCCTTCAATTTGGTCAGTGTATAGCTAACTATGGGATCATCTATACTAACGGACTGTCCTGTCACTCAGACAGTACGCTTTCACCAGAGTACGCGAGTGGCGGTGTGAACCAAGCCTTACTGTTGGATTATACTGGAACACATTGATGTTTAATATATTGTTAATATAGCCTTTTCCAGTATGCACTAAATAATCGGACAAAATAAAACCAGCAATACTAGCTCCTGTCCAGATGTATAGTCCAAGAATGTTAGCATTAAAGTGTCAGATGTCCTGGTGGGGACAGGGACATACAATGGTGGGATGTTTCTCTTTTGAAAAATACAGCTTCACAGAAGACTAACTGACTGAAATGACAACCTTAGTGTACTATGATGTTCTAATAAAACAATATAAATCTTTACGTATTCATCCCCCTACCTCTGTTTCTGTGTCTTATTAAATAGGTTCCAGATGTGTGGCAGTGGTTGATGCAAGTGCCACCTCATTACTTTAAGAAGACATTCTTTGGTGTTGTTGGCCCGCAGAAACGACTGCAGTCAACATGTCAAGAAAACAGACGCCAAAACCTGTACGGAGCAACAAGAAGAGCGAACTGGAACGCAAGAGGGATGAGCGGGCAGCACGCCGGGCCATCGTAAAGGACCGCAAGAATCGGCCTCAGGATTGTGATGAAGGAGCAGAGTTTGTCAGTTTCTCCAATCAGCTCCAGGCGCTGGGGCTCAAGCTGAGAGAAGTCCCCGGAGATGGGTAAGAGCCATAAAAAGATTGTGGTGTGCTTTGTTTTCCTCTGTATTGTCCTTTACCGTCACTGATACTGCAACACATGTCTCTTAAAGCGTACTGTATACATAAAGCTTATTTTCAAGCTGTCTTGCCATGAGTAATCAGGATGTCTTGATAGAGGAAACATAATGTTATCAACCTCTATGCCTACTCCTCCCCAGCCCACTGTCAATAACAACATACATGGCAAATGTCACAAGAGCCATAATTTGACAGTCCTGAAACATGATGTGTCATCCTCAACTGACAACACCAGCACTACTGTACCATTTAAGATTAGAAAACAACAAGGGAATTATGTTTACATCTCGCTAGCTTTATGAAAAATCAAGATGGGAATTTAATTGATTGACAATACAGTCTTGCATCTATCAGTCTTATTCACTACTGGGCAGGGGGTCAGGGAGCCTTGTGATTTGCAGGACTTCAGTCATTGTTACTGGCCAACACCCAGAAACCAGAAGCCCGCTAATGACAATAAGAGTTTGATTTAATTATAATATCTATATATGAAATAGAGTCATTTAACTATAGGCAATTATGTGTAGACATACCAGTCACTGTCTTTGTTTCTTGCAGGAATTGCTTGTTCAGAGCTCTAGGCGACCAGTTAGAGGGTCACTCCCGGGGTCACCTCCGGCTTCGGCAGGAGACCGTTCAGTTTATGATGTCCCATCGACAAGACTTTGAACCATTTGTTGAGGACGACGTGCCCTTCGCACAGCACTGTAAGAAAATGACCCCGGGGAGACACTGAGCGGCTCAACAAAGGGAATAAAATATGATCAGAGAGGGACTTTTACTAATGCCTCATACATAATGAATTATTCTGTCTTGTTGCTTTACATGGGAGGTCCATTGATTTCAATGGGAGACAGTTTTTACCAGCAATTATGCAGTGACCCCTGGTGGCCATCAGTTCTGTTTGCATGGGAGTGACAGATGTGTGTGTGTTTCCCTAAATAGGAGTGGAGACCCCTGTCTAAGGTTGGAACATACATCTGAGTGGTTGCTATATAGAACTTATTTCTACAGCACAAAACATTGTGTTTTTTTCCCCTCTGATCTTGTGAATTACTGGATAATAAAAAAATGTTAGGCCTCCAAAAATTTTAAACAAAGAATGATCACTCTTTGGTTAAACTGATCACAATGGGACACAAGCAACTGGTAATGAAGAGGTGCACATGGACATTGCTTTGTTTTAAGGTGTCACAATACAACAAGGTTGAGAACTACTGCTAGTTGTGCCTATCTTGACTTCATTCATTCAGAACAGCAATTTCAAATGTTTGTATTGAAATGTATATATCATTTTTGTATAATTAATTTAGAAATTTAAAGGAAACAAATGTGATGACACCGTAGGAAGCTCAATAATAAATGTTTTGTGATCACAGCTTAAGATCATCTTGTAATTGCTTTTGTTTCTGTCCACCCAGTAACCAACCTGTCTCAGCCTGGTACGTTTGCTGGAAATGACGCTATTGTGGCTTTTGCTCGCAGTCAACAGGTGAAGGTGGTCATCCATCAGCTCAACACACCACTGTGGGAGGTAGGGACAGAGGCACAGGCAAAGGATCCCATAATCTAATGTGCTATTAGTAAGTGGAATCTTAACACGCTTTTGGCACAACACACAGTTTATATGTTCTGTTCTCATTGCAGATAAATGGTGCAGAGAAGCAGGCGTGCAGAGAGCTACACATTGCCTACCGCTATGGAGATCATTATGACAGTGTGAGGCGGACTGGAGACAACTCTGAGAGTCCTGCTCAGCTCCGCATAGAGGTATATAATATAGAGTGGGCTTTCTATGGAACAGCAGACAGGAACAGTTATCCCTCTCATCTTACAGTAGCTGAAATCATTTAGTAATTTCAAGGGCCTACCTTTAGATATCCATAATGCATCATGTCATGTTCAACATTTATTGTTCACTAATATTATTTAATTTATATATAAGTTATAATTTACTGTTGTGTTTCTCGCTACTGCTGCTTTCAGAATCTGCAGAATTCACGAGGCCAGCAGCGTGAGTTCGGTGACGGTCAGAGGGACAGACAGAAAAACCCTTCTCCCGCAGCCTCAGAGGAGGACAACGTGATCCTGAGCTCCATCAAGAATCGAGGAATCCAGGGTCAGAAGTTACTCTTGACTCATTAGCTGCTAGAAGAGTTAGACTGTCAGGGCAAAAGAGAACAACTATGAATCAGCTTTATTACAGACTTCATATCCGTCAGACATTCAAGCCTTGTCTATTTAGCAAAAATTCCATTGATCCAGTAAACATGGCAGCCTGTAATTAAGTAGACTGCATGTGTGATATTACTGGCAATGATCACATCACACTGAGTGGTTTAACATGCATTTGTGTGTGTGTGTTCGGCCTCAGGTGACGAGGAGAACCTGCTCCAGCTGAGTGCAGCAACCATCAATGCTGAATGGCTTGTTGGCTCCATGCTGGGTCAGTCCTGCCAGGGCCAGTGTGCCTCAGGATCCTGCTCAGCCTGCAGAGCTGCAGCCACAGACTGCACTGAGCAAAAACAGCAAGCAGAGGGCAGCAATGTACAAAAACCAAAGGTAGACTTGCTTATTACGCAGCCTGTCTTGCCAAGTTTATTGAATTCCAAGGCCATATTTACTTTATATTTCACATGAGCGATTTCATAAACCCACCAGTCTTCATACTATCGCATGAAGACAGACCCTTTATTGACAATGTAAGGAAACAAATATTTGAGGTCAAAACATTTTCGTTTCCCTCATTCTCAGGTATCTAACAAGCAGAGGAAAGAGCAGCAGCGGCAAGAGAAGAAGAAGCGTCAGGAGGAGAGGCATCGACAGAAGTTTCTCCAGAGTAAAGGAAGCCAGGACCAGAACCAGAACCTGCCAGAGGCTGTTACTTTAGTGCCAGCTCTCAACACTCTGAGTATATAGACTGGAGCATGGCCAAAAATAACTTACTGCTACTTTAGCTACCGGTGGCTGACGCTGTCCACAAAGTTTTGCACATAGTCAGATTTGATTCAGTCACAGTGGATGACTTTTCCTAAAGAGAACCCTATAGTTTCTTTGCAAACAGTATAACGGTGCCTGCAAACTTGAGTGTGTGAGATGTGTGAAAGTTGTAAAAGATGAGAGTGAAAGAGCATGAATTTCAGTGTTTCTGCTGGGTTTCGGTTTAGTTCAATGAATCTCTGGTTGGTGTTGGTGTATGTAGAATCTCTTCACATCTGGTCTACCTGCCACGCTACCTAGCCCCTTTCTATACTGGACATCTGGCTTTTCATGACAACCATGCAGATAATCTTCATGCAGCTGGGCTTTCTTGATTTGCCACAGATTGACATTTTGAGTTAACGTCAAGTCAGATGTTCAGATTCTCTTTGTTCGATCTGACCAAAGAAGGAAATAAAAGGAAGACAGGCAGATGAATGATTGTTATGCTCACTGTGTAAGGAATGTGGCAATAAATAATAATAATGGATCATTTTCTGTTTTTGTGTACCAGATAATATATGACATATTATCCATGTTTTTGTGACTTATGTTTTTCAAATTGTTCATATTTTCCTTTTTTAAAACTAATATCTGTGACTAAATACAACAAATTTAACTTTAACAGACAAAAGGCACATTTTATCAAGAGGCTGAGGTTTCACTACATACAACATACAAAACAAACATGGCTGCCGCTTGACATTAAAGGTCCAGTTTGTAATATTTAGGCTGGAATATAATACTCATAGGTATGTTTTCATTTGTGTATAATCACCTGAAAATAAAAATTGCTGTGTTTTCATTACCATTCAAATTTATTAACAGAGTGAGCAGGTCCCCTTCTACGGAGCCCGCCATGTTGGACCACCATGTTCCTACAGGAGCCAAGAACAGACAAACCAAATGCTGGCTGTAGATTGGGCCTTTTGTGGCCAATGTAGTTTCTTTAACATTCTTGGAAGGCGAGTGGTATTCAGTTGGTTGCAATCTGCAACTTCAGCGCTAGATACGACTAAATTAAGTTTATTGGGTTAACTTGTCTGAAAAGCTGCTACCTTGCCAGTGAGCTAATGATTCAACTTTGTGGTCATACAGCGACTGAGGCTGCAGTGTGGGGTGCCGTTGGATTGTATAATGCTGTACCAGGGTTAGGGATGTTATTTTTCCCTTGGATACAGCCAACCCCCTCACTGACTGTTGTTGTGTTACAGAGTACATATTTAATGTTTACCTAGTCGTTATTATCAGTTACTATATAATCAAGTGTTTGGCTGTTATTCTAGTTAGTAACACCTTGGACTTGGACCACCTTATCGGTCAAACTGTTGCTGTTAAACCAAAGTAGATGAATGATAAAAAGCCTCACCATCAGGAATACTACCATTGTGTTGAATTGGACTCAACAACAATACAATGTTTTCTACTAGTGTTTCTGTAACAGGTTATTGGGCCTTCAGTTCTTGGCTTGTTGATAACTTGACAAATGAGGTTGCAGTATTCTCCACATGGGAATAAAGGCGTGATTTCTGACAAATAAGAGCCTTAGTTGAATGTGTTGTAGGGCCTCTGTCAGTTCTGTAGTAATGAGCACTTTCGGAGGAGTAGAGGCACAAGTCCACTCCATGATACTGTCCGTTGACACAGAGACAACTGCAATCACACAGGCTTAGTAGTCTTGTTAAAAGACTGTTGGTATTGGAACATCTCTAGTGAGAGGAGAGGTGGTGATTAGTGAGTCAGCAAGAAAGAGCACTGCAGATGTAATGATGATGGAGAAATACAAACATTATAAAGACATTGTGTCTTTGTGGATTTAGAAAGATAGGGCAATGTTCCAAGAGGGGAGGTGTAGGGGTTACACTACTATTTAATTAGAAAGGTAATTAATCACTGAAGATTAATAATACACTCGTAAATGGGGCACCACCTCCGTTGTTTAGCTACTGGAATAATCCGGAGGAGATTATTCCACAAATCTAATCAAATCAATTTCAAATCAATGTATTTATTGTTTGTACATATATGTATATATTATATATATATATATATATATATATATATATATATATATAATCTCATATTTCTGAAGTAGTGATTTCTTTTACACGATTCATCGATTTCCCCGCATCAAATCAAACCTGCACCGACAAGGACATACGGTTATATATGTTTATTAACTAAACTAATGCAGAGTAAATAGCATGAAATGACAAGGCCCTAATCGAAAATTCTCTTAAACTTTAAAGATGGGAATCAAAGTTTACAGACAGACACCAGCTCTCTTTCATGTGTGTGAATCTGTGTGCTGAGAGTCAGCCTACTTTGTTTGTAGATGGAACTTGGAAGGATTTCAGGTCCTTGGCTTTTAACTCAACTGCGGCTTTACATCACTGGTCCAACAGGCTGAGGGAAGTTGCGTCTCGTCCCTGGTTCCAGTGGCAATCTCTCCAAAAGGCCCAGCGCGGCGTGTGCGCTAGTGAGCGCTGGGGGCAAGGTGGCTGGAGAATAATGTCTTTATCCGGCTGGAAACCTTTATACATCTTCTTGAGCAGTCAACTACTGCGACGTCCTTCTGGCTGATGATGAATGTCTTAGAGTGGTTGGTCTTCAGCTTTGACTGTAAACTAATTCAGCTTCTTGTTTAAAAATAACTGGAGGATGAAACGCTGGGCTGGCGAATTCTCCATCGTAACTAAGTCCGAGAATTAAACCAAATTCACTTTCTGTGAATCAGGCGACAATACTTGACGATAAGACTACAAACATATAAAAGAAGAAATTCGTTTGTGTCTTGAGCTTTCAAAATAAAAGTACTTAGAAAAGTACTTTAGCACCGCAAGTTATTACTTGAAGAAAAATTCAACACGTGTCGCAAACGAAGTAAAATAAAGTACGGAAATTAAACGTAAGAGCGAGAATAAATAACGAGTGGATCCAACACTCTTAGAAGGAAGACAGGATCATAAGAGTAAGAGAGAGAGAAAGTGACCGGAGTCTAGCTCTTATATCTTTTATTCTGGAGGCGGAACTGGACGAGAGGAGCTGACCGCGCGCGTCACTTCCTTTAGCGATATTTTGCCATTCGTAACTTTATAATTTATTCCTATCGTGTTTTAAAGTTTCGAGATCATAATTTACCGTTCACAGAACCCACCATGACTTAATACATAGTTCACATGTTTTAACATAACATAACCTAAATTACTTAATGTAAAGGAAAAGTAGAGCTGATTAAAGTCATTAAATCATTAATCATTAAACACGTATATAAAACAGCACTGATGGATTGTACATATTTCGTATAGTGCTAGCTTAATCCTTACTATAACAATTATGTGTCAGGCATTTACTATTTGGAATAATACACAATTATGAAACAAAGTTCGTTTTGAAAGTACCTTTTACAACTATACCAGAACCTTACCAAAAGGTGGCGCTGTGGCTCCATCAAACATTCAGACATTTTACACATGATTTAGTCCAATCTGAAGACAGAAACATCAGACACACATTACATTGGCGTCCTTCTCATGCTGGATGGCAATCTGTTAATTTTGAGGAGATGACATTTTACCATAATACTCCAACAGAACTAAATCTATATCTGTGCAACTGCTGTTACTGCTTCCTAGATTGGAATGTCCACTATCAAAAGAAAACATCGTAATTTACACTTTAAAGAGGAAGAGGTGTCAGAATGCCAGATGTGGATTCCAGAGGAGTTTCTCTCTGGAGGTGGACCTGTCAGACTAAAAGAGATGTAAACACATTTCAGGGATATCTAACCCTGATTTACAATCAAAAAGGCATTTAATTATCACACACGATCCACTTTGGGTGTAGGGTGTCGTTCTGATCTGTGGAGAAGTCAGTGTTCTGTTAGAGAGGATAAAACAAATTGACACCTTAGAGATCCCATCTGAGAATCTGAAAAGAACCAGGCTCTCTGTGCAGGAGACCGTCGGCGCCACAGTCTCACCTCCCCTCCTGGGTCAAAAAGGTCAAAGGGAAACAGAAGGCCTTGGAACCTCTCCTGGTGGAACATAATCAAAATAATATGATGATTGTTGAATTAAGAGACAGATAAAGTGTCTCTTGTAGAGGAAGATGAGGACAAGGTCCTACAGAGGTGTGGTACTGTATGAGGAAGTCGGGTGTAGCCAAGAAGTATGTAAGAGTGGGGCAGGATATGAATGACGACAGTGTGACAGTGGTGAGGTAGGAGCGAAGGATGGGTTCAAGATGGAGGTTAGATGACAACAAGGATCAGATCTGAGCCCTTTCTTGTTTGCAATGGTGATGGACAGGTTGACGGAGATCAGGCAGGAGTCTCTGTGGACTATGAAAGATGGATGGATGCAGAGGATGCACTATGGTGAACCCTGAGGAGAACAGCCAAAAGATAAGCAGAACTTGACCATACACTGAAGCCAGGTTTAGAATAGTAATACCTGACATGGAAAAAGTCCGCTCCACACACACTACAAAATATAAGAAATGTTAATTTTATTGAAACAATGTAAAAAATTACATGGACTGGAAGTCAAGGTGGGACTCACAGAGATAACTTTGTCTTTGACAGGCTTGACAAACTATGTACACTAAACACACTCCTGTGTTGGTAGGTAGCCTCAAAGACTGGAACCTATATGCTGGTATAAATCACATTTTAAAGCGAGATTATGTCACTTTTGCTGAATAATATCAATTGAAATGGAATAATATTAAATGCAAATGCTAGTTTAACAGTAGCACAATAACAATCTTAAAGCCAAACCCAATCAGTAATGTCAGATACACAAAAACATCTGTCTAAAGTCTGCTAGCATTAGCAACCATAAGCTGCTAGTCATACGAGACCAAGTTAGGCTGTAGCTGCAAAGCCTGTGAGTGTACTGAATGGAGCAAAGATGTCTTATTGCTTATGAATTCAACTCTATCTGTAAGAAGATGAATGTGTTCCATCTTATTGCAAACTGTACATAGTCTCGCTTTAAATATCTATACAGTCCAGAAGCTGCCTTATCCCATATTCCACCACTGGTTTTACAATAGAATAGGCGTGAAGTCTGGTAAAAATGCGTGCCGTCAGAGGTTTCCTGGCAACTTATTCTGAAAGTTATTTGATGATGCAGTTTCACATTAATCTCCTCTGCACAGGTAATTGTCCCTCCTCAGGTTGCTTCTTAGCCCAGTCAGACAAGATGAAATCTGTCTGATTGAGGGATCATTAGTTTGTAAATCAGTGCTATGAGTGTGAAAGCTGCGGCTCTAGAAGTCCTGTCGGATGTTCTCCTTGTTCTCGTCCCCCTGCTGTTGCCTGAGCTGAGTTATTTCGTTCTCCAGCTGAACAATGGCCCGCTCGATCTCGTAGTTCTTACTGACCAGAGACACCCAGCTGTTGAGGGACAGATACAGATGTTATGAAGGTGGAAAATCTATGTATAGTGATATGAAGATATAAAATCTTTACACAACGTACTTTGA